GAGGAGGTAAATAATAAACATTAGAGGAGAAATAAATGATATAGAAACAAAAACCCAGAACAGATCAATAAAACTAGGAGCTGGCTAACTTCCTAGCCAGACTTATCAAAAAGAAAAAAGAAAGGACCCAAATAGATAAAATCATGAATGAAAGAGGAGAGATCACCACCAACACCCAGAAATACAATTATGAAAGAATATTATGAAAAATTATATGCCAATAAATTGGGCAATTTGGAAGAAATGGATAAATTCCTAGAAACATATAAACTACCAAAACTTCAACAGGAAGAAATTTGAGCAGACCTATAACCAGCAAAGAAATTGAGTCAGTAAGCAAAAATCTAATAAAAGTCCAGGACCAGATGGCTTCCCAGGGGAATTCTACCAAACATTTAAGAAGAGTTAATACCTATTCTTCTCAAACCATTAAGAAAGAAAGAAAGAAAGAAAGAAAGAAAGAAAGAAAGAAAGAAAGAAAGAAAAGGAATATCTCCATTCTATAAGGCCAGCATTACTTTGATTCCAAAACCAGACAAAGACCCCCCCAAAAAGGAGAATTACAGGCCAATATCCCTGATGAACATAATGCAAAAGTTCTCAAGATTCTAGCGAGTTGAATCCAACAGTATATTAAAAGAATTATTCACTGTGATCAAGTGGGATTTATTCTTGGGCTGCAAGGGTGGTTCAATATTCATAAAGCAGTCAATGTGATACACCACATTTATAGAAGAAAAGATAAAAACCATTTGATCTTCTCAATAGATGCAGAAAAGCATTTGATAAAGTATAGCATCCATACTTGATGAAAACCCTCAACAAATTAGGGATAGAAGGATCATACCTCAACATCATAAAGGCAAAATATGAAAGACCCACAGCTAATATCCTCAATGGGGAAAACGAGAGCTTTTCCTATACGGTCAGGAACAAGATGGGATGTCCACTCTCACCATTGTTATTTTTTTTTTCAACGTTTTTTATTTATTTTTGGGACAGAGAGAGACAGAGCATGAACGGGGGAGGGGCAGAGAGAGAGGGAGACACAGAATCGGAAACAGGCTACGAGCCATCAGCCCAGAGCCCGACGCGGGGCTCGAACTCACGGACCGCGAGATCGTGACCTGGCTGAAGTCGGACGCTTAACCGACTGCGCCACCCAGGCGCCCCTCACCATTGTTATTTAACATAGTACTAGAAGTCTTAGCCTAAGCAATCAGACAACAAAAAGAAATAAAAGGCATCCAAATTGGCAGAAGTCAAACTTTCACTATTTGCAAACAACATGATACTCTATATAGAAAACCTGAAAGACTCCACCAAAAAAATTGTTAGAGCTGATACACAAATTCAGCAAAATTGCAAGATACAAAAATCAATGTACAGAAATCTGTTGCATTTCTATACGCTAATAATGAAGCAGCAGAAAGAGAAATCAAGGAGTCAATCCCATTTACAATTGCACCAAAAACCATAAGATACCTAGGAATAAACCTAACCATAGAGGTAAAATATCTGTACTTTGAAAACTATACAACACTGATGAAAGAAAGTGAAGATAACACAACGAAATGGAAAAACATTCCATGCTCATGGATTGGAAGAACAAATATTGTTAAAATGTCTATACTACCCAAAGCAGTCTACACATTTAATGCAATTCCTATCAAAATACTGCCAACAGGAGCACCTGGGTGGCTCAATCGGTTAAGTGTTCGACTTAAGCTCAGGTCATGATTTTGCAGTTCATGAGTTTGAGCTCCACATTACACTCTCTGCTGTTAGCATAGAGCCTGCTTCAGATCCTGTGTCCTGCTCTCTCTGCCTCTCCCTGGCTCATTTTATCTCTCTCCCCCTATCTCTCCCTCTCTCTCTCTCTCTCTCTCTCTCTCTCAAAAAAAAAAAAATACTATGAGTATGTTTCACAGAGCTAGAACAAACGATCCTAAAATTTGTATGGAACCACAAAAGACCATGAATAGCCAAAGCAATCTTGAAAAGCAAAACTGGAAGCATCATGATTCCCAACTTCAAGTTATGTTACAAAGCTTTAGTCATTAAGACAATATGGTACTGGCACAAAAATAGATATAGATCAGTGGAACAGAATAGAAAACTCAGAAATGGACCCACAACTATATAGTCAACTGATCTTAGACAAAGTAGAAAAGAATATCCATTGAAAAAAGTCTCTTCAACAAATGGTGTTGGAAAAACTGGATGGTGACATGCAGAAGAATGAAACTGGACCACTTTCTTTCACCATACATAAAAATACGAAATGGATGTGAGACAGGAAACTATCAAAATCCTAGAAGAGAACACAGGCAGTGACCTCTGACATCAGGTGTAGCCACTTCTTACTAGACATGTCTCTGGAGGCTAGGGAAACAAAAGCAAAAATGAACTGTTTGGACTTCATAAGATAAAGATCTTCTACAAAGCAAAGGAAACAATCATCAAAACTAAAAGGCAACCTATGGAATGGGAGAAGATATTTGCAAATGACGTAGCAGATAAAGGGTTGGCATCCAAAATCTATACTTATCAAACCCAATGCCCCCAAAACAAATAATCCAGTTAAGAAATGGGCAGAAGACATGAATAGACATTTTTCCAAAGAAGACATCCAGATGGCTAATAGACACATGAAAAGATGTTCAACGTCACTCATAAGGGAAATAAAGTGCGCATGTGCGCACACACACACACACACAATGAGATACCACCTCACACCTGTCAGAATGGCTAAAATCAACAACACAGGAAACAACAGATGTTGGCGAGGATGCAGAGAAAAAGGAACCCTATTACACTGTTTGTAGGAATGCAAATTGGGGCAGCCACTCTGGAAAACAGTATGGAGGTGCTTTAAAAAGCTAGAAATAGAACTACCCTAAGATCTAGCAGTTGCACTACGAGGTATTTACCCAGAGGATACAAAAATATTGATTTGAAGGGGCACATGCACCCCAATGTTAATAGCAACATTATCAACAATAGCCAAATTATGAAAAGACCCCAAATCAGTCCATCAAGTGATGAATGGATAAAGATATACAGTGGAATATTACTAAGCTATTAAAAAGAATGAAATCTTACCATTTGCAATGATATGGATGGAGCTACAGTGTATTATGCTAAGTGAAATAAGTCAGTCAGGAAAAGACAAATACCATATTATTTCACTTGTATGTGGAATATAAGAAACAAAACAAATGTAACATAGGGGATGGGAAAAAAAGAGGAAGGCAAACCGTAAGAGACTCTTTATAGAGAACAAATTGAGAGTTGATGTAGGGGAAGTAGGTAGGGGATGGGCTAAATGGGTGATGGATATTAAGGAGGGCACTTGTGATGAGCATTGGGTGTTATATGTAAGTGATGAATCACTAAATTCTACTCCTGATACCAATATTACACTATATGTTAACCAACTAGAATTTAAATAAAAACTTGAGTGGGGGGGAACCTGGGTGGCTCAGTCAGTTAAGCTTCTGACTTTGGCTCAGGTCATGATCTCATGGCTCATGGGTTCGAGCCCCACATTGGGCTCTGTGCTGATGATGCAGAGCCTCCTTGGGATTCTCTCTCTTTCCCTCTCTCTCTGCCCCTCCCCTTCTCTCACTCTCTCTCTCTCTCTTTCTCTCAAAATAAACTTAAAAAATTTTTGAACTTGGTAAACATTTTTAAAAATAAAAGATATGTAACTGTTACATGTTTGTTGAAAACTTCTTTGAAGGATTTAAGTAGATTATAAAATAATTCACTAAAGAAATTAGCCTAGCTAGCATTCTTTAGCAATTATTTTGGAGGAGGCCACCGGTACCCTGTTTAATAAGCAGACTGGTTTTAATCAGGGGGTTTTAAGGTTTTCTTTTCATTTCTAAGTTTATTTATTTTGAGAGAGAGAGAGAGAGAGTGCGCAAGTGGGGCAGAGGCAGTGAGAGAGGGAAAAAGAATTCCAAGTGCAAAATTATCAGTGCAGAGCCTGACGTGGAGCTCACTCTCACAAACTACAAGATCATGACCCAAGCCAAGGTCAAGAGTTGGACACTTAACCAACTGACCCACTAAAACAAAACCTAAGGTTTTCATTTTTAACAGCAGAAGCCTTTCTTTCTTTCCAAGCAAAATTTTCAAGAGTCCCCACAATTCCCTTCATATGTTGGGAAAGTACCTATATATGACTATCATTTGCCAGCTTCTTACTATGTGATAAGGATTTTACACATATCTAACCCGCCGAAAAGTCCTGTGAGGCAGATAGTATCCTCATTTTAGATATATAGAAACTGAGCCTCAGAAAGTTTAAGTAACTTGCTCAGTATCATACAGCTAGCAATTGGCAGAGTCAGGATAAGGAAATAGGTCTATCCAGACTCCAAAGGCAGGATTTTATTTAACCTTAGAGAACAATGCCCAACATGTAGTGAAGAATTATAAGAGTTTTATAATTAATTGTTCATCTAATCCTTGCAACAATCCTCTAACGTAGACAATATTATTCTCTCCATATTATGGATAAGGAAACTGAGGAACAGAGAGGTTATGTAAATTACCTGTGTTATTTACCATTTCCCTTGCCACAATTGCAAACATGTTAAGATTAGCCTAACCTATAGTTAGAAACTTCAACAATGTTATTTTTGACCCAGTATATTCCAGTTAAAAATTATGTGTCATTTTGGACTAACTGTATTATCTATCCCAAACTTAGAATACTCAGAATTGAAAAACCTGGAAGGTTGCTTCAGTCTTATTTCATATTTGAAATAAGTACTTTGTCAGTTATTGTCTTTAGGATCTAAGCAGTGAATCACTTTATAGGTAGTGCTGTCTTATCTGGAGATGCCTTTTTTTTTTTTTTTCTTAACATCAGTAACTTAGATTTTTAGATCTAGTTATAGAGCTAGCTGTGAGTTTTAATTTTTGTATTTAATTTTACCAAATTTTCAAATCTTATTAAAATTCTAAAAGGAAGCTTTCCACCGTAGGTTATGGCTATTGCCCCAACCCATTATATATGGCAGCGGGAACGCTCTGTGCATCACAGTGGAGCTGTTAGAAACTACAACAGAGATGAAGTTCAACTGCCCCGAGGACCTAGTGCCACCCCAGTAGATTGTTCACTCTGTGGTAAAAAAGGAAGATATGTTAGACTGGGATTGTCTTCATCATCTTCATCCAGTGATACAGTAGAGGTGATGGAGAAACATTCTCAGGAATCACACAAGTCAATGGACATAGTAGTCAATCCTTCTCAAGCTTATAGCTATTCTCAAGGTATGATTTAGTAATATGTCAGAATTAGATTTATGCAAGTTATTAACAAACCTCATTTATTGACCTGTAGTCAGTTCTTACAGGCAGGGGTACATAGTAATTTATATATCACAACATTATGAGTGAATTAGTATTGAAAGTTTTCTCCTTTTCAGTTACTATTTGTCTTGTGTCAGTATCTGTTTTTGTGGTAGTGTACCTAAGCTAAAAGATTTTTAATGTGACTTATGTTACACTGAAACCTAACACACCATGGGTCTCAAGTATTTTAAAGTATTAAGTATTTGAAGAGCCTGAAGCATTTTCTATGAAATGTTTTATTCAAAAGAAGTTTCAAGAAGAAAATAAATTTACTTGAAATCTCACCAGCTTTATCAGTGATTAACTACTGGTTTTCTTTTATATACTTTTTAAAATTGAGATATAATTGACACAAAATATTGTATTAACTTTAGGTGTACTATATAATGATTTGATATATTGCAAAATGATTACCACAATAGGTTAACATTCATCACCACATATAGTTTTTTGTGTGTGTGTGTGATGGGAACTTTTAAGATATACTCTCTTAGCAACTTTCAAATACACAACACATATTGTGAACTATAGTCACCCTGTTGTTCATTGCATTCCAGGATTTATTTATCTTATAACTGGAAGTTTGTATCTTTTGACCACCTTCACCAATTTTGCCCACCCTGCATCCCTGCTTCTGGCAAACACCAATCTGTTCTCTGTATCTAGTTCATTTTTTGATTTAGTTTTGTTTTTAGATTCCACATGTGAGATCACGTTATTTTCTTTTTCTGAAGTATTTCACTTAGCATAATGCCCTCAAAGTCATCCATGTTGTCACAGATGGTAGGATTTCCTTACTTTTTATGGCTGAATGATATTCCATTGCGTATATGTGCATGTGAGTGTGTGTATCCTTGTGATTTTTTTTACATACAGCATAAATGCTTTATTAATAATCACAAATCTCATTGTGGTTTTGATTTGCATTTCCTTGACAATTGGTGATGCTGAACACCTTCTTACGTACCTGTTGGCTATTTGTATGACTTCTTTGGAAAAATGTCTATTCATTTCCTCTGTCCATTTTATTTGGATACTTTTCTATTGAGTTGTAAGAGTTCTTTATATTTTTTTGGATTTGAACCCTTTATCAGAACAGAATGGTTTGCAGATATTTTGCAGATATTTTCTCCCATTCCATAAGGTTGCCTTTTCATTTTCTTGGCTTTCTTTGCTGCGCAGAAACTTTTTAATTTGATGTAATCCCACTGTTTATTTTTGCTTTGTTACCTTTGCTTTTGGTGTCAAATCCAAAAACCATTGGCAAGATGAGTATCCTTCCATTTTGTTTCAGTTTTATCGTTTCAGGTCTTACATTCAAGTCTTTAACCTATTTTGAGTTGATTTTTGTGCATGGCATAAGATAGTGGTCTTCATTTCTTTTGCATGTGACTTTCCAGTTTTTCCAACACCATTTATTGGAGAGACTGTTTCCACTTCTTGGCACGTCTTGTCACAAATTAATTGACCATATATGTGTGGGTTTATTTCTGGGCTCTCTATGCCATTCCATTTCTCTATTTGTCAGTTTTATGTGAAAATCATAGTTTTGATTACTATAGTGTAATATTATACACTTTTCTACTATTTACAAAAAATTAGAAACATACTATATCTAGGCCTGCTTTTTTTCACTTACCATAAAGCATTTCCCCATGTCATTAGTCTTTGAAAACCTGATTTTTAATCATGACATGGTATAAGTATCATAATTTATTTGCACATTTCATTTTTGTTGGTATTTAAATGGCTTTGCACAATGATATATTAATTAGAAAATAATCATATGAACTGGAAATACTTTTAGTCGACCACACCATAATTTTCATTCAAATTATGTTTATAGAGTATTTCTGACATTTGAAACCGAGCCAGAATAATATTCTACCAGCAGTGATCCTTTTTACTTCTTATAAAGCCTTTTTCTAGATTTTCATCCAAGATAGGACTGACAGATTTCTTATAGTTCTGCCTAAATTCTATAATGAACTTCCATTATTTCAGAATATCACGTATTTATTTTTGCTATATCCTTATGAGATTAATAGTGGCTACTGAAGTTTTAGTAAAAGAGAAACCAAACTCTTTAAGACTCTTCAGGGTAGGGTCACACCTCAATCATTGTTTCATTCCCTGGCCATAGTAAATCACTAAACAAATTTGACAGTATAGTCTCTTCCCTTGCAACACCTCCAAGCATAATTTTCATTTGTTCACTTGTATCTTAAGGTAAGTTGGATCTACCATAGGCTAAAGTATAAAATAAAAATTGCCTTTTAACATCTTTCCCTTCTATACCAGCAACTTTTACCTACACTTTTTGGTTCTTATAATAGGTAAGAGTTACTAGATGTTTAAAATGTTCCAGGCAAGATGTTAAACATTGTACATTGATAATTGCAACGTTCACAGCCAACCCTATGATAAATACTATTATCTCTACTTTGCAGATAAGGAAACTGAGACTTAGAGAGGTTAAATCATTTGCCCAAAGTGGAGCGACATTTGAACCCAGGTCTGACTCTAGACTACAGCCTTAATTTGTAACTATTATGCTCTGCTGCCCCCTTTGATGAAATCTTACCTTTGGTGATGAAAATAAGCTGCCACAGAAGTCTTTTAGCAAACTAAGGATTAAGGAAGTGGTGAAAGCGTTAAGAACCAGCCCTAATGAAAGGTTGTATGGAGTGAATTGGGAGAGAATTCCAACCACAATTTGAACAAATATTTATAGAAAGCAGAACACAAGCAGTTATGGTTTACTCAAGCTAATCCCTGTAGATATCAAAGAGTAGTAACACTCTCTGGGGCGCCTGGGTGGCTCAGTTGGTTGGGCGTCCAACTTCAGCTCAGGTCATGATCTCGCAGTTTGTGGGTCCATGACACATGTTAGGCTCTGTGCTGATAGCTGAGAGCCCGGAGCCTGCTTCAGATTCTGTGTCTCCCTCTCTCTGCCCCTCCCCTGCTCGCAGTCTGTCTCTCTCAAAAATAAATAAACATTAAACAACAAAAAAAAAAGAGTAGAAACCACAGTGCACCCAGGGAGGAAGGGGCTCTGCCAGTTGGCTTGCTTTGAAGCAAAAGCACAACTTTGACAGATGGTGGGTGAAAAGTGGAGCACTTGACTTAAGGGAGTTGTAAGTGGAACTGTGCTTTCATTCTGTCCCTGGAGGAAAGTCCTGAAGCCCTGGTTTAGGATATATACAGATCCTATACAGGAAAGAACAAGTATTTACTCATTACTGTTTTATTCAGAATATTAAAGTTAAATGTAAAAGCTTTTGTTTCAGGATGGCATTTTCAATGTAAATTTTCGATGTAAAGAAAAATTATTAATCATACACTTGACCAGGAAACATATACATTCATTTTCCCTCAATAGGCTTAACTGGGAGTGAGCTCAGTAGGGGTGTGGGGGCATTCAAGGGTAACACAGTGTTATCAGGAGCAGTGGTCAGTGTCTTACTGCCTCAGCAGCTGATTTTTAGTGATGAAAAAACAAACTCAGAAAAGTCACAATTGTAAGGTAAAACAACAAAAGCAGCAAGATGGGACCCAATTCTATCTGAATATGGCCTATTTTAATACTAAATGACACTGTTTACCTTAGGCATTTTTAAGCCTTGTGACACCTAAGTTAATCCCTCTGAAACATGAATATGCAGAGGACTCCTCAGATTTTAGAGTGAAGCCAGAGGGAAAAAGCAATGTATCAAACCTTATTCCTGGATCACAGAGGCACGCATGGGACAGTACAACTGTTGTATAATCTAAAATCGAGTAATTTTTCCTCAAAAAACAAATCCTTATTTAGTTGAGTCACTACAACTGTTCTAGTCATACTGGTTTAAAATCCTAATACCTAATAAAGGCATAATCAGTGTTTGTAAATTAATGATGTAATAGGGCAATGCTAATTATATAACATTTAAGAGTACAAAAGACTCTAGGGTGAGAGACTTTTTAGAGGCTGTTGAAGGCTTTTTAGAGGAAGTAATATGTGAACTGAACACCGACTAAGTCCTGTTTTGCCCAGCAAAGTAAGGGGAAGGGCTTCTGAATAGCAGATAAAAGTTTAAAGCATATACTCTCACTGTCTCTATAGCCAATGAATAGCTTATCTAGTTATTCCTTCACAATGTTTTTTAAATCTACCCCTTTTCCTTACCTCATGGTTATATACTACAACCAATCACCTCATAATGTATACCACGTGGTACTGTGAAATTGCTGATTCAATTGTTTTTTCCTTCCTTCAAATACTCATAGACACTACTAACAGACTAACTTAAAACAGAAAAATCTCCTTTTACATGACCAGAGAACCCTCAGGAGTTCCCTACTGCCTCTGAAGTAGAGTTCAAACTCCCAAGTCCCCCACAGTCCAAGAGGTGTATGCCTAAATTTCCCCCCAGAACAACCAAGTCAACAGATAAAAACAATACATGATCAAATGTAGGTTTACAGCCATCAGCACATTTTTATTGACCATTAGTGGGTGGAAAAGGTGGGATCTCTGGAAGGTACTAGGAAGACAACGGAATCAGTCACAAATCTGTAGGAGTTTACAGTATGAGAGATGACAGCCAGACACGAATTTAAGAAAGGTTAACTTTAAAAGAACACATCTGTAGGTGGTGCGTGTGGCTGGGTCAGTCAGTGGGACATGCGACTCTTGATCTCGGAGTTGTGAGTTCAAGCCCCACAATGGGTAAAGAGCTTACTTTAAATACAAAAAAAATAAAAAAGAACACATCTGTCCCATAAGCAAGATTGTTAACATGCTTAATGTTCAATGGAGACATGGAGAAAGGGCTTAAGCTGGACTTTAACCATATAAATAAATGCTTATTTGCTTATGTAGTTTGGTTTTCAATTCATCTTAATATTTATTAGAATGGACACCGTTAAAGACATCTTGTTCAATTCAACGTCAATAGTTGAATTGAGCGCAGTGTACTGAACAGAAACTAATTATTCTACATGAAATAGGAGTAGAGGCACAACTTTTCTTTGCTCTTAAACCAGCCCCTTCTCCATGTAGTACAATTAGAACTTGCATTTAAAATAATACATGAAGAATTTCACTGCTGGTTAAACACAGGACAGAAAAAAAAGGCATGTTCCATGATAGAACTTAAAATTGTACTTCAGGGGTGCCTGGGTGGTTCAGTCAGTTAACTGACTTCGGCTCAGGTCATGATCTCGTGGTTTGTGAGTTCGAGCCCCACGTTGGGCTCTGTGCTGCCAGCTCAGAGCCTGGGACCTGCTTCAGATTCTATGTCTCCCTCTCTCTCTGCCCCTCCCCTGCTCACACTGTGTCTCTCTCTGTCTCTCAATAATAAATAAACTTCCCCCAAAAAATAAAAAATACTTCAGAGCTTCTATGTATCTGAAGTGTTATGAAAACTATAAAGCCATTATTACTGTATGAATGTTTAGATAGTTACCATAAAGAAATCTGACATCAGAAGACTAATCTGCTTATATGATTCAGTCTGTTCCCCAAATACAACGAGAGTGATTTTTTTCCAAAACACAGATCTAAGCATGTTACCCCTCACTTCACTAAATCCTTCAGTGAGACCCTATTTTTCTTAGGATAGACAAGCTTAAGAGGTCTAGAAGATCCTGCATGACCTGACCCCTACTTATTTTTCGGGTCTCTTTCACTCAACCCCAGCATCACTGGCCTTTTTTCTCATTTTCCCTGCTATAGTTAACTTGTACTTACCATTCAGGTCTCAGCTCACTTGTCACTTGCATAGGTAATTACTTGGCCAGAGCAAAACCTCTATTATAGTACTCTGTACTTCTTTGGAGCATATAACAATTTTCCATTTGTGTGACTATTTAATGCCTAGTTAAACTTTATGGTCTAAAAAAGCAGAGATGTTAAAATTTTCCAAAAAATGAAAAATATGTAAAATGTTATTTAGAATATTTATTATTTTAAATAGCCTAAGGGATAAATCCAGGAATAGCAGCATTTATCCTCCCAGGTACTACCCTTTAAAAACTATAAAACATTGGGGCGCCTGGGTAGCTCAATTGGTTAAGCGTCCGACTTCGGCTCAGGTCATGATCTCACAGTTTGTGAGTTTGAGCCCGCATCAGGCTCTGTGCTGACAGCTCAGAGCCTGGAGTCCGCTTCGGATTCTGTGTCTCCTTCTCTCTCTGCCCCTCCCCAACTCGTGCTCTGTCTCTCAAAAAATAAACAAACATAAAAACTATAAAAACCCGTATCTAAACAATAACCTAGCCACTCTACGTTTTTGTTTATCTGTAGAATATAGATAACCTTAAGGATAAGCTACCCTATTAAATGAAAAAACATTATATAAAGTTTAAAACAATGTAGGGTACCTGGTAAATGCTAAATAACTGATGCCTATGAATAATAAACCCCTAATTAATTCTGATGTTCTTTCAAACAAGTTAAATTGATTCTGATAAAAGAGTCAATTGTTACATCTTCTATTACAGTTTTTTTTTTTATTTTTATTTTTTCAACGTTTATTTATTTTTGGGACAGAGAGAGACAGAGCATGAACGGGGGAGGGGCAGAGAGAGAGGGAGACACAGAATCGGAAACAGGCTCCAGGCTCTGAGCCATCAGCCCAGAGCCTGACGCGGGGCTCGAACTCACGGACCGCGAGATCGTGACCTGGCTGAAGTCGGACGCTTAACCGACTGCGCCACCCAGGCGCCCCTCTATTACAGTTTTTAAGATGGTTATATGATTCTTATCAGTTTTCCTATTATTTACTATAACCCAGATTTCGCTACTTTTTAAGATACAGACAAGCCATTAAAATATGTACTTAAAATACACAAATACATTAAAATTTATCTTAAAATGCGTATTTTATTTTGGTAGCCAACGACCATCAATCAGACAAAGAAAAGAAAACTAATTTTATGAAGAAAGACAAATCTATGGAGTGGTTTACAGGAAGTGAAGAATGAAATGGCTCAACTAAACCAACTTGGAATCATTAACTACAAAATGTCAAACTACAAGACAAGTGTCAAAATGGGACATTTAAATTGTTTTGAAATGTTACACATTTTCCTTCAGCTTTTGTTATTTTTTGAAATTATATGTAAAAGTTATACAAATCATATAGCAAAAAATTTCAATCTATGAAAGTAGTGTTTTGCAATATAAAGTTCTATTTTGATACCTTTCCTTCTTCACATCAGTTGCTACCCTCTGAGGTACTCAGTTAAGTTGTGGTTTAAACTTCCTCAGCTTGACAAGAAATGCTAATTTAAGGAGAGAGAAAAAAAGTAAGGTCATTACAATAATTAGAAGAAAACACCATTTAATATGACCTGAAAACATCACTCACCTGTATGACCAGTTTGCCAGTGTATAGGTCTAGCAATATAGGGAAATGATCCATATGGAAAATCCGAATGTGATTCTTCTGTTGTAGAAAATATATATTATAAGCTACATAAAATATGTTATAATTTGCTCACAAAACTGTTAAAATACAAATTACTGTTTCTTTTAAGTTTTTTCTCTCAGACATTTTTTTCAGCATTTGTTTTGGAGCTACTCTGCCAGTTATCTTACAAAACAATTTGAAAAGGATTAAATGATAAACTTGTATATGGTTTTATAACCAAATGGGTGAGCTTATATATCATAAATCAATGGATATTTGAAAACTTGTTCAAGACCTAAATAATGTGTACATACAGCAAGGACTTAAATTTAGTTCTTTGACAAATTCTAGCAGTGTCCAGAAGTTGCTTTTTGGAATATTAGCCATTTGCATATTAGGTCCTATTCTTTGCCTTCAGTAATAATCACTGACCTAAATTAAAAACATCCTTTAGTATATTTAAAGTATTTCATAAGCCAACCTCCTTGATACAAGTAAAATACAAATATTATAAGAAGTTCAATTCTTCAAAGGTATCAGAGTTTTACATAAAAGGCAAAAAAACATTACTCTGTCCCTTAAGAGATTTTAATTTAACAAAGAAATAGTATATTTCATCTTCTCTAGGGGAAAAAAAACCCAAATCCCTGAGAAACAGCTCTGAATATTGGTCAATACACTCAGGAGCCTATTCTCGATTTATTATTGCAAACACATATGAAATAAAATTGAAGCTTACCATGGTCATCCTCTTGAAACATCTCATCTTCAATGCTAACTTTCTTTTGAGAATGTAATTGTAAATCTGTATTGATTTTAGGTTCTACTTTTTGAGGTAAAGTTCCATTTTTCTGTTTTGCAAGGCAAACCAACCAATCTCTGACAATAACTTCACTTATCTTTTCACATGTGAGAGCAAGTTCACAGATGCGAATTCCATCTAAAAGTTCAATAACCTGTGTGATGCTTTTAGAAAAGTGGAAAAAATGTACTTTAAATTTCTACAAAAATAGTAACTTTATACTTAAGTTCACTATATCTCTTGACCCAAATTCAAAGGCTATAGTTAAATGAAGGGGGAAAAACAAATACGCAAATTAGAGCACACAATAAGCACTTTCATAGAAAGTAAAAAAATACAGAGACCATAATTTAACATAATTGTTCACAATACACTTTTAAAAATTTTCTTCTAAATTGTCAGAAGAAATACACATCTTATATTACCATTTAGGTAAAGGATGATTTAAACAGCAATATAAATTAATTGGGACATATGTCATTTCGTAAGTTTTATGAGATGAACTATATACCTAATTCTAATTCAGTTACAAAATGAACACTTTAACCAAATACTTAAGACAAAATAAAAGTGTATTTAAAATCACATTACAGGGGCACCTGGGTGGCTCAGTCGGTTAAGTGTCCGACTTCAGCTCAGGTCATGATCTCGTGGTTCTCAAGTTTGACCCCCATGTTGGGCTCTGTGCTGACAGCATGGAGTCTGCAGCCTGCTTCAGATTCTGTGTATCCCTCTCTCTGCCCTCCCCTACTCAGGCTCTGTCTCTCTCTCTCTCTCAAACATGAAAAAAAATTTTTTTAAATCACATTACAAAGAATAGCCACACTACTCACTTTGCTAGATATACAGCACATATACCACCCTGTTTAAGATTTGGGTATAAAACAGGCAAAGCAACTTGAGGATTCAACATATCCAAAGCAACCTGTTGAGAGGAAAGCAAATCAGACTGAGTTTTTTTTAAACAAAGCACAAGTTTTCTTTCTTTACTGTGGTATAATGATACACTTTAGAAAGCGATTACTCAGTTACAGTTTTCATTTTTTAAAATATAATACTATTAACTATCATTTTGCTGCTCCCCCCCAAAAGGCATATTTACTGTTACATGATTTGTCATAGTACTTGACTATATGAAAATCATAATGGCATGTCTTACACTTGGCAATACTGATAATACAGGAATCTTTATTTAGCTGTATTTCATATACACATATGTATACAAATACATACTTTATAAAGTTTCACTCAATACTTTAATTCAGCTTTTGGCAGCAGGAATTCACATGATCTCAAATATGTATTTTTATGCTCAACAGGAAAGTTATGAATATTAATTTCAGAGATTCTAAAATGTAAGAATCATGTCCCTTGTTTGTTTATTCTTTATTCAACTGCAGACTATAAGGCTATAACTCACAAAAGCTGTAAATGAATTCAATGAATAAACAAAATTTTTAAAAATCACTTAAAATAGGGGCGCCTGGGTGGCGCAGTCGGTTAAGCGTCCGACTTCAGCCAGGTCACGATCTCGCGGTCCGTGAGTTCCAGCCCCGCGTCGGGCTGTGGGCTGATGGCTCAGAGCCTGGAGCCTGTTTCCGATTCTGTGTCTCCCTCTCTCTCTGCCCCTCCCCCGTTCATGCTCTGTCTCTCTCTGTCCCAAAAATAAATAAACGTTGAAAAAAAAATTAAAAAAAAAATCACTTAAAATAAAATAGGGTCAAAATAGAAAATACAGTGGCTTTCACTGATGGATAACTCTGAAAGCTAAGGGTAGTTGGTACAACAACATATTTATTAAATTAGAAATTATTCCATTATTTGTCTTTTTTAAATGGCATTAATGGTTCATCATTCATTCACCAAATATTTACTGAGCACCTTCCATGTGCCAAGCATTTTGCTAAGTAGTAATAAGAAACTCTGTTTCAAGAGAACATATATCCTAATAAAGGGATAGACATTAAACAAGAATCCAATAGATATGTAAATCAGAGGAGGATAAGTGACAAGAAGAACTATAGAATTACAAAGCAAAGTAAGAAGGATACAGAGTAACAAGGAAAGGAAATGCCATTTTATATATAGGTTGGTCAGTAAAGAGACCTGAAGAAAATCATTAAGCTTACCCTGTGGAAATTTAGGGGGTAAGTATGCTCCAGATGGAAAGAACAGCAAATACAAATGTTCTGAGGCTGTAGGATACTTGGTGAATCTGAGAAGGCCACTGTCACTGCAGTGGAGACAAAAGGGGGAAATGGTAAGAGATGAATTCACTCACAATTCAGTGGCATGAAGTACATTCAGACTTATTAAATCCATACATAGAGAAGATTGAGAGAGGGCAAGGAAGGATGAGGACTTGCAACAAGCAAACAGCATTGTATGCCATGAGCGGTATACATTTTGAAAAGGTAGAGCCACTGGGCTGATGGCTCAGAGCCTGGAGCCTGTTTCCGATTCTGTGTCTCCCTCTCTCTCTGCCCCTGCCCCGTTCATGCTCTGTCTCTCTGTCCCAAAAATAAATAAACGTTGAAAAAAAAAAAAAGAAAAGAAAAGGTAGAGCCAGTTGCAATTAGGATTGGTTGTGAGATGTGAGACAAAGAGGAATCAGGATGAATCCAGTGTTTTCAGCCTAAGCCACAGAAAGAATAGAGATGTCCTTTTCCAATGAGGAAAATGATGAAGACTATGGGAGGAGCAGGCTTGGCAGAAATAATCAAGAATTCAGGTTTGGACATGAGTTTAAAATGCCTATTAGATTCCAAGGAAAGATCCCAGTGACTGAATCAAAGGGTCAAGACGATGAACATTAATGGGTTTCTTTGGGTGTAGTTTGTCTATGTTATTGACGGGACCAAAAATCAGACAACCAAGAAAACTGCCAATCCTGTTGAATACTTTCTTCTCAGTGAACATTTCCATCTAGTCACTCAAACCAGAAACTTGTTGGAGTCATCATTTTCTTTACCTTGAACTCTCTTTCGAGGATCTGTGGAGTCTGACACTTCTGTTTGGATTAAAATTATCCAGCCCCACAAATATACCTCTGAAGTATTGTTCAAAGTCATCCTACTGCTAATGCCTTAGATCAGGACCTCATTGTATCTTGTTGAAACATTACAATAGCTTTCTACATAGACTCACAGCTTCCGTCATTGCACCACAATTACTCTCAAATAGAAGAGTACACTTATCTTGATGAGTACTAATACATGGAACTGCTGAACCACTATATTGTACACCTGAAACAGATCACTGTATGTTAACTACACTGGAATAAAAAAAAAAAAAAAAAAAGAATTACTCTAAAATGGGAATTTGGACATTCTGCTTCTCCACTAGGAACTCATCAGTAGTGGGGCGCCTGGGTGGCTCAGTTGATTAAGTGTCTGATTTGATTTCGGTTCAGGTCATGATCTCATGGCTCGTGAGTTTGAGACCCGCATCAGGCTCTGTGCTGACACCTCAGAGCCTGCTTGAGATTCTCTCTCCTTTTCCCTCTCTTCCTGGTGCTCCCCCCACCCTCTCCAAAATAAATAAATTTAAAAAAGAAATTTTTTTTTATATAGGTAATGTTCCCATTACCTATAAGATAATGTCCATATGCCCTAGCTTGAAATATACATAAGTGTTCTTCATTATCTAGCCCCCGATGACTACATTTGCAGTTTCATCTCATGACACCTAATTTCTACAGTCGTGGTATTCCACACTTGTGAGTCTTTCCAGTAATTGTATGTCTATCTTCTAGAATGAAAGCTCCTTTAAATGTATACTTCATTTCTGTCTTAGCATAGTACATTGCAGTACAAAACAGATCTTTAATAAATGCTTATTGTATCAAGAAACAGTGGTTCAATAATTCAGAGAATGATGATAATCCCCCAGTTAGGTGAGTAAGGTATATTCCAGTGAAGAAGGTGACCTCTGATCTAAACTTTGAAGGAAAAGTAGAATTTAAACAGGTGAGGAAAAGGAGAGAAATAATAAGATGAAAATCATAGCTAATATTTCTTTAATGCTTACTATACATGAGGCACTGTTCTATGCACTTTATATGAAGTATCTTATCTAATCCTCAACAACTCTATGAAATAGGAAATATTGTTATCATTCCTGTTAATATGTGAAGAGACTGAGGTACAGAAAGATTGAAGTAACTTACCCAACGTCATCTTGGCTATTATGGGAGCCCAAGAGTGAACCAGGCTGAGTGGACTCTGAAACTTATTTCCCTCTTCCCGTTCCCTTTCTCTCCTCAGAGATAATCATTGTCCTGAAGTTGGTAATGTTCCCAAATAATTTTCTACTTTTACAACATATGTATATTGCTACAAACGATACATGGTACCGTTTTACGTAGTTTTAAATTTTACATATACACACATTTTTTATAATGCTTTTTTCACTAAACATCATGTCTTTGAGATTTACTGATGTAGATATAATACACTATTTCACTATGTTAAATAATACTATTTTCAGTATCCCATTGTGTGCATTCCCCTTCTGCTGGTTAGGCTTTTTAAAATTTCTCAAAAATATTTTATTAGCCATTTTTTCTCCTTTTGTTCTCTTTGTGGTTTTCCACCTTTTTTGTTCAGTTTAGCATCATTTCGGATGGCAGGAGTATGACTCCTCCTATATTTCTCATACTGATAAACATCTGGCACTATGCTCAAGAGTCCGCTGAATAAATCTAGTAAGGAATATTCTTTGAGATCAAGGATGGTTCGGCAGGTTTCTAAAAAGCTTCAATGATATCATTAGAATCCTTGTGTGTCATGATCATCAAACAAACTTCTGATGACCAATTAACCTCCCAGGTATCTATGACATTCTTATGGATAGCCTAGGTAGAGAAAAAAAAAAAAAATTGGGGGGGGGGACCCTTACTGAGCTGTAATATGCAAAACAAACAAGGATAAAGAAAAAAAACTGTATGGGGCACCTGGGTGGCTCAGTCGATTAAGTGTCTGACTACGACTCAGGTCGTGATCTCATAGTTCAGAGTTCAAGCCCCGCGTTGGGCTCTGTGCTGATAGCTCAGGACCTAGAGCCTGCTGCAGATTCTATGTCTCCTTCTCTCTCTGCCCCTCCCCCATTTGCACTCTGTCTCTCTCAAAAACATTAAGGGGAAGAAAAAAAAAATGGAATTGTGGTCCTTGTGTCCAGGATCTGTGTCACCAAAACTATAGACTTTAAGAACGCTAAAGATAGGAACCAGTCTTGATAAAAATCTCATTTTTCAACCAGTTTCCCTCATAAATGTCCTAAAGTAATCCAACTTTCCAAAAGCCAATTAAGAAAAGCAAAGAAGACTCCTTACCTAGACCTCAGTCTGTAGTGTCAAGCTATGAAATGATAATGGAATCATCAAGGATAAGGTAACTTATTCGAATTCTGAGGGGCACCTGGGTGGCTCAGCTAGTTGAGCATCTGACTTTGGCTCAGGTCATGATCTCATAGTTCATGAGTTTGAGCCCCATGTCGGGCTCTTTGCTGACAGTTCAGAGCCTGGAGCCTGCTTTGGATTCTGTGTCCCTCTCTCTCTCTGCTCCCCCCAGAGCTTTCTCTCTCACAAAAATAAACATTAAAAAAAATTTTTTTTAATAAATAAAGAATTCTGAAACTCTGAGGCCACCTAATACCTCCACGTCCCACATCTCCACCATAACTGGTCACAGCCTAAAATATCATCCTGTCATCAACTATCCTTCTCCCCTAACTGAACCTCCCAGTGCTCCTCCTCCTTACAAATCCATCCACTCCACTTTCTGGAGCTGTGTTCATAACAAATGCCTCTGTCCTCAACATCTTTAATGAGCGCTCATCTACATCCTGACATTAACTGTTCAAAGATTCCTCTTGGCTATTCTCTCACAAATGGAGGCCATTTATTCCCCCAAATCTCACAACGTGAAGTCAGGCACTAGGATCAATATGCTTCCAATGCTGCTTCCAAATTATTATTCCTTTATCCTGGAAATGCTGAAGTTAGTCACTCCTCTTCGTATTTGGTTTGGTTATTACTCCACATTTATTAACAACTTTGACATCTGATTCAGTATGTCTTTCTACTCTAAATCCTATCATGATATTAAAGGAAAATATTCCTCCTACAGATAGAAATGGTGCAAATAATGAAGGAAGAGCCTTCCGTATAAAGTATGATGCCTGTTTTCTTTGTAGTCAGTATTAGATAATATCATAGCACCCACTTTAGAAAACTTACCGCATCAAATGTTAAAGATTTTATATCTTCAGTTGCTCCTGAAATATCCTTATGAATAAAATTCACATTGTCTGGCCACTCTTCTACATGACTTATTTTCCATGAATCACACCAGTTTTTATAATTCTTCTTAGCCAATTCAAGGTGGTCTTTTCGTATTTCAAAACTGAGGACTTGTCCTTGTGATCCCACTTAATTAAAAAAACAACTTATGATATTTCATTGTATTTATTAGTTCATAAAAGATTATAAAAAATTATTTTGCAAAGGTAGTATATGGATGTGAAAAAATAATACAAATAGTGCATGGTGTAATACAAATAATACAAAACTCTCTATCGCATCACAGAGCCTTAATCAATCTTCTTCAGAGGCAACCATGTTACTTTGGTTACCTACTTTACCATGTGAAGTGTCTCTCCCTGTTTTTAACACACATTAAAACATACATGTATTATATATACTGTCCCATGCTTACCTTCTTACTTACCAGTGATATTTCAGTGATTAATGATCTACTACATTCTTTTTAAGAGCTACTATGTTCCATCGTATGGCTATTCCATAGTTTATTTAACCAATCACCTACTGATGAACATTTAGCTTGTTTCTAGTCTTACGCTATAACAAACAATACTGCAATGAAAATTATTTTCCCTAAATCTTTGTATTCATGAAATGACAGTCCTAAAAATGAAACTGCTAGCTCAAGAGGTATGTGAATTTTTTATTTTGAAAATCATTACAAAATTATCCTCCAGAAAAATGATACCAATTTACACTCTACCAACAACGTAGTAGAGTACTTATTTCTCCATACTTTCTTCAAGAAAGAGTTTTCAAACTTTTTATCTGTGTCAATCTAAAAACTGAATATAGGGGTGTCTGGATGGCTCAGTGCATTAAGTGTCTGACTTTGGCTCAGGTCATGATCTCGCAATCTGTAAGGTCAAGTCCTGCACGGGGCTCTGTTCTGACAGGTCAGAGCCTGGAGGCTGCTTTGGATTCTGGTCTCCCTCTCTCTCTGCCCCTTCCCTGCTCATGCTCTGTCTCTTTCTCTCAAAATAAACATTAACAAAATTTTAAAAAAGGAAAACAAGAAAATATAAGTAAGTAAAAACTGAATAACTTATCACTGAAGTTATAATTTACATTTCTTTAGTTATGGATGAAGTTAGGCCTTTTATTTTTGTTTTAGTACAAGCTTTTTTTTTTTAACATTTATTTTTTAGAGAGTGAGAGTTAAAGAGCAAGCAGGGGAGGGGCAAAGAGAGAGCAAGACAGAATCCCAAGCAGGCACCACGCTGTCAGCACAGAGCCCAACACAGGGCTCGAACTCACAAACTTTGAGATCAAGCCCTGAACCAAAACTAAGAGTTGGATGCTTAACCCACTGAGCCACCCAGGTACCCCAGCCATTCATACATTTAAAAGAGATTTGTATTTTTGTGTGTGTCTGAAAAACTTTTAAACTGTTTACCATGGTAATAGTGGAGTTTCTGCAAAAGACTAATACGTATTTTAATTTACAGCAAAAATTTTCCACCCACCTCTGTTTGAGGTGATTTGCATATCATTTGGAAGCTGTCCCACATCAGTCTGTCGTTTACTAATGGAAAGTTTAAATTTATTTATTTATTTGTAATGTTTATTTATTTTTGAGAGAGAGACAGAATATGAGTGGGGGAGGTGCAGCGAGAGAGGGAGACACAGAATCTGAGGCAGGCTCCAGGCTCTGAACGTCAGCACAGAGACAATGTGGGGCTCAAACTCACAAGCTGTGAGATCATGACCTGAGCTGAAGTTGGACGCTTAACCAACTGAGCCACCCAGGCGCAATGAAAACTTTAAATTTAAAAAAGAAAATTTTTTTAATGTTTATTTATTTTTGAGAGAATGTGAGAGACAGAGAGAGAGAGAGAGAGAGCACGTGCATGCGCGAGTGAGTGGGGGAGGGGCAGAGAGAGAGAGAGAGGCAGACACAGAATACTAAGCAGGCTCCAGGCTCTGAGCTATCAGCACAGAGCCTGATGTGGGGCTTGAACCCACAAACTGTGAGATCATGACCTGAGCTGAAGCTGTATGTTCAACAGACTGAGCCACCCGGGGGACCTCTCTAATGAAAAGTTTAAATTCAAGGATGTCTTTTGAAATGTAACTCCAGCTGCAATGCATCATGTTCTCAAAAGATAAAAATGAGTGATAATAATAGCATAAGCTAAACAATTAGAAAAGAAAATTATGGAGAAAAAAATCCATCCCAAAAGTAAATAGCAATAATTTGATCACTCATAGTTTGGGATTATTCATGCCATGACACTCCTCTGATACTATAGATGTTAGAAATATGGGCACTCCTCTCACAAATTTTTTATAAATTCACTCTATCAAATGCCTTTAGGAATCAGTCACTGTGAAGAAATTACTGCCTTTAAAAATAAATAAATAAATAAATAAAAAATAAAAAAAAAAAAAAAAGAAATTACTGCCTTTAACTATGTACAGAAAAGAATCAAACAAAAGATTTGAGGAGGCCAGAATGAATTTCCTGACCTTGTATAAACTGGATTATGTTTGTATGTGATGGCATTAGGTCAAAGAACAAAAGGTTTAATTCAGTGTATTTCTATCTGTACTCCTTATAAAATCTACCCATATACACCTTCAACAGCTGTAACAAAGTTTATTATTTAAAAAAGAATGCAGGAGGATTATGAGCAAGAGGAGACATGAGGAGGTTTCTGTGATGCAGCAACATTCCTTGTCTCGATCTGGGTGATGAGTACTTGATATGGTTACTACATTAAAAATTCTGGGGCGCCTGGGTGGCGCAGTCGGTTAAGCGTCCGATTTCAGCCAGGTCACGATCTCGCGGTCCGTGAGTTCGAGCCCCGCATCGGGCTCTGGGCTGATGGCTCAGAGCCTGGAGCCTGTTTCCGATTCTGTGTCTCCCTCTCTCTCTGCCCCTCCCCCGTTCATGCTCTGTCTCTCTCTGTCCCAAAAATAAATAAACGTTAAAAAAAATTAAAAAAAAAAATTCTTTGAAGTCTACACACTTATGATCAGTGCACTATGGCTACGTTACATCCCAATAAAAAGTTTAAAAAAAAAAAAAAGGAAGAAGCCCTAAAATACATGGAGGGAGCAAGAGAAAACACAGAAAATGGAGAGAGGGTTACAAAGAGAATGACTAGAATGAACGTACAATATGGAAAGAAAAATAGTTGCCTGCATTTAGTTTCAAGAAGAATGCTCTTGATCACAAAGTTATGTGAATATTTTCTAAAACATCTTCATTTTACTTTCTGTTATTAGGAAAGATCGAACATTTTCTTTGCCCATCTAAACCCTGCTCATTTATCCCAATCTCTTACCTGCTTTGGATAAAAATAAGCTCATTCCACCAGAGCCTGAGCCAGCTTCCAAAACAGTATCACCTGGGTGGATATCCATCATCGACAGTATCATATTCATATCCTATGATTGAAACACAGTATAGGTGACTCAGTGACCAATAAATATGTACTAAGTACACACTCTTACCAAACACTGTGTTGGACTCAGAGAAGAAACGTGTGAAAAAAAAGGATTAAACTCTGGTCCAGTCTACCAAGAGCTTATATTTTACTTGATGAAATAAGAGATTCAAGAATTGGTTAGTAAATAAAGCAGCACTTTAGCATAATACCAAAATTACAGACATTAAGTAACAATAGGAGTTCAAAGAACAGAGAAATCAGCAGAAGGCCCTCACTTAAAAGGTGTAGAGAATTGGGGCGCCTGGGTGGCGCAGTCGGTTAAGCGTCCGACTTCAGCCAGGTCACGATCTCGCGGTCCGTGAGTTCGAGCTCCGCGTCAGGCTCTGGGCTGATGGCTCGGAGCCTGGAGCCTGTTTCCGATTCTGTGTCTCCCTCTCTCTCTGCCCCTCCCCGTTCATGCTGTCTCTCTCTGTCCCAAAAATAAATAAACGTTGAAAAAAAAATTTATAAAAAAGGTGTAGAGAATTTAAGGAAACAATCATGAAGTAGAACTGGTATGACCATGATTAAAAACTGAAATAAACCACTAGCAATGGACGATTATGATAAAACTATAACAAGGAACCTTAGGAAGTTCATTTATTTATAAAGAATATCTTTTATGTTTAGTGTTCAGTGTCAAATGTTTTCATACAAAAATGTTTTCTCTAAAGAGAAAAAGCATTACCCCTAGTAACATGGCTTATTAAATGATGATTAAAATATCTCCATATGGTACTAAAAGAGTTGAACATTCTCGGGTCCTGAATTTGCAAACTTAATGGTTATGGGAAACAAATGTAAGTACTTATTAGTGCCTCGTTAGTCCACATTACTCTGTATAGTAAGTCAATATTCTTTTCACTTTGCAGATGAGAGAACTGACACTCCGAAATTAAAATTAAAGGTGACGGTTTCCCCCTAAAATTAGCAATCATAAGATATGCAAAGTTCATATGCATTGTTTTATTTTATTATTTTTTTAAGTCTGAGAACAATTTAAATGTTCTGAGATGTGCTTTTTTTTTTTTTTTTTTTTTTTTTTTTTTAATGTTTATTTTTGAGAGAGAGAGAGCATGAGCAGGGAAGGGGCAAAGAGAGGGAGACACAGAATCCAAAGCTGGCTCCAGGCTCTGAGCTATGAGCACAGAGCCCCACGCGGGGCTCAAACCCACTACCCCTAAGATCACCACCTGAGCCAAAGTCGGAGGCTTCAACAGACTGGGCCACCCAGGCGCCCCTGAGATGTGCTTTAAGTACATGAATCAGGACTGCAGTTCCGCACCCGTTTTGTTCTTTCTGGAATCAGTACACACTTAATTCCCACCGCATTACCTTCGGATATGTTATGGCAGGCCCTCTTTTCATCAGTAATACATAGTCTTCCAACGCCGGCCTCCTCAGCATGAAGTGCTTCCCAGAGGAACTCCTCAGTATCTGGCCGGGAAACTTCCCCACGATCTCGCTGAACGGGACTGTCCCCCAGCTACTATTTAAGTGTCCGGCGTTACTCAACCTAAATAATTTTTTAAATTGTGTCTCTCTCTTCCCCGTCTCGGCTAAGATCAGCTCCCCAGCGCGAAAGGGCCCCTCTCTGGAAGTCGACCGGGAAGAGGAGCCATGAAGCTCTTCTACCTCGGTCCCGGACTGGGCCAGGGAGGGCGGCAAGGGACCCCCGGCTCCCCGGTGAGCGGGACCGGGCTGGCCCTGGTCTCCGCTCGAGTCCTCGCGCTCTTGAGGGGGTGACTCCTCTCGTGGCGTCGGCAGTCTGAGGCTTTCCAGCGACGAAAGACGTCTGGTCCCAGTGCCTCGGACGCGCGGAGGGAGAGACGGAGGCGACTCTGTGCCAGGAGCTTTCCTCCGTGACGCTTCGCGCCGTCCCTCTCCATCCCGTGCGTCTCTAGGGGAGGATTCGCAACACACTGACCGGGCTGTCTCCAAAGGCTCTGGCACAAGGCCGCGCAGGAAGGAGAAGGTCGTGAGCCCAGGCCACCCCCGAAGGAGCCGCAGCCGTACGAAGCCCAGACCTCGCCGCGCGGCTGGCAGCATGCTCTCCGGCGCAGGCGCCGTCGCACACAGTGACGTGAGGCCGTTCGAGGCCCTCTCGCGGCCACACGCGCTGACGCAGCCGCCGCTGAGTGTCCGCAGCTTCTTCGCAGGAAGAGCTCTGCGACTGCGCGTGCGTGCAGAGGGGCCGAGGAGGCCGAACTGGGGGTGTCGGGGCCCCCGGGTGTCGCTGAGTTAACTGTCTCTGGAGCGAGTCGCACTCCCGCGCGGGGGCCCATTTTCCTCCTCGGAATGTGGGCCGAGTAAACAGTTGACCGCTGACCCATTCCGCCAGCCTCACCCCGGGGACAGGAGGCTTACGAGAGACAAAAGCTGTCAAAGCGCTGTGTAAACTGAAGTCCTGCACCAGCGTAGGCTCACTAGCCTTCAGGAACACTAACGTCACCTGGTCACCCCCAAGATGTCGGAGGAAAAAGCCCAGAGATGCGTTTGGCTGGCGGCGTTTGGACGGCCATCCGCTGACCCGCGTTCTTTCCCTGACCGCGAAGTCCTTCCCCACCCCCTCACCCCCAACCCTAGCAAGTCCCTTGGACCGGGCTCTGACCCTCTGCATGCCTGCCCCAGGCCCAGGGAGTCCCGAAGGGCCGATTAAAGTGATAGTTGTCACTGTGTGCTTATTTAGCAGAATTGTTTTTGATAATTAAAATATAACAATTATGTTACCACCCCTAAAACTAAGTAGAATCATCTTTAAGGGTGGAAAAGGTCATTGCTAAAATAGGGTTGTAGGGTACAGGGATATTACAGGCTGAATTTAATCCCTTCAGGATTCATACAGCGCGGTCCTAATCCCCAGTATCTCAGAATGTGACTGTATTTGGAGATAAGGTTAAAGAAACAATTAAGTTAAAATGAAGTCACTGGGGGGGGGGGGGGCGAAGTCATTAGGGGGTGGGACCTAATTCACTATGAGTGGTGTCCTTACAAGAAAAGGAGATTAGAAAACAGGAACTCAGGGAAGACCAGCTAGACAGGCAGCAGAGGTCCATCTACAAGCCCAGGAGAGAGTCCTCAGAAGCAACCAAACCTGCCCACAATTTGACCTATGTGTTCCAGAACTGTGAGAAAATAAATTTCTGCTGTATAAGCAAAAAAAAAAAAAAAAAAAAAAGCATCGACTGGATTTTTGGATTCTTTTTTATTGGATCTCTTTAAAAATCATTTATTCAGGTTTTGGCACCCTACCCCAAAAGAATGAAATAAAAATAAATTTATTTAATCCTAAAACCAAACAAAACCAGGAAAAGGTTATCTTTGGAGTCCAAGGTCTAATTTGACATTAAATGTCACTAACTTGTTGATTAATTTAGTTGGTAAAAGTTTACTGAGGGTTTGACAATACCAAGCATGTTGGATATTTTACTGATTTAACTATACAACAACACTGTGTTAGAAATAAGTATTCCTCCTTTATGCATAAGAAAACTGACCCAGGGAGGTTAAATTATTTGGGCAAGGTCCCAAAGCTGACAAGCGGCATGACAGGGTTCCTGACCTAGGTCAGTCTGCTTCCTAGCAGTCCACGCTCTTTGTACTGTAACACCCCTTCCCAAAAACTGGTCAACAGTACAATTGAATTTAGAATTCAAGTCAAAATATGGTCAAAAGGCTATGAATTCAGTTTCAGTTTGATAAAAGAAGTCTTTTTGTTGCTTTTGAAGACAAATTAAAACTTTCTAAACTGTGCTTTCTAAAACATCAGCCACCACAAACTCCATTATCAGGTTTCTCTCTTTCAGTCCTGAAAATGAATAAAGAAACTGCTCTGACCCTCCACCCCAACTGTTCGTCTCACTTCTGTTTTTGATTTGTTTTGATTTGGTTTTAAGGAAGTTTTCTTGTTTTGTTTGTTTGTTGAGAGAGAGAGAGAGAGAGTAGGGGGGCAGGGAGGGAGAAGGGCAGAGGGAAAGAGAGAATCCCAAGCAGGCCCCACACTCAGTGCAGAGCCCCACTTACCGCTCTCCATCCCATGACCCTGGGATCATGACCTGAGCCAAAATCAAGAGTTGGACGCTCACCTGACTGAGCCGCCCAGGCACCCACCTATGTTTTTTAAGAAAGTTTCTATGATTTTAAGAAATCTTTTTATTATTACTCCCAAATGAGGGCCTGGGTTGGAACTGTCTGAATCCTAAGCCCTACCGATGGTTTTAAAATTTATCATTCCTGCTTTATTATCTCTTAAAGATGATTAAATTGTATTTGGCTGTTATTTCAGAAGGAGTAGGGCTTGGAAAGAAGAAGATATAATGACAGAATATGGGAAATAAGTTTACATATCTTTGATTTCTAACATAAACTGTAAAAAGCAAATAGCACCCCTTTTTATTATTTGAATAAGACACAATGTTAACTTTTTTTTAACTTTTTTTTTTTTTTTTTTTTGGGGGGGGGGACAGAGAGAGACAGAGCATGAATGGGGGAGGGGCAGAGAGAGAGGGAGACACAGAATCGGAAACAGGCTCCAGGCTCCGAGCCATCAGCCCAGAGCCCGACGCGGGGCTCGAACCCACGGACCGCGAGATCGTGACCTGAGCTGAAGTCGGACGCTTAACCGACTGCGCCACCCAGGCGCCCCAAGACACAATGTTATAAATCTTTGTCCTACACACATCTAATGAAATACATTAACATATGTTGAAAAATACAATTAATCCTTATTGATTGATGATCTTTCAGAGCATTTAAGCTCTCAAAAAGTCACTATGTGTGCCTTTCTGTTTTTGACTATCCTTTTCCCTTTCCTTCCGTCTTCCGTAGGAAACTGTCAGCCTGTACTCTGAAACTATTCTCTGACAATATGAGGCATCATCAACTCATATTTATAAGGCCAGTGTCATTTAGTCAAGCAATTACTTTAAAGTCCAAATAGCTTTCAAGAAGTACTGTGGCTGATGGCTAACATCTTAAAATCTCAAGTCGAATTAGACCATCAGTTCTAATTCCACCAATGTTCTCCTCTACCTCTTTGAGTGTGCTTCTTTCCGCTCTTTTGTATAATTTTCCCTCATCCTTCAGGTATCAACCTCACCAGAATGGTGGCTTATAATAACTCCAAAACACTGGGAGAAGTGACTCTCCTATGTGTTCCTGGTATATATCCTGTCTTTAGACCAAACCCTGCATGGTGCATGTCAGATTAAATAAAATCACTGTTTATTTACCATTTCTGAAGTTAGAGGATAAGATTGTGGAGAGGGTTGTGTCTAACTCATCATTATAATTCCATTGCCTGTCATAGTGCCTGGAACCCAATGTGCCCTCAATAAATATTTGTTGAATAAATGATTGAAGAAAGTAGGAAATGAGAATAACAGCAGCCCTGATACCTAGGTGCCTATACTAAATAATTCAGCACGTAAATATGGTCCAAATATATTTAATAGTTGTATGTTTTATTCTGTATCTTTACATGTACTTAGCTTTTACTAGAACTGCTGAAGTTCATGATTTTTTTAAAACTGATTTTTAGCAAAACATAAAGTATCTAAATCTGAGAATATAACTGCTTTTCTCTTGCTCTTTCATGTGTTTCCCCCTGTTGCTGCTGAACTTGAATCTGGATTCTGTAAAACTCCTCTAGGATATACTGTTGTGTGTTAGAAATTGAAGGAGTCAATTGAAGGAGGTCAAAAGATACAAACTTTTAGATATAAAATAAATAAATCCTGAGGATGTAATGTACAACATGGTGACAATAGTTAATATTACGTTGCATATTTGTAAGTTGCTAAGAGAGTACATCTTAAAAGTTCTTACACTGTCTCGATATTATAGCTTTATTGTAAATTTTGAAATCAGGTAGTAGGAGTACGCCAATTTGTTTTTCTTTTAGATAATTGCTTCACTTTGCATTTCCATATAAGGATTAATTTACCAATTTCTACAAAAAGTCCAGCTAAGGAGCACCTGGGCAGCTCAGTCAGTTAAGTGTCCAACTCTCGGGTTCAACTCAGGTCATGATCTAGTGGTTGTGAGTTCAAGCCCTGTGTCAGGCTCTGTGCTGGCGGTGTGGAGCCTGCTTAGGATTCTCTCTCTCTCTCTCTCTCTCTCTCTCTCTCTCTCTCTCTCTCACCCTCTCTCTCTCTGCTCCTTCTGCATGCACACTCTCTCAAAATAAATAAATAAACATTAAAATATTCCTGATAAGATTTTTGTAGGGATTATTGAATTTACAGAGCGAATTGAGTACAATTACTATCTGGACAATATTGAGTTTATCAGTTCATGAATATGCAACGTCCTTCCCTTTATTTAGGTCTCCTTTAAGTTTTCTCAGCAATGTTTTATACTTTTTAGAATACAAGTCTTGAACTTTTGTTCATTTTTCCCCCAGGTATTTTTTCTGTTGCTATTGCAAATGGAGTCATTCTCAATTTAATATTGATTATCTATTGATAGAATGTAGACATACAATTGATTTTTATATGGATCTTGTATCTTGAGACCTTGCTACATTGATTTATTAGTTTTAGAATTTTTTGAGGATTCTTCAAAATTTTCTATAAGTCATCTGTGAATAAAAATACTTTTATTCTTTCCTCTCCAATTTGGATGGTATTATTATTATTATTATTATTAACTTTATTGCAATAGGTGGAACCTTCAGTAAATATTGAATAGAATTGGTCAGAATGGACAGAATTAACTTGTTTTCAATCTTAGGAGGAAAGCATCAATCTTTCATCATTAAGTATGAAGTGAGCTGTAGGTTTTTTGTAGATTCCCTTTATCAGATTGAGGATATTCCCTTCTGTCCCTACTTTGTTAAAAGTTTTTTTTTTTTAATTATCAATCGGTGTTGGATTCTGTTAAAATCTTTTTCTTCATCAAAAAATGTTTTTCTTTATCTTTCAAGATTATCATGCATTTTTAATCCTTTATTCTGTTAACATGGTATATTACAGTTATTGATTTTTGAATGTTAAGCCAACCTTACATTCCTGGGATAAATCCCATTTGATCATGGTCTTTAATCTTTTTTATATATTGCTGACTAGATTTGCAAATATTCTGTTAAGGATTAGAGACTGATAGGATCTATCACTTTGTAGGATAAAAAGAATGTTAAAAGTTGAATTGTTAGTAAGTTCAATGAAGGCCTGGAATTGGGGCAGAGAGAGGATTAGAAGAGCTTAAATTACAGGCAGAGCAAAAGAGCAGGACCTATAACAAGAATGATAAGGGCAGGAAACCGGAAGCAGGTCAGGGTTTAGTGATGTTTGAGACCATCCACAGTGAATGATGATATTGGGGAGGGTGACAGGGACCAGATTACAGATCGTCTTGTAATGCACATATATTAAACAGCATAGAGTTTCTTCTGTAGATGCCAGCAAGCTTGTGGAGGGTTTCAAGTGGAGAAGTGGAATGGCCAGGTTAATAATCTACAAAAATCGTAGCACTGAGACCAGCGTGGAGAAAGGGAGTCTAATACAAGCAGTGGTGGCAGTTCCAGTGGGAGATATAAGGCTCAGATAAGAACAGAAGTGGTAGAATTGGATGGAGATGAGGAAATTGAATGGAGAATTATTTAAGAGATAAAATAGGATCTGATGATTGATCAGATATGTATATGTGTTTGGGTAGAAGTGAGATGTGGGACTGGGTAACAGGTGGCTTTCTGACTTTCTCCAGTGGCTAACTGGATAGTTGATGGTATCATCAGCTGAGGCAAAGGATATAACAGAATGAGCACAATTAGGTTCGGCTGCATGTGACATAACCCAAAATACTGTAGTTTAAACAGCAGGGTAGTTTAATTTTCTCTTGTATAAAAGAAGTCCAGGCAAGGTGGCCCAGAGCGTATATCATGCTTCAGGGTTTCTAGATCCTTCTATCTTGCTGCTCTGCTATTCTTAGCATGTCGTTTTCTCCTCAAACTCCATCATGGATGCTCTAACTTTTGGCCATCATATTTGAGTTCCAGGAATGAAGAAGGAAAAAAAGCAATGAATAATAGCAAGCCCTGTCACTTTAAGGACATTTTGTACTGGCCTATAGTCACATGGTCTCACAGTTTGCAAAGAAAGCTGGGAGACGTACTCTTTATTCTGGAAAGTCACATGCCCAGGTAAAAAAGTGCCCCAAGGCACCCTGATGTTAGAGAGTGGGAGATAAGGAAGATCCAGGAGAGAAGACAGAGAAGGGGAGCCCAAGAAGCAAGAGGAAGCCAGAAGGGTGTGATGCCACGGAAGACAAGCATGCTGATGATAAGTCATAGGAGATTCAGACTTACAACGGACACATATTTAGCAATGTAGAGGTTACTGTGCCCTTACTGAGAATTTTGGCATAGTGATGGGTTGGAATGAAAATCCCGTTAGAGGAGAGAAATCAGAGGAGAGAGATTAAGAAAATTAGATTACTTTTTTTTTTTTTTAAGGAAAGAAAAGATTGGGACGGTGCCTTTGGGGGAAGTGAGGTAAAGGGAATTTTATTTTTTAGGAAGAAAGAAATAACAGCATGTTTATATGTTGATGAGAAGGATTAAGTTGAGAAGTAAGATTAATGCTGGTAGAGAGAGGAAAGACGTTTTGGAATAATGAGATCTATAACTTATGTGGAGGGGTAGCCTCTGCTAGGAGCATGGACAATTCATCCATAGTGCCAGGAGTGACAGGGCACAGGTCAGTTAGAGTTTGTGGTACCGGAAGCTTGTGGAAGTTCTCTTGTGATTGCTTCTATTTTCTCAAAAAATAGAAGCAAAGTCATCCACTGAGAGCAAGGAGGATGGAGTTTTGAGATGGTAGGAGAAGATAAGAATTAGTGTCTAGGAGAGTGGAAGTGTGAATGGACTCGGGAACAATTGAGAACCTGGCAGCATTGACTTCCCACGTGAAGTTTGTGACCATGAATTTAAAGTGAATAAGAGTCATAATAGGTGGCTGTGACTTTTCTCTAGTTACTTTCAGCTGCTTTGGGGGGAAGAGTTAGGCTTTACCAGGTTTGCAGTTTTACCACGGAAGGACTATGATGTGGGAAAGAGGCAAGGGATTTGAGGGTTGTAATCGTAGACTTTAAGATAAATTAAGGGGGCAACTGGGTGGCTCAGTTGGTTAAGCATCTGACTTCTGCTCAGGTCATGATCTCATGGTTCATGGGTTTGAGCCCCATGTCAGGCTCTGTTCTGACAGCTCGGAGCCTGGAGCCTGCTTTTGGAGCTTGGAGCCTGTTTCAGATTCTGTGTCTCCTCTCTCTGCCCCTACCCTGCTCGCACTCTGTCTGTCTCTCTCTCTCAAAAATAAACATTTAAAAACTTTTTAAAAATTAAAAATATATAAAAATATAAATTAAGAGGAAGGAGCAGCCCTTAAGGAGCTGGAGGGAGCAAGCCTTCCGGAAAGATAGGAGTTAATGGTTAGAGAGTGGTGTGGGAAAATTGAGATTAGGAAGGGGGTGCAGCTATTGTAATGATAAGGTCTGAGACGTGACCATGAGAGTAAGTAAGGTAGAGGCCAAGATCATTGAAAAGGAGGAGGTCAATGAATGATATTTTGGGTATTGAAGGGTCATCGACCTGAGTTTTACATAGTCTCATTGGGTCAAATTGTTTATACTCAAAGATGGCTTAGTTAGAAATCCAACTCCCCCTTTACTGCTCAGCTCTATACCTCAGTTTTGTTACCTGAAAAATGGAGATATTCATAGTTTCTACTTCTTAGGGTTGTTGTGAGGACAGAATGGATTAATGCACACAAAATACTTAGCATAGTACCTGACATATGGTGAGTGCACAACAAGCTTTTATTTTTACTTGTATATTTGTGACTAATCTATAACTCTAGCTCAGACTTTTCTTCATACAGATTTATATATGCTCCTTTACAACAAAGTCCTTGAAAACGTTTCTGAAAATCCCTTTTCTGCACTTTCTCACCTCCTTTTTTCTTTCTCACCCTCTACACTAAGTCTGCCACCCCAAATGCTTTTGTTTTGTTTTTGAGAGAGAGAGAGAGGGCGCAAGTGAGCGAGGGGCAGAGAGACGGGGAGAGAGAGAATTCCACAAGGGGCTGAGAGGGAGAGAGAGAGAAGCGGGCTCACCCAAGTGGGACTTGTGCTCACCAGATGCAGGGCTCAAACTCACTTAAAGTGGGGCTCTAACTCACGAACCGTGAGATCATGACCCTAGCCCCCAAGTCTGATGCTTAACTGACTGAGCTACCCAGGCGCCCCTATTGGATTTTTTTTTTTTTTTAAGATTTTATTTTAAAGTAGTTTTCACACCCAACATGGGGCTTGCACTCATAACCCTGAGATCAAGAGTTGCATGCTCTACCTTCTCGGCCAGGCACCCCTCAACTGTTTTTGAAAAGTCACCAACGCCCTTGATCTTGCCAAATCCTGGTTCGTTTTCAGTCTTCATCTTACAATCTTTGACATGTTTTTGATCAGTTTTGCTTCCTAAATCCTTATAAAGATTTGGTTTCCAGGGCATTTCATTCTCTTGGGCTTTCATCCTACCTGTTACCCATTCTTCATCTTCTTTGCTGGATCTTCCTCCTCTTCCTGACCTCTGAAGGTTGGCACATTTTGGGGCTAAGTTTTCTTTTCTATCTGCACTTATACCCAAAATGCTCTGACTAGTCCCACAGTTTCAAAAAGCATTTGTATGCCAATGCATCCAAACTTCTATCTCTGTGATCTTCTCTTATAGCCAGCTCCTCCTGAACAACTCTATTTGGAGGTACAATAGGCATATCATACTTAACTGTCCAAAACAGAACTCTTGATTTCCACTCCAACCAAACCCGTTTCCCCAATCCAGCTGATGGAATCACCATTTAGTAGTTTGTTCAGGCCTTAGAATCATCTTTCACCTGTCTTTTTCTTACCCTTTGCAATCATTTAGCAAACCTGGTTGGCTCTAATTTCAGGTTACATGTGGAATTTGGTCATTCTCCCCACCTTTACTGCTTTCATCTGAGTCCAGCCCACCAGTGTCCTTCTGTATTGTGTGTCTGCTTCCATTCTTGCCTCTCTTACATCTCCATCCAGAGGCCAGGAGGCCTTTTAAGAAATGTAGATCTGTTTGTTATTCCAAATAATCTAAAACGCAAATGTTACCTTGGCACTCCCTGTTTGTAAAGCTTCAGAGTCTTCCTATATCCCTGAAGGTGGTGTTTTTTGTCTTTACCGCTAGGCAATAAGCTGTGTGGGCTGAATAATATCTGGCATTTCTTGAATTAGAATGCATTGATTTGTTGAAACATTCTGGAGTCATTACAAATTGTCTATTTGATGTAGTAACATGGGATTAATCCTGACGAAATAAGCAGCTCCTACTGTTATTTTTACACTATGATGTCTGAATAAACTACGTGTCTTATGTGTGCACATGATTATAGCGTGGAAGTGGATAAGAAAAAATGAAAACAAATGTCACAATCATGGAGTTATGTGATTATTTCTTCTAAACATTGAGCTCAATCATGTTATAATTAAAAAAAACAACAAACCCAAACCTTTTTCTTTCTTTCTTTTTTTTTGAAAAGAAATGTCCCGCTCTCCAGTCTGCGGTCACGTCCCTCCACAGTCCCCTCCCCCGCAGTATAAGTTAGCCTTGGGCCCTCCGGGCCACCGTCCACAGGCTGGGTCCGCCCAACGCTTGCTCAAGACGCGAGGAGCCGCTCCCTCGGCTGTCTACGCTCCCTCCTCCCGACTTCCTCCCTCCAGGCCCCGCCCCGCACCGGTGCGCACGCGCACAGACGAACACGTGGCTGCCGCGGAGCCAGGGCAGCAATGGCGGCGGGCGGCCGTGGTGTTGCAGACCCCCTGTCCCCGGCAGGGGTTCCTTGCGCCTTCTCCCCGCTGAACCAGGCCTACTTCGCTTTGGCGTCTGCCGACGGTCAGTTGCGAGTGTGGGAGACAGCCAACAATAGGCTGCACCAGGAGTACGTGCCTTCCGCGCACCTCAGCGGTACCTGCACCTGCCTGGCCTGGGCGCCAGCGCGGCTGCAGGCCAAGGTAAAGCAGGCGGGACGGCGGGGGGCGGGCGTCCGCCCGGACTCGGCCTCAGTGCACCCTCGGCCCCACGGCGCGTGGCCCGGCAGCTCGCGCGGCCCTGCGAGGCCCGGGGCGAGGAGGCACAGAGCGTGGCGGCGGCGGCGGCGCGGACTCCATCCACTTCGCCAGTCCCGTGTGCGGCCTGTCCACAGGGTAGCGAAAGAGGGCGCGGCTGGATCCGATGGGCCGTTGACTGGAGTCCCACGACCGACTCCATGCGGTCTGTGCCCCGCGCCCCGCTGTCGTCGGGGCCGCCATGTTCGCATAGGCCCCCGGTCCCCCAGGGCGGCTTGCTTCTGCCAAGCCTCTCGCATCAACATGTGCTCTTCAGTGTCTTGGCTTTTGACAGAGTCCCTCCTTGGGACTGTACTGTTCTTTTCCGATTCCTCTAGTTCATCGGCTTTGCCTTAGGCGATTGGAATGAGTGAGTCTGTTTCCTTGCTTCCGGACACCCCCCCTTCCCCCCCCCCCCGCCCCAACCCTTGGGTGCAGCTCACCACGTGTTCTCTTCCACGTCCAGTGTGTGGGACTCTCACTCTTGAAACTCTTGACTTTCCCAGGTTTGTTTCCATTCTCAGTATTTTGAAACTATATGCTTTTTTATTTTTTAACATCTCAATTTCCCCTTTATACACCCTTTTTAAACCAAGTCTGAAGTCTGCTATAGGATGTGGAGGTAAAGTGAAGTGGCCGGTTTAATTTAATGAATGTCAATCCAGGTGAAGTTTTTTTAGATGGGACACTGCCGAGTTAGGGAAGGCTTTTCACTGTTAGGGCCCCATCTCAGGTAAGATGCCACTCACTGTTTAGTCACTAGACTACGTCTGCTCTAACTCACATGCACGTGGGTACTACAGGTATAGAGTAGTCAAACGGAATCATTCTAACGTGATTTGGAAGCCTCAGGTATCGTGTTTAGCTGACACTATGGGTAAAACTTCAAAAGCTAGTATTTAAGACAGAGTTTTAACTCCATCTGACTACCGTGGGGAGCTTTCTGCTAAATTTTTAGGTTGAAAGTAGGGGTACATCTAACTATGCTTTGGATGAGTATATTTAGGTATTTTTCAGATCTTAAGATAGCTTTTCATAGTTTCTAGATGAAGTGACTTTAGTTGATTATTAAAAGAAACCTTTTTGGGGCTCTTAAGGTGAACTCAGACTCTTAAAAAAAATCATAGGCGTCATTGTTAAAGTTAGAGCAATCTGCATAATTTTCCTTTTCAAAATTATTTTCTATGTTTCTATCTTAACAGTCCTATAAAGAGATGACAATGTTGATGCTGAGGGAAAATCTGGAACAATGATTGGATGCATGGATCCAAGCTCTACTGCTTACATTTAATCTAGGTTTGGCTTCATAGTAATTCAGTAGTTTTTATACCTCTGATTCATCATTGGTAAAACAGGGGTGATAATACCCACCTCATAGAATGGTTGTGAAGGTGAACATGTTTAATAACACATAAGTATTTAGAATAATGTAAGTGCTACAACCACTGGTCATTATTGATATCTCATGTTTGTATGGTTAGTCCTGGCAGGGAAAGATTAACTTTTTGTCTTGTGAAGAAGAAACTGAGGCTCTGGAAAATTAAGCAGCTTGCAAAAAACCAAAAACAGAAATAGAACTCAGGTATTTAGGGCTTAGTTCTCCATTATCTACAACAAATAGTTAATATTAGGTTGGCAGAAGTTTGTTGCCTGCCCCCATCCCTCTTTGCCTCACCCCCCTTTGATTTTCTGTTGACTTAAGTCACATTCTGTGCCTCAGGAATAAAACTTTGGCCTAGTTACAAATTTCCTGTTGAAAGTCATAGTTTTAAGTTATGTATACCAGTCTGATAGAGAAAAATATCTGAATTTGGTTTCATACCCAGGACTCAACTCAAATTTGGCTTTTGTCACATTGAGCAAGTCACTAGTTTGGAAGGCTTAATTGAAAAATGAGAGTTTGGCTACTTAAGAGTTTTTGTAGGCTTCAGTATCCTTTTATCTGTATGCTCTTGTTTTAGCCACAAAACTTTGTGAAATGTTTTGAAATAAGATTTTTAAGAACAGAATCAGAACTAAGAAAATTCAAGTGACTTCACTGAAGCTTTAATAACCAAAGAAGAGATTGTGGCCACCAGAGTTGAGGTACTCTGACTCCTTGTCCACTTTTCTCACGCGGTAACCCTAGATCTTGAGTCACAGAATTGAGAACTTGGAGGAATGTAGAGACATCCAGTCTTTGTCATATTGGAGATGTATCCTTCTAGAACATCAATTTTACTTGAAGATGAGAGGGGAGAAGCAGTTTTCTTGAATGCGCACACATATTTTGGGGTAAAATAAAGTCACATAATTTTTTAAAGCTAGAAAATGATTACTGATTTATAGCAGCTGCTTCAGTCCATGCTCCCAGGCCCCTGGGTTATGATCTTTGTCACTTAAGTTTTAAGATGTTCTCATCTTAAACCCTTCCATTTCCCATCTTTGAGGATTAGAGTATGAAGCTTGAAATGATGTTATTCTGAAGCCAGTGTTCCCAGCATGTTAACGTTTTTGGCACTCAAATCTGAAGTGGAGATTATGCCACACACCTTTCAGAGTCTTCAGAGAATTATATGACTGCTGTAGTAAGTGCTCAGTAAATGTTAATTGTTATTGAATGCTTCAGTTGGCATTCTCTATGGGCTCATTTTACTATTTACTGCTAACATTCCTCTGTAAATCATTTTGTAATGGTATCTTGTATCTGGTTCAGTGATTGGCAATTTGCCACCCAAAGACAAAGTTTGGTGGCATTACTACTGAGTGGAGAAAAATGAGTTGGTGCTGGGTTGCTTGGGTAACAAGAATTAAAGCAGTACTTCGTAAATGTTTAGAAAAATCGGATTGCTGTTTCTTGTTCTTGGTCACAGAATGATTCTAATACTTCACATGCCACAGTAGTGTTTGGAGGGTTTTTGTACATGTTATATAGCTGAGCATTTCATTTGGTTGATGGGGCCTGGGGGAAGAGGACCTCTAATGAGGATAAGCAAAGTGCAAGAAGACAGACTGATGGACTATCGACAGATGGCTGTTTTTACAGCTCCTCAGGTGTACGTGTGTAAACTGAGGCAGAGATGTTATGCCAAAGCCACGGAGGAAGTGGCTGAGCCACCTAGTAACTGGCCCTGGTATTTCATTGCCCCCTTAAATCTCTCAAACTTCTCTACTTTTCCTTCCCTAGCTGATGTACAGCTCTGAAGAAACAGGCCTTGTCGACTGTTAGCTACCACAGGAAATGTGTTTATGCTCCTTTGCTGTCACTGCAGTTAAAATGGTCTCACGCAGCTTAGTACTTGTTGAACGAAACACATGGATTTCAGCCATGAGACAGGGCAAGCACAGTAGCATTAAGAATGTTTTTAGCAAGAATCTGAGCTGAGTACAGTCTGGTTGTGTTCCTGCATGATGCTCTATCTTAGGGTCTCTCCAGTATTTGAACTTGAAAACAAGGTAAAGTTTGCAGATTAGATCCTGTTGACAGGAATAGAAGTTCCTGTGTATTAGAATTTAAGTGTTTTTGATATAAAGACTGTATGTAATTATTTGTAAAATGCACACATTTTGTTCACTGTTATCTATGAAACCTAAACATTTGCCAGAGAAATGATAAGATAGGCCAAGAAAAGGCCTAGGAGACTAATTGCAGAATGAAACTTGAAACTTTGGCATAATTTTTGGTGTCTGGAGGTCAGAATTTTTCAAAAATAGTTTTGATCCATTAGTGGATTGTGAGACAGATTAGTGGGTTGTGAGTGTTAAATGAAATAGACCATCAGAGTGTGTTTTGCTTGGGAAAGGATATGGTTTTTGTGGAACTTGTTTCGCTTACGTATATGTATTTTTATGAGTGTGTGTACTGGCTGTCCATGTAAACTCTTCTTACTCTGGGATCTCAGTCTAAAAAGTCATTGCTTAGTTGGTCAAATTCAGACTTCTCATCAATGGATGTGCTTTTTTCCTCTGTTTTTCACATCTGCCCTGTCTTGATTTTGTAAATCCTGCACATATGTTGGTGACACTCTCACCCAGCCTTTTGATTGCCTTTTGGATCAGATGCTGATAAACTTTTTCAGATTGGTGCTGCTCTTTATTGTTTAGCTCAGCCAGACTTTCAACATTGAAAAAGACTCTGTAAGAAATCACATTTTTTTTGGGCTTCACTCCTGGTACCCCCAGGAACTCCCAATTTTCCAATCACAAATATGAATTAAAGTAGCCTACTCTTTTCATTACTTTATTTAATTATATGTAAATAATGAGTGTGCACATGACATTGCGTTAGGCACTTTAGAGGAAGTAAAACTGAGTATGACTGAGACATCAGGGAAGAAATGGACAATTCAGATATGCAGTGTCTGTAATGCAGAGCACAGTATGATGTGTGCCTTAAGGGAAAGAAGAGATTTTTGTGGAGAGATGAGAGTTGAGGTGGACCTTGAAGCATGGATAGATTTTTAACCAGGTAAAAATTGAGGTGAGCAGGAAAAGACCCCTCCAGGTTCAGGGAAAAGCAGAAGCAAAATGGGAAAGTGTTGGTGATTGGTGTAATGTAAAGATGGAATTAGAAATAAGGTTGGAAAAGGTGGGTTGGAGGCAAATGGCAGATGCTTTTGAATACAAGTTGTTTATATTGATTTACTGTTCTCTGGGGAATCATTGAAGTTTTTGATCACAGGAGCAACAGGTTCAGAAAGAAAATGCTGACAAAGGTCTATCATAATCTATAAATATTAGCTTTAAATTCTTGGTTTCAGAAATATTTGGTAATGGGGTAGTATTTAAAATAGTAGATTTCACTAAAATGCACATTGCTTACATAAGCTTATCTGGTTGACTTGTTCAGACATGCTCATCCTGCTAACTTGGAAGTGATTTTTAAAAAGATCGTTCAACTCAGAGAAAATATGCATGAGTCAGTAGTTCTTTCAGATGTGTTACTTGTGTTATTATTTAGGTGTAGACCAGTAATCCTCAAAATTGGGCATAGGTTCTGTGGATGCTCCTCCACTTGTCTCTGCTTGCTTCTCCCCAAAATACAGATTTTGTTGATGGGGAAATTAGGGCTTTGAATATGTTAATGTTTAATTTCTAAAATTTCTTTGTGCTTTTTAGTGCAAATTCGTATTTCCAAAAACATATACATATTTGGACCAGCATATGTTTCACACATTAGAAACCTCAGTGTGGATAATTTTGATTTGATTTGGGAAAACCAAGAGTTGGAGAAATAAGTTCTAGAATCTTTCAGAGAAGAGTTTTCTGATGAAGTGTAGTAGGAGGTTGGTATACTTTCCCCCACTGCCCTTGCCTGAAATAGGTGTTTGTGTTTATAATCTTGTGCAGAAACCACATCTGCCTTGCGGGATCATTCAGACCTGGCTTTAGACATTTGTTTAACTGAAGGTGGGACATAAGGACCTTGCTTGTGCTAAGGTTTCAATGTTTTTTTTTTTTTTTTAATTTTTTTTTTCAAACGTTTATTTATTTTTGGGACAGAGAGAGACAGAGCATGAACGGGGGAGGGGCAGAGAGAGAGGGAGACACAGAATCGGAAACAGGCTCCAGGCTCTGAGCCATCAGCCCAGAGCCTGACGCAGGGCTGGAACTCATGGACTGCGAGATCGTGACCTGGCTGAAGTCGGACGCTTAACCGACTGCGCCACCCAGGCGCCCCTCAGTGTTTTAAGCAAATTAAATTACTGATAAGACCATCAGACTTTTATAGTTTGGCTTTTAATTGTAACTTCTCTTTGGGGTTTATTAACGTAGATACATTTCCTCAGGACTTGCAAAATGTGTATTTTTTTCTATATATAAAAATTTATTTTTTGTTAAATCTTTTTACTTTTTGTGACCTAAGTGTTCAAATGAATAAAATTCTTCAAATGTAACAGCCCCATAAGAAAACTCAAAAAAAATGGAAAATGCTGTATAAATCTCCTCCTTGATATTTTTTATGTATTTGTAACATCATAGTTTATGTTGGTGGCTTTTGGGGCAAATTTTCTGTTGTTTTTGCTCTAGAGCAAAGATCTTGCACTATTGAGAATATGTTCTTTTTCCAGGGTTAGTGGTTTATATCAAAACAATGTTTTATATTAAAAGAATGGCTTTCTCAGCACTTTATGCTAAAGTACAGGCTGGCAAGCTTTAATTTAAAAAAACATATGGAAGAGAAGTTCTGAAATGGTAAATTTTCAGCATTATAAATATACTTTGATGTGATGTGATCATTGATTGTTTTTGGCATATGGGAGCTGTTAGTATTATTTTTGAAGTAAATCAAAGAAGTCTTGTGGCATTAGACATTAGATTGAAACTTGGGCCTCTTAAGTCATTAGGATCACCAAGACTGCATGGAACTTTTCTGACTAACCCTAATTCTCACACACTAGAGCAACTTTTAGTGTGAGCTATTAGTTACAATGATTTTTTTTTTTGACTGAAACCGAAATAAATGTGTGTTTATAAAAACATTAGAGTCCCCTCCTGGGAATGAAGGTAGAACTCAAAGGAAAGATGAGAGGAAAAGGGAAAGTGTTGGTTGCTTGGGTCTATAATCTCTGCTTGGGAGTGGAGGCTTCCCTTGGACCTATCAGGAGTGGTTCATTTCTGAGAAGTGGAAGCAGCAGTGAGGCTGCATGGATCTTTTAAGAGAATACCAAGAGCATACCATGTTGTCTTTGCTCCCTCCCTTCCAGAGAGGTAGGAGGCAGGGACTGAGACTTACAAGCTCTTCTTTTCATTGGAGTAGTTTTTTTTTTTTTCCTAAATAGAAAGAAAGCATTTGAGAGTGAATTCCCCCACCCCTGTCTTTAAAGTGTCTTTTGGTAGCAGTCATTTCATTTGTTGTCTAGTGGGCATTTGCATTTATGCATTAATGATATCTTGTATTGAAATACATAATTGTTTTTTCTTTTTTTCTTCCCCCCCCCAGGAAAGTCCCCAGAGGAAAAAAAGGAAATCAGAGGCTATAGGACCGAGTAACCAGATTGACTTGTTGGCTCTTGGTACAGCAGTTGGTAGTATTTTATTATACAGTACAGTAAAAGGAGAATTGCACAGTAAATTGATAGTAAGTATAGATATTTGTATGTGCACAGACATATATTGTATATAAAAGATGGTGGGGAAACTATTAGAGATTTATTAAAAACAACAGTTCAGGATAATGCTATAGGATCTGTACTATAGGCACATATTTCTGCTCCCACATTTAAAATTGTGTATAGTGATATTTGCTAATAGCTGTGACAGGTAATGTAATCTTCATTATATGTCAGAATACGAAGAACTTTTGATGAGGTTTAAAATAGAGGTAATAAGTTCAAGGTATCACAAACAGTGACTGCAGGAAACAGCTCACCACTTCCAGGGCCAGAGAACAAAGGAGGCAGTGGGATTATTGCTGCAACTCAGACCTTTAAGGAACAGGTATTGCTTTCTATGCTGCTGTCTCTTGAGGAGGAGTGGCCCCATGGACTTGAGGTCCAGACCTCTGAGGACAGAGCTCTAGCTGACTGCTAGTGTCTCTGAAAGGAGGGGAGGAGACTATTCCAGGGGTTGGAAAATTGCATATTGGGTTCAGCTGCTGCCAGAAGCATTGCCTTGTTGGGGTAAAGATAGTCTGGGCTGACATACACTAGAAGACAGGAAGGAACAGGTCCCTTGTTCTTCCTCCAGCCTTGTCTCTAGCACCCCTTATTGGTGGAGCCTACTGGCCATGCAGCTGGCAAAGCAAGAATGTGGTTTGGAATCCTAGCCCCAGTATCACAGAGCAAATATATACTATAGGACAGTGATTTAACTTAGAATGATTTGTTTCAGACATTATCTACTACATTATGTTTTTAGTGTTTGCTGAACTTTTTCTTTAGGAATGCTTTCTGTATATGTGAATCAAACAGTGTTTTTTCTCTTTTTAATCTAAGTTTTTTTTTCTAAAGTTTAATTATTTTGAGAGTATGAGAGTGTGTGTGCATGTGGGGGAGGGGCAGAGACTGAGGGAGAGAGAATCCCAAGCAGGCTCCCTGCTGTTAGTCCAGAACCTGTCTTGAGCTTCATGAACCTGAGCTGATATCAACAGTCAGATGCTTAATGGACTTAGCCACCCAGACACCCCTGTTTTCTCTTTTATTTTATTTTAGTTTTGTTTTTTTTTAAGAGAGAGAGAGAGAGAGAAAGCGAATGAGAATCTCTTAACCAGGCTCCATGCTCAGCATGGAGCCCAACGAGGGGCTTGAACTCATGACCATGAATGATCATGACCTGAGCTGAAATCAAGAGTTGGATGCTTAACAGACTGAGCCACCCAGGCACCCTCCTCTTTTCTCTTTTTAAAATTTTTATTTCTTTTTGAGAGAGAGAGAGAGATAGAGACAACATGATCAGAGAGAGAGGGAGACACAGAATCTGAGGCACGCTCCAGGCTTTGAGCTGTCAGCACAGAGCCTGATGTGGGGCTCAAACCCACAAACTGTGAGATCATGACCTGAGCCGAAGTCAGATACTTAACCAACTGAGCTACTCAGGCGCCCCTCCTGTTTTCTCTTTTAAGTAACATGCTCCATAGATAATTTGGAACTACATTACGTCGAAAAGAGAAAAAAAAAAATTACTCTTATATCTACCACTGAGAGAGATTTAATAGATTTTGCATTTCTTTATGTACATGTTTAAGAAATACAGTTCTTATTTCGTATCCTGATATTTTCCATTAAATTACAACATGAGCAGGGCTTAGTCGGTTAAGTGTCTCACTTCAGCTCAGGTTAATGGTCTCACAGTTCCTGAGTTCCAGCCCTGCATTGGGCTCTTCACTGACAGCTCAGAGCCTGGAGCCTGCTTTAGATTCTGTGTCTCTCTCTCTGCCCCTCCCCTGCTTGTCCTCTCTTCTCTCAAAAAAATTAATGAACATTAAAAAATTTTAAATCAATTACAACATTTTCGTATTTTTCAAGAACTAGTTATAAACATTTTCAGTGACTGCCTAAAATCCCACTAAATTGGATAGTCCCTTGGCAGTTTAGCTATTACTGTTAAGGTGGCTTCTAATTTTTTGTTGTTGTTACACATTTTTTTTATCTGTTTACATGGATTCCATTCCCAAAATTACCTGTAAGTAATGAGTCAGAGTGTTTTAATGTTAAGGCATTTTAGGCATAGTATACAAATACTTTTCTAGAAGCATTCTTCTAATTTTACTTATGTCAGCAATGAAAAGACTGTACCTGTATTCCAGTAGCATTATTTCCACCATTGAATATTCCCATTAAAACAGCAATAACATTGGGCCACCTGGGGCGACTCAGTTAAGTGTCTCACTTGTGGTTTCAGCTTAGGTTATGATCTCATGGTTTCGTGAGTTTAGACCCCACATCTGGGCTCTGCACTGGCAGCATGGAGCCTGCTTGAGATCCTCTCTCACCCTCTCTACCCCTCCCCAACTTGTGCTGTCTGTCTCTCTCAAAATAAATACTTAAAACATTAAAAAAAAAAACCAGCAATAACATTAACAGAAACCTAGCTGATTTGATACATAAAACATTTTGTCTGATTTTAAGTCTGCATTTAAAAGTATGTTACTCATTTTCATATTAAAGATTAAAAGAACACAACTGTAAAACAAATTATTTAGAGGTATAATTAGTAAGAAGGGAATCTCCCTTATTTCCTCCCTCCTCTCCAAGTCAAGTGTGATCTTCGTGTAGGCTTTTACCCCACTGTAGTTGGGAGCCCATCCTTTGATTTTATCAGTCTTGTGATGAGCAGGTACCTAGCCGTCTGTGCAGTGTGATAGTTGCTTTACTCAGTTACTGTGGTTGTGGACATAATGCTGATGGAGCCTAGAACTCCTTTTTAGATCATTTTGGTATTTCATGGGATTATACATAAATCTTTTTTTTAAACTTTATTTTTCAGAGAGAGAGTGTATGCGTGTGTAGTGGAGGGAGGGGCAGAGAGAGAGGGAGACAGAGAATCCCAGGCAGGCTCCATGCTGTCAGTGCAGAGCCTGATGGCAGGGCTCGATCCCGTGAACCGTGAGATCATGACCTGAGCCAAAATCAAGAGTCAGAAGTTAAACTGACCAAGTCACCCAGGAGCCTCTATACATAAATCTTTTTTTTTTTTTAAAATTTTTTTTTTTTAACATTTATTTATTTTTTGGGACAGAGACAGAGCATGAACGGGGGAGGGGCAGAGAGAGAGGGAGACACAGAATCAGAAACAGGCTCCAGGCTCTGAGCCATCAGCCCAGAGCCCGACGCGGGGCTCGAACTCACGGACCGCGAGATTGTGACCTGGCTGAAGTCGGACGCTTAACCGATTGCGCCACCCAGGCGCCCCTATACATAAATCTTTAATAGGGAATGAGTTTATTAAATAGTAACCAAGGAGGTCAGAGTAAAGAGTGTTGGGATGATATGGTGAAATAGAAAGGGATCAGGCTTTGGACCTAGTCCTGAGGTTGAATCCTTCTAGTTATGTGGTCATGGATAAGTAGTTTGTCTTCTCATTTCTTAAATGGGTATTCTATAACCTATCTTGCATGCTTTTATTGGGATTTAGATGTAATAGTATATTGTATTGGCCTAGTGTATTGGCCTAGTGCAGTGCCTGGCATATAATTGGTATTGTGTAAATGTTTATTGAATATGTAAGTGAATGAACAAATGTACAGTTGCTAGATTGTTTTTCAAAAGGGCATACTAGCTCCTATCAATGTATGATAGTGCTATTTTTTTCTGCAACCCTACCACTATGGGTATTACAATGCTAATAAGCAAATTGCTAGATGGACAGACTGAAAATGTTACTTTGTTTTGCTTTATATCTCTTGGATTACTACTTTTGAAAATTTTATTTTCTTAAAAAAATTTTTTTTTGATGTTTATTTATTTTGAGGGAGAGAGAGAACAAGCGGGGGATAGGCAGAGAGAAGGAGACAATCCCAAGCAGGCTCCGTTCATCAGCACAGAGCCCAAAGTGGGGCTTGAACTCATGAAATGTGATATCATGACCTGAGACGAGATCAAGAGTCAGACACTTAACTGAGTGCACCACCCAGGTGTCCCTGAAAATTTTATTTTCTTACGAAATTCTTTCAGTGGAATTTATCTGTGCATGTTTCTTTTATTCAGTTCTTTGTGTATGTGTCTATGATATAGGATCCTATGATACAGGATTTAGTTCTTTGAGTGGATAGCTCATATTAGCGAAGGGAAGTATCTGAACTTAACATTTATTTATTTAAAGTTTATTTATTTTGACAGAGAAGGTTTGTGTGCATGAGCAGGGAAAGGGCAGAAAGAGAAGGAGAGAATCCCAAGCAGGCTTTGTCTGTGCTGTCAGCGTAGAGCCTGTGGAGCCTGACGTGGGGCTCGATCCCACAAACTGAGATCATGACCTGAGCCAAAATCAAGAGTCAGCCACTTAACCGACTAGGCCACCCAGATGCCTTTGAACTTAACATTTAAAACTATTTTTCTTTTGAGGTAGGAAGAATCTATGTAATAGAAGTAGTGATTTTGAGTTTTATCCTTAGCTTACCTATGTACGTGATGTTGATTCATGTATTCGTTTAATTGATGTGAATTCAAGCAGAGTGAAAGTCACAATTACTTACGGTGTAGATGATTTCGCACCTTATTCTGCCGAATAAGTTTGTCCCAGAATGTGTGTGAGGTGGGTGGGAGAGTTGAACTTGCTCTTCCCCAGTTGATGTCTCCATTCCTGTGTGCCTCTAAGTGAATGAGCATCTTGCTATGCTGAGTATGTTAAAGTCTTGTTCGTATCGTATTTTCCTTAACACAAGGAGATATTTTGTGTTTACTTGAAGAAACAGTGATTTCTTTATTGAGATGGTTTTGATAGTTTTTAAAAAAGGGATTTTCAAGGATAGTTTTGATTAGATGTGGTTTTTACCTGAAGTACTGACTTTAAACTCCAAGATTTGACTTTACTAGTTCACTCAAGTGTCACAAACTTTCTGCCACTGTACATGAAGTATTTTATCTTGCCCTAGTGCTGGCATTCTTGTGAAAAGCAAGTGGCATTTAGGACTAGCATTCTTTGACTTATGATGTGGAAGTGTGTAAAAACATAGAAGGGAAGCAGAGAAGGGAAAATTAACATTTGATGTATTTATAGCTGATTTATCTCATTTTTGATGTTGGAAATGGATAGATTCAGGGTAGGGTGTTTTTGGTTAGGTTAACGCCTGTCTTTTTTGTTAACTCTTTGTAATGATTCCAGGGTGTAATTATGTTCTATAAGACGAGTTTCTTCTTTTAATTTTTTTTTTTTGACCTTTAGAGTGGTGGACATGACAACAAGGTCAATTGCATACAGTGGCATCAAGACAATGGCTGTTTATATAGTTGTTCAGATGATAAACACATTGTGGAATGGAATACACAGACATGCAAAGTAAAGTGGTGAGTAACATTGATGGTTCTATGGTATTGGAGGGGTAACTTGGTTACTGTTGGAAATTCATTAGAGTTTGATAAATCAAGACCATTCTTGGCTGTAGGTAAAGTCTGATATTGGACACAGGGAATGTAGATACTAATGAGGGTATAGACTTTTCAAGGAACTTTAAATCAAATCAGGCATGCAAGATTTTAGTACATAAACATTAAATAAATGATGCAAGAGTCAAATAACTGCACAAGAGGAAACATAAGGTAGCAAGTAATTACTGGTCAAATGAGGTGTGGATAGTGTTGGCAAGGCCTGGTGGAAGAGAAGGGATTTCAGTTGGGCGTTCTGGGAGAGGTATTATTTAGATAGAAGAGGATGGGGGAAGGAAGGTGGGGAAATGGCAAGACCAAAGTCTGGGGAAAAAGGAAGTGAAAGATTGGAAGATTTACGTACTAGGGAATAATGACTGGTAGAGGATGTGGGCCAAAGTATATTAAGAATCTGGCATTAACTGTCATAGATAAAAAATCTCAACCAACTCTTCCAGTTTCAAGCACGTAATCCTGTGATAGGCTTTATAGTAAGTGTTCAGTAAGTGTTGAATTAGTTTAACTTGTGTAGGTAAGGATCCTAAGAAGGATAATGGTGCCTGTGGTCTTATAACTAATAAATGGCAGGGAAGGAGTTCATATCCTGCTGTCTTGAATTCTGGTACAGTGCTTTTCTACTATATTAAAACTACTTAGAGGTTTGGATTCTATGTCGTAAGCAGGAGAGAGCCACTGAAGGTCATGTCTTGGGAATAAAGTCACCAAGATAACGCTTTAGGAAAAGGTGATCTGCCAGCACTGTCTAGAGTATATGGAAAGGAGCAGGTTCAAAGGCAGAGAAGCCAGATTCTAGGTGGTTGTGGTAGTTTAAATGTAGGATGGTAAGAGTGGAAAGTGAGAATGAAGAAGATAGCAACAAGTACATTTGGGGAGCCTGAAAACGGGAATTAAATGACAAAAGAAGTTAAATGTAACCATTTTCAGTTTTGTGAACTTACTAGGCAAGTGGTGTGGCACAGTTCATAGAAATTATAGCCAGAAGAGGGAAATGGATGTTGAGTTTTAAACAAGTTGAATTTGAAATAATACATGAAAGTCAAGAGCCAGCAGATGGGGTGGTGAATAGAGGCTTAGAATTTGAATGAGGGTTTGGGGTGGGAGGTGCAGATGAATAGGTCATCTCCCTAGAGGTTCAGTAAGTTTTTGTCTCCATTTATCTGTTGCATCAGTTTCCACACCGATGACTGTCAGAAACACCTGTGGAGATTCCCACCCACTGGGTCTGGGGTGGGGGCCACACAACTGTATTTTTAAAATGCTGCATGGGTGAAAGTTCACAATGTTAGGTGCTTCACATAGGGACTAATGTTTAAGGCTCTGTTCAGTGCATTCTACACAGTATTGTATTTAACCATAGCACTGTGAGTGGGCTCTGTTCCTGTTTTACAGTTGAGAAATGGTTGGGTCAGAGCCTGAGCTCTCATGCACACTACTATCTCATAGTGTTGTGTTTCCAGCTCCATTCTTGGCATTCCTATGCTGCTGTCAGTGGATTGTGTACCATTTTAGGTACTATGTATTGACTTCTATGGACGATGACGATTTAGTTCTCACCCTCTCCATTCTCCCAACATCACAGTTTTTTTTTTTTTTTTTTTTTTTTTTAAGTTTATTTTTGAGAGACCATGAGCCAGGGAGGGGCAGAGAGAGAGGGAGACACAGAATCCCAAGCAGGCTCCAGGCTCTGAACTGTCAGCACAGAGCCCGACGTGGGGCTTGAACTCACGAACTGTTAGATCATGACCTAAGCCTAAGTTGGACGCTCAACTGACTGAGCTACCCAGGCGCCCCATCACAATTTTTTGATGAAGGGCTATTTGTTTGCATTATGACTGCTTAAATATTATTACAGATAAGCCTTGTACTCTACTAGGTTTATATTTTTTGGCACAAAACTCTGCTTTTCTTGGGGTTTATAATTTCCTTGTTGTTCATTTGCTTAGTTTTCTATATACTTGTCGTTAGCTCGTTTTCACCCTCACAGTTGCATGTTATTTTGGAGCACATCAGTTATTCAGTTAATTATATTATATTTCTTGGAGGACTTCTCAGTCACCTTTCAAGGTCTGCTGAACAGTGAGGATCCTGGGATTTTCTTACATTATTATCCTGAAAATTCTCTTGTCAAATGGAACCTCTATTTCCTAGATCCCATTTTTCTCTTTGTTGGGTTACTCTCTTTTTTGTGAAACACATGAATTGGTGGCTTCATAAGAAAAGTGTGTTGATGGTAAATTTACTGAGATTTTGCTTGTCCACCAGCGCCTTTATTGTACCCTCACAGTTAATTCTAGTTTGAAGATATGGAATTTTAGGTTGGAAGTAATTCTCCTTCAGGATTTTGAAGCATTGGTTCATTGGTTATTTTTTCTTCATTTTTGAAGAAAATTGCTCTTCATTTTTCTTTCTTCTTTTTTTTAGTGTTAATTTATTTTGAGAGAGTGAGTGTGAGCAGGGGAGGGGCAGAGAGAGAGACAGAAACCTCAAGCAAGCCTCCCTGTACTCAGTGCAAAGCCCTGGGCTGGAGAGGGGAGTGGGGCTCTGTCATGAACCGTGAGATCATCATGACCTGAGCCAAAATCAAGAGTTGATGCTTAACCAACTGAGCTACTCAGGCACTCCTTCATTTTTCTTGTAGCATGTATTTGATAATTTCATCTTCTCTGTTTTTTTGATCTTTCTCTAGTACAGTCTGTTGTAACTTAGATATTGCATCTCCTGGATTGATCCTTTAGGTTTCTTTGTTCTCTCTTAGTTTTCCTTTTGTCTTTTTCTTCTGTTACCAGGGAGATTGCCTCAGTTTTACCTTCCAAATTTTCTATTGAAATTTTACATTTCTCTAACCATATTTTTAATTTCTGGGAGATTTGTTTTTTGTTCTCTTAATGTTTCTTTTTGTTGCATCATGTTTCTTTCATGGATATAATATTTTCTAACTCTCTGAAGATAATAATTATGGGATTTTAAAGTATTTTTCTTTTGTTCCTAACATCATTTCCCTCTTGAGGATGTGTTGATTTTTGTTTGATTTTAGCTTCTGTCTTTTATGTTAGTTAAAGGCATTCTTGAAATGACGGGGGATCCTTGGCTGCCTGTTGCTATTTGAAAATGAAACATGAAGAAACTGATGGGAAGCCTTGTGTAGGTGGCAGCTCAATTGCTGGGCTTCATTTGTGGAGTGAGGGGGAAGCTTTTGAATGTCAGTATATGTGGGTTATTACCTTGGCACCGGTCACATTTCCTAGAGAGGAATCTTCTGATCTAGTGCTTTTCAAGCTCTGATGTGCACGTGAGTTACATATGCAGGTAGAACTGATTTAGTAGGTCTAGGTCGGGTTTCGGAGTCCATTCTTAGTTCCCAGGTGATGCTGGTGTAGGAGGTTACACTTTGAGTTGCAGAGCTCTTAATGGAGGCTGGGGAGGGAGCTCAGCAGTGGTGTTATCTCTTTGCTAGCATTTTCAGTGCCGAGTGAGGAGATGGATTCAGGGACACTTGTCGGGGTGGTGCTCATGTCTTTTTTTTATATGTATATTAAGTGAATAGGGGTTGAATAATGAATATAAAATGTTGAAGCTGTGGGAATTGTTGAGAAATTATAAAAAAAATTAGCAACTGAAAAAAGGGTGAAGGAAAAATGTCCTGTATTATTGCTGCATTTCCTTGATTACTAGTGAGGGTGAGTGTTTTCATGTTTATTGACAATTTGTATTTCTTCTATGAATTGCCTGTTTATATCTTTTGTGTATTTTTGAGTTTTTTTTTAATCTGATCTAGTTCTTGAATATAAAGAGTTATTTATGTATTCTGAGTATTAATCTTTTTCCTGTAGTATATATTTTTGATATTTTCTAGCTTTTTGGTTTTAAATTTATGACTTATTTTGTGGTACAGAAGTTTTACGTATTTAGATCAGGTTATTTTTACCATTATGATTTCTGGTTTGTAATTGCTTTGGAAGGCCTTTCCTAAAACTGGCTTATAAAAACACTCTCCTGTGCACTTTTTAATACTTATTTTTAATCTGTTAGCTTTAGTCACGTTTTTTGTGTGTGTAGTAGAAGAGAGGAATCTACTTTTGTTTTTCCAAATGAGTAGTTTGACATACTCCAATGTGATTGGCAGAGCAGTGTGTTTTCTTTTACTTTATAATTCATGTCTTTTGGTAAGAGGATTGCTACTGTTATTTCGTGATTTTATAAGTGAATAACCAAGCTCCTTGTTTATAAAAATATTAATGTGTGCAACAAAGTACAAAGACTCATGCCAATCATATTTCAGGTATTAGAAGGGGATCATCTATACTTGACTTATTTTACTCTGTCAGATGGGAGTGCACCTGTGTTGATTTGAGGTAGAAATGACCTTTTTGGACTGTAGCTTGAGAAGTAATTTGTGCTGCTAAGTAAATTAAAGGCCAGGCTTCCACATAGTGTGGGAACCATGATGGGGATAGGATGGACTTGTGGAGGTCCAGCCAGCCAGGTAGTTTCCTGGGCATTAACAAAATCCACCTCATACACAGGATACACAGCTACCCATTTTTGTATTCTTAAATCTCTTACTCATCCATTTTCTGGTACCTCTTGAAAATCTTTGGGTAGGCTTTACCTTAGTGTTAGATTCAAAGTTAGTCACCTTACACAGGCTTTTAGGGAATAATTGCATGGTACCTTAAGTGATATTTTTAATACCTTATTTGTTTTTTGTTAACTTTTTTGCTCTGAATAAAGTTTTCTCCCCATTCATGGAGATGTTTCTGTTTCTCTTCACTTTACAGCAAATGGAAAGGTGACAACAGCAGCGTCAGTTCCCTGTGTATTAGCCCAGATGGAAAGATGTTGCTTTCAGCTGGTCGAACAATCAAACTATGGGTTTTGGAGACCAAAGAAATCTACAGAGTGAGTGAATCAAATTAGTTGTAAGCCTAACATTTGTCTAGAGTAAGTATGGAGAAGGGCAGAAAGTCTGAGCCATAGAATGTCATTTAAAGAGTACAGATTTGTTATTTTCAGGCATATCAAATAGTAGACTCAGAAGATGAAAGTTAGCTTCCAAATCCGGTGTGTTGATATTTAATAGGTTAGATGTGTCCGTTTCACATGCATTTGAGAAATGAATAGAACAAATAAGTAGAATGTGAATTAAAAATCTTTTACTCTGCTGTATAATGATATAGTAGGTTTGATTTCTTTCTTGCATCTTGTGTTTACTACGTTTGCAGTATTTGACTATGGGGATATGTAGTATTATATTTTTGAGTGTGCTACGGGGTGTATATTTGGTGCTGTGATGATGCCTTAAAATTGTGGTTTCGACTCACTGAGAGTAAAATGAAGACCTACAATTCCTTGGCTGTGTCTGAGCACCCAGGCGCCCCTTAAACATGGATAGAATTAAGCGGGTCTTTAATGCAGGATGGAAAAAATAAAGATTGTGGGTAGGGCCATGGGAGTTGTTAGGGCATGGTGATTTTCAGATGGAGTTTTAATTATTTTTTTTATTAAAAATTTTTTTAATGTTTATTTTTGAGAGAGAGAGAGAGAGTATGAGCAGGGCAGGGGCAGAGAAAGAGAGAGAGGGAGACACAGAATCTGAAGCAAGTTCCAGGCTCTGAGCTGTCAGCACAGAGCCTGACGTGGGGCTCGAACCCGTGAACCACAAGATCATGACCTGAGCTGAAGTCAGAGCCTTAACTGACTGAGCCACCCAGGCACCCCTCAGGTGGAGTTTTTGAAAGTACATGGAATGTAGCACAAATAATCTCAGTTGCTTAGAATTAAATTTAGCTGTTACCGTTAGTCTGTACTTCTGATTTCATATATGGATCATCTGTATTGTGTATGGTCCATAAGGACTCTTCACTTTTGTCACTGTTCTGTGTCCTCTCCTAAACGAGACTGAACTCTCTCTAGCACTTCACAGGACATGCAACGCCTGTTTCCTCACTCGTCTTCACTACTGTCAGACCTCCTAGTGAGAGCCAGCCCTTTGATGGGGTCACAGGCCTTTATTTCCTGTCAGGAGCAGTGCATGACCGGCTACTTAACGTCTGGTATGTAGTCTTGGGCCTGGGAGGTAGTGTTGCCTTGAAGGAATCTGTCACAGCTTGTATGGGTAATATAAATGATGAATGTGAGACTTGCTTTATTGTATTTAACGTTAGAGTTACCTTGACTTGTAATGAAGAATTGAGCCTGCCTAAAAAACCGACTTTATGAGAAAAATTTAAGAGCATTGTATCATAGTACCACATCCTTGCTTGCTTAGAGGTAGAGGAGTCTGAATATGGCAAGTTATAAATAACCTTCTTAAAAAATTTTAGGATAATGTCTAATTTTCTTGAAAAAGGACCATTGGGTTAGTGCAGTAATGTCTATTTACTGATGTTTTACTGAGGACATTTAATTTCTTGGATATGTCTGAGAATGCCCAGTAGTGCCCCCCTTTTTTCTTCTTCCCTTTTTTGCAGTAATTGCTGTTACTATTTTTCCTTGGAACTACTTTTTTTTTTTTTTTTTTTTTTGAGATTGTATTTTATTTTTATTTTAGAGAGAGCACAAGTGAGGGAAAGAGAATCTTAAGCAGGCTCCATGCTCAATGCAGAGCCTGACTTGGGGTTTGATTTCATAACCCTGGGATCATGACCTGAGCTGAAATGAAGAGTCGCATGCTTAATTGACTGAGCCACCCAGGCGCCCCTTTAAAATTTTATTTTTAAGTAGTCTCTACAACCAATGTGGGGCTTGAACTTAACCCTAAGACCAAGAGTTTCATGCTCTACCGATTGAGCCAGCCAAGCACCCCTGGAAATACTTTTAAAAGTAAAAATTAATTTGGTATTAAATGGCCATCAGAAAGTTTTTAAATTTAAGAAAATAAGGGTTTTCTTGGATTTTATGAGAACTGATGGTGAAGCTAACTTTTTTTAAACACCTGCTGTTCAGATAAAATAAGTGGAGATTTAAACAAGTAGTTTCTCATCCTAGTAATCAGTTAGTTGAGCATGTTCTTGATCATATAAAGTTACTATGAATTTATACCAAATAACTCAGAAGTGGGAATCATCAAATACATAAACCTTGCAGTTGGGTGGGGAAAGGTTCATAAGATCTAATGTGGACTTCTGTTCACCTTCAAACCATCAAATGAGCCATAGTCCTAACTATCCTTTCATAATCACATTGTGTTGGTTTTCTGTCCTGTGTCTGTTTTTTGAGGCATGCCTTCTGGGATAATTTAGTTTTATAATGTTTAACACTTTACATAAGAAATTAGTAATGCCAGAAAGTTAAAATCTGCCACCAAATCCTCCTGACTACTTGGATGTTCCAGTCTTAAAAATGCTTCACCTGTTTGGCTCCCTAGACCTAGGGGTCTCCAGCTACAAAATTTCTCCTTTAAAAAAAATTTTTTTTTTAATGTTTATTTTTGAGAGAGAGTGTACGCACGTGGGGGAGGGGCAGAGAGAGAGAGAGAGAGAGAGGGAGGCACAGAATCTGAAGTAGGCTCCAGGCTCCGAGCTCTCAGCACAGAGCCCGACGCGGGGCTCGAACTCACGAACTGTGAGATCATGACCTGAGCCAAAGTTGGATGCTCAATTGACTGAGCCACCCAGATGCCCCTACAAAATTTCTTCTGTAAAAGAGAAATTGATTTCTGTTGTCTTAACATCCCCCAAATAGTATGTGTATGCCTGTGGGCTTCCTACTAACAGAGGAATAAACTTGAAACATTAAAAACCCATATTAAAAGGCTGCCTCCAAAGACCATTTATGGAAAACTTTGTGTTTTGTAGGTAGAGGAAGCCTAAGGTTCCCTGATGATTACCTTTGAAAGACACATTTCTGTTAGGAAATAACATTTGAAGGCTTCTTGCTGAGTGAAAATTAAGCAAAAAAACACTTTTATATTACTGTAAGGACAGTACTATCCTGTTGTTGAGCTAAGATACCAGTTTCTTTTGTATAAAGTAGTCTTATGGCAGTGATTTTGAACAATGTATAGTATAAATGGCTTCAAGTTAGAATTAGTATTGTTTTATGAAGAATTCATAAATGGGAATACTTAGAAGTTGATCCAGTAAAATTCTTAGTTTTCTTCTATACACAAAAATATTGAAAGATTGCTTACTGGTGAATATATATTTTTTTTAATGTTTATTTTTGAAGGAGAGAGTATGCGCGTGAGTGAGTGGGGGAGGGGCAGAGAGAGAGAGAGGGAGACCCAGAATCTGAAGCAGCATAGAGCCCGACATGGGGCTCGAACTCAAAAGAGCTCATAAGCCGTGAGATTATGACCTGAGCCAAAGTCAGTTGGACGCTTAACCAACTGAGCCACCTAGGTGCCCTTGTTTACTGGTGAATGTATAGTCTCACTAGTTGATAAAAACAAACTGATTGTGAATTGTGTTTGCAAATCATGTTTTTTTACTGTTAGTCTTTTTCTTTTTTTAATTTGTGCCTTAAATTTTTAAAATACCTTTATTGGGGTATAATTGATGTATAATAAACTGCACATGTTCTTCCTTTTATTTTAATGTTTATTTATTTTTGAAGGGGAGAGAGAGACAGAATGTGAGTGGGGGAGGGGCAAAGGGAGAGGGAGACACAGAATCTCCTGGCTCTGAGCCATCAGCACAGAGCCCGACGTGGGGCTCAAACTCACGGACCACGAGATCATGACCTGAGCTGAAGTCGGATGCTTAACCGACTGAGCCACCCAGGCGCCCCAGGATGTAGATTTTAAAAAATAAAAAATAAAATTAAGAAAAAAACAAGTGTTAAAAATAAATAAATAAATAAATAAATAAATAAATAAATAAATAAATAAAACCTGTTGTGTAAACATTAAAACAAAGTTATTACAGACATTTGTGTATAAATCTTTGTATGGACATATGATTCGTTTCTTTTGTGTAAATACCTTGAGTGCATGGGTAGATCATATGATATATATTTAACTTTTTAAGAAATTGCCAGGTTTGGGCCCCTGGCTGGCTTAGTCAGTAGAGCATGTGACTCTTGATGTCAGGGTCATGAGTTCAAGCCCCATGTTGGGGCTACTGAAAAAAATTGTCAAGTTTTTTCAAAGTGATAGTACCATTTTTACATTTTACATTCTGACCAGCTATGTATAAGAGTGCAGATTCTTTCATATCCTCACCAATGCTTGATATAATCATTTAATCTTAGCCATTTTAATAGGTATGTAATGGTACCTCCCTGTGGTTTTAGTTTGCATTTCCCTAATGGCCACTCATGTTGAGAATCTTGTCCTGTTTGCTATCTGGATATGTTTCTTGATGAAGTATCTGTTCATATGTTTGGCCTATTTTTTAGTGGGTTTGTTTTCTTACTGAGTTTTGAGAATTCTATATATATTCTCAATATAAACCCATTATCAAGTATATGCTTTGCAGATATTTTCTCCTAGTATGCGCATTGTCTTTTCGAAGAGAAGTTTTTAATTTTGATGTAGTCCGGATCATGTTTCGAGATCTTTGCTTAATTAATCCAAGGTCACAAAGGTTTTCTTCTGAAAGATTTAGTTTTAAGGCTTGCATTTTGAGCTAATATGTGTATATGGTACAAGGAATGAATGACAGTTTTTTAAAAATTTTTATTTAAATTCCAGTTAACATACTGTGTAATATTAAAAAAAATTTTTTTTTAATGTTTATTCATTTTTGAGAAACAGAGTTAGAGTGGGGGAGGGACAGAGAAAAGAGGGAGACACAGAACCTGAAGCAGGCTCCAGGCTCCAAGCTGTCAGCACAGAGCATGATGCGGGGCTCAACTCACAAACTGCAAGATCATGACCTGAGCTGAAGTCGGCCGTTTAACCGACTGAGCCACCCAGGCGCCCCGACATACAGTGCGATATTAATTTCAGGTGTACAGGATAGTGATTTAGCACTACCATAAATACCCAGTGCTCATCACAAGTGTACACCTTAATCTCCATCACCTATTTAGCCCATCCCCCACACCCCCAACCACTAGTTGTGTATAGTTAAGGGTCTGTTTCTTGGTTTGCCTGTCTTTTTCTCCTCTTTGTTTGGTTTCTTAAATACCACATGTGCGTGAAATCATACAGCATTTGTCTTTCGCTGACTTCACTAAGCATAATACTTTCTAGTTTCACCCATGTCACTGCAAATGGCAAGATTTCATTTTTTATGCCAGTGTGTGTGTGTGAGAGTGAGAGAGAGAGGTGTATATCACATCTTTATCCATTCATCAATGGGCTGTTTCCATAATTTGGCTATTGTAGATATTTGGTATTGTAGAAATATCAGGTGCATGTATCCCTTTGAGTTAGTATTTTTTTTTTTTTTTTGAATAAATACCTAATAGTGCTGCTCTTGCTGGGTTATAGGACAGTTGTGTTTTTTACATTTATTTATTTATTTAGAGCGAGCGAGTGAGAGGCGGAGAGAGAATTCCCAGCATGCTCTGTGCTGCCAGTGAAGAGCTTGATGTGTGGGGTTTGATGCCACGGACTGCAAGATCATACCCGAGCCAAAATCAAGAGTCAGATGCCCTGTGACTGAGCCACTCAGGCACCCCTATTTTTAACTTTTTTTTTTTTTTCGCAAGTGTCTATTTAGGGGAAAGTGGGGGGATCTGAAGCGGGCTCTGCACTAACAGCAGTGAGCCCGATTTGGGGCTTGCACTCAACGAACTGGGAGATCGTGACCTGAGCCCAAGCTCAACTGACTGAAAACCATCCAGGCACCCCCTTATTTTTAACTTTTTGAGGAAACTTCATAAGTTTTGCAGAGTGGCTGCACCAGTTTGCATTCCTAAATGGATGGAAATTTATGTTCTTGTGTTAGGAATATCCATTGGTCTCAGTACCATTGGTTGAAAAGACTATTTCCAGTGAACTGTTTTTGCATATATACATGGATATACACATACAGTTGGTTCTTTTTTTTTTATTTTTTTAATTTTTTTTAAGTTTATTTATTTTTGAGACAGAGAGAGACAGAGCATGAACGGGGGAGGGGCAGAGAGAGAAGGAGACACAGAATCGGAAGCTGGCTCCAGGATCTGAGCCATCAGCCCAGAGACTGATGCGGGGCTCGAACTCACGGACCGTGAGATCGTGACCTGAGCTAAAGTCAGACGCTTAACCGACTGAGCCACCCAGGTGCCCCATACAGTTGGTTCTTATTTGCAGTTGTTATGTTGTATAAAGTCCTCATGAGCGCAGAGTTAGTGATACTGAACTGTGATTCCTCCGGGAAATATAAGGTTAGGTTTCTGCAAGTTTTGTTGGTTACATTTTTGTCATCTAATCAATATATAGCCTCATTTTATGTGTGTTTCTGTTTGAAAATACATCATGTATATAGTTAATTAACCCCTCTCAGAACAGAGTTTGCCTAACAAATATTTTTTCCCTTAAGGCATATTACAGCTTCTTTTGCTCTTAGATACATGAGACAGCACTTGAGCACTATACTTAGGGCACTGTTTATTTTTTTATTTTTTTTTGAGAGAGAGGGCACAAGTGAGCGAGGGGCAGAAAGAGGGAGGGAGAGAGAAGAGGGGCTCACCCAAATTGGGGCTTGAGCTCACCTGAAGTGTGGTGTGGGGCTCGTGTTAACCTGATGGAGGGCTTGAACTTACAAACTGTGAGATCATGACCTGAGCCAAAGTCTGGTGCTTAACCTACTGAGCCATCCAGGCGCCTCCTTAAGGGACATTTTAAAAGTGAAATCACCAACAAAAACATGAAAACAAAATGAAAATACTTTTTAGCATTCTAAATAATACTAATGATACTAAATAATACTAATAACACTTCTGTAGTGTGAGAGCTGAAGGAAGAAGTCAGAGCATAGCCTTGTTGAACATTGTGGGCAACTCTTACTATTTTTCACTGCTTTGAGCATTTTTATTGCTCTGTTCAAGACTATGGAAGTTCCACAAATTCTGATTCGGAGGCTAACAAATTTTAGCAAGTAAGCAAATTCTCAAAGAAGGAATCCACAAATAATGAGGGTCATTTGGGTTAAATATACGCATGGGTCTATTTCTGGACTCTATTTTCTTTACATTGCTATCGTGTGAATTCTCAGATTAATCTATAGAATCAGTGTAAACCCAGTCAAAATCTCAGCAAACTCTCTTGTAGAAATTGACCATCTGATTTTAAAATTCAAAGAGAAATGCAAAGGATGTAGAATAACCAAAACAATGTTGAAAAAGCAGAAAAAAGTTGGAGGACTCACATTGCCTGATTTCTGGACTTGTCAAGCTACAATAATCAAAACAGTGTGGTATTGGCATCAAGATAAACAGATTAGTGGAAAAGAATAGAGAATGTTACTTATTGTTTAAATCTGCATAAGGGCATTAGTGCTTTCTCTTTTCCCTGCAACCATGTTAAGTGGCAGTGACACAAATGGGTCTAAGTTTGATCTGTAGTCTCTTTATTTAGCTTTCAAAAGATGCAAAAACTATTGGGAATCTAATGCTGTTACTCCCATTAGGTGCTCATCTTTTTTTGTTGTTTAATTTCTTACTACCTAATCACGGGTTTTGTTATCTAGGCAGGTCCGGTCAGAAAACAAAGAAAAGAATGCAGTGATGTCTTTTACAGTTACAGATGAACCTGTCTATATTGACTTGACGTTGTCAGAAAATAAAGAAGAGGTAAATGGCTCAATTTTTGAGAATTTGTTTTTGGATTTCACAAATTATATTTTTAAAGTTAGTGTTTTGATGATTTAATGATTTTGGGAAAGTAGGGGACATGAGGGAAGAAAGAACAAAATGTAACAAAAATCTTCTTGGACTGTCCGGAGTAACCATTAAATAAATCACTGTGGTGTGCACTTCCGAGCAGGGGGACCGTGTCCCGTGTTTTCAGGGATCTTTTTTTTTTCCAAAAATTTTTAACGTTTATTTATTTTTGAGAGACAGAGCATGAGTGGGGGAGGGACAGAGAGAGAGGGAGACACAGAATCTGAAGCAGGCTCCAGGCTCTGAGCTGTCAGCACAGAGCCCGAGTGGGGCTTGAACCCACAGACTGCGAGATCATGACCTGAGCTGAAGTTGGATGCTTAACCACCTGAGCCACCCAGCCACCCAGCAGGGATCTGACTGCTCTGACATGCGGGGCCTGCCAGTTTCTTTTGTCAGTGACTTTGCACTTGGTAGTGACTTTGCTCCTATAACTTCCAGGCTGCATTCTTCTTGTTATCTTCTTGGCTTAAACTTTTATTTCTATGCTTGACAAGAACTCCAGTTGTTTAGATGACAGTAGTGAATTTTAAATGCAAGAGTTGTGCCACCTTGGTGTTCTGACTTTTTCTCTGGTTATTTAAAGGGGTGGGGAGGACAGTTGAAGTTTTATAAGTATATTATGAAGGTCATTCTCCATTAGAGTAATCAGTTTAATTTTTCTTTTAGCCTGTCAAGTTAGCTGTTGTTTGCAAAGATGGTCAAGTTCATCTTTTTGAACACATATTAAATGGGTAAGTACGAAATTTCTCAAGTCAAATTTGTTTTCTTTCCCTGACTTGTTACTCTTTTTTATTCCTACCTCAGTATTCTTTGCCTTACATTACTTTTCAGTTAGGTTGTTTTGAAAGAATTATTAATTATCCATATGACTATATACATTTCCAGTGAGGATTCAAGTTTTTGGATTGTGGACCATTTCTTCATATTTGTGGGTAGTAAAGTAGTTTTATGATATATGCTTAGTAAATGTTGGCAGTTCTAATGATACATTTTGTTGGTTTACCTTAAAGTTTATACTTATTTTGAGAGAGAGAGAGAGAATGCATGCATGAGATGTAGTGGGGCAGAGAGAGAGGGAGAGAGAGAATCCCAAGCAGGCTCCGGTCACCTTAGAGCCTGACACGGGGCTTGATTTCATGAACCGTGAGATCATGACCTGAGCCGAAATCAAGAGTTGGATGCTTAGGGTGCCTGGGTGGCTTAGTCGGTTAAGCATCCGACTTCATCTCAGGTCATGATCTCCCAGTTTGTGAGTTCAAGCCCCATGTCGGGCTCTGTGCTGACAGCTCAGAGCATGGAGCCTGCTTTGGAATCTGTGTCTCCCCCTCTCTCTGCCCCTTCCCTGCTCATGCTCTGTGTCTCTCTGTCTCCCAATAATAAAAAAATGTTTAAAAAAATTTAAAAGAGTTGGATGCTTAGCCAACTTAGCCACCTAGGTGCCCCTCTAGTGATACATTAAAAATTTTTTTTTACCGTTTATTTATTTTTGAGAGACCGAGACAGAATGAGCAGGGGAGGGGCAGAGAGAGAGGGAGACACAGAATCTGGGGCAGACTCCAGGCTCTGAGCTGTCAGCACAGAGCCTGATGCGGGGCTTGAACCCACAAACGATGAGATCATGACCTGAGCTGAAGTTGGACGCTTAACAGACTGAACCACCCAGGCATCCCTCTAGTGATACATTTTAACTGAAAGTGGTTCAGTTGGAAAAGTTTGCTTGTGAACCTGGTAAAGCCTTGATTTCTGACTTTGATAATAGTTTCCCTTGCCATATACATGTGGATCAATGAAGCATGGCAATGCTATTGTTTTGGTGGACAGGGGGGTGTTGCTGTTAGCATGTGTAGTAGTCATAGATCTAGGATCAGTAAATTATGACCTGTGGGTCAAATCCAGTATGACCATACTTGGCCCCCAAAACTAAAATATTTACTATCTGCTCTTTATAGAAAGCTTGGCAACCTTTGCCATTCTCTGTAAACGTGGTCTGAGACTCAATCATGTGAACTTCAAGATGGTTTCAACTTTTTGTCAGTTGGTATTTTTCCTTTTATAATCCTAATGTAGGAATTTGTTTAAGTATAAAATTGTTATGAAGGCATAAAACATTGAAAAGCATTTAGGATGTGTAGACAATAGGTTATAAAGCCTTATTCTCCCTGCATTGAGTTCTACTCCCTAGAGGTAACTCTTAACATTTTGGTGTGTAACACTTGTGGCCTTTATTGATACAGTCATACACGTATGTGGAACATATAACTAAGGGCCCAGAGATGGTGGGCTGCTGTGAGGAATTGGGCACCTCTCCATGGGCAATAGTAAGCTGTTGCTTTTATGCAGAAGACTGATAAGGTTTGACCTCATCAGGTATTAAGTGTTAAGACATTATTAAGCTTTTGAGTCATTCTGTCGGATGTGTTGAGAATAGACTACAGAGGGGTAGAAGACCAGAAATCCTGGATGGAGATGGTTGTGGAGTCAGGATAACTAGGAGGCATGAGCTAGAAGGATGGTGTGGTGCACCTGTTGGGAGTAAGATGTCTGCGGTGTGAGGAGTGAGAGGCTGAGACACAGTGAAGGGCGGGGCTGTTGGAGGCGGGAGGGTATGGACCTGGGAGGACAGTGTATCAGAAGCATCATCAGCCTGCACGGTGGATGCAGAGACCAGACTGCTAAGAAAGGAATTCCTCAGGAGTAGTGTTAGAATGACAGCCACTTGAATCTTCAAGAAATCTGGGGGAGTGGCCCAGAAATCATTGGATGACAGCGGGAGAGGGAGGTAGCTGGTATCTGGTAACAACACTTACCCAGGTTTTAGAAGGGAAAGAGAGACAGACTATTCATCTTGAAATGTTTGTGAAGAACACGGAACACTCTTAAAATCATCTCATGCCTAGGCTTCTGACATAAAGGCTATGGAGAGAAAACAGCTACAGCTTGGGAGATCTGCCCTGATGTGCCAGCGTAGAGCAAGAAGCTGATGAAAGCCCTTGGATAAGCAGTAGATAATGGAATTTTTTATATTAGACGATGGAATTTTGTTGTTTATATTTTGCTGATAATTTTGCTCTTGGAACTGCATTGCGGAGGTCATGGTGAGGCTTTTGCGGGTTGGAAACAATTGGAAATGGGACTGATTGGAACAGGGCATGTCAGAGAGTCCTCTGGGACTGAAGCACAGGGCAGCGAGAGAGAGAGAGAGACTGAAGAACCTGGGATCTTGGCGCCCTTTATGGGGCTTGACAATGGGATGGAAGGGCACTTGGTGTCCAGGCAGATTTGGTGGTGAGATCTTGCTAGATGAGGTCTTGACAGCAATACTAGTGGTGTGGGGATCCTGGTCACTCTGGTGATAGTGTGGAGGCCACAGGAGGTTACATTCCCAGCTTCAAAGCATTCATATGAGATGTTTCAAATTTTCTATTTTTTTTTTTCATTTCTAGATACTGCAAAAAGCCTTTGACTTCAAATTGCACAATTCAGATAGTGACACCTGGGAAAGGCAAGAAATCAACACCAAAACCCATTCCTATTCTAGCAGCTGGGTTTTGCTCAGACAAAATGTCATTGTTGCTTGTATACGGCAATTGGTTTCAGCCCACCATTGAGCGAGTGGTACGTAGATGCTACTCTGGAGTAAAGCAAAATAGCATCAACGTGGACATGAAAAAAAAAGATGACTGGAGTGATTCATTGGTCTGCTTATTTGAATACTTAAAAAGAAGTCGTGTATTTTCCTGTAACTGAAGGATCTTTCACTGGGTAGTTTATTTTAGTTTGTGAGAGCTATGTATATAATTTTACTTCACCTAGCATATCAAATTTTTTTTTTTTCAGTATATGAAATTTATTGTCAAATTGGTTTCCATACAACACCCAGTGCTCATCCCAAAAGGTGCCCTCCTCAATACCCATCACCCACCCTCCCCTCCCTCCCACCCCCCATCACCCCTCAGTTTAGCATATCAAATATTTTAATCCTTAGTCAATATGAAAAATTATTTCAGATATTTTATTCGCCTTTTTTTTTTGGTATTCTGTCTTTGAAATCTGGTATATATTTTCACTTACGCACATACCTCAGTTTGGAATAGCCACATTTCAAGTGCTCAATAGCCCCACATTTACTAACATTTTGGTCAGCACAGGGTATGAATGAATTTTACCCAAGTACCCAAAAGATACATCTTAATAAAAGAGCCTTTAGTAACAGTACTCATTGAGTTTTCTAAGTGGAAATGTAATGGGTAGTGCAGTTTACTTAACTTTTCTGAAAGTTTCTTTGGAGACTTTTGGTGAGTTATGGGTGTGTCCAATAGGTGATTTCTTTAGCTTGCATTTATACTGCTTTTATTCAGTAAGGCCTTCTGGGAGATGATGAGTGAAATATTATGTGCCCAAGCAAACTCTTGTGGAGTTTATTTTACTTTTTAAGAATTTAACACATGGATATGGTTTAATAAAAAAGGGAGAAAGGTATTAAGCTATAAACGTAACTCTCTGTGCTGTACCTGGACCCCCTAACCGTCCTCTGAAGATGCTGCCATTGTTTCCTGTTTGTTTTGTGTCCTACCAGATGCTGATTAATTATATGGGCATAGAACAGAGAATTACATAAAACCTTACAGGCTTATGGGTAACATGTACTTTGCTGCATCTGATTGTCGCCCTTGTAATGGCACATCAGGATTTAGAGATCCACCTTATAGCAATTTGTTCAGCAAGTCTTTGACTTGCTTGTGGAAAGTATAGTGGGGGGACCCTAAATAGCCCAGATTATTATTTTTTTTTTTCAATGTTTATTTATTTTTGGGACAGAGAGAGACAGAGTATGAACGGGGGAGGGGCAGAGAGAGAGGGAGACACAGAATCGGAAACGGGCTCCAAGCTCTGAGCCATCAGCCCAGAGCCTGACGCGGGGCTCGAACTCCCGGACCGCGAGATCGTGACCTGGCTGAAGTCGGACGCTCAACCGACTGCGCCACCCAGGCGCCCCCAGATTATTTTTTTACAAGGGTGACAAACAGGAATCTTTAAAAATCTGTTATAGTTTAAAAACCTCTTCATCTTTTAAAACTATACATGTGAAAAATTTGAGCAGTTCATAACTGAAAAAAGTACACATTATGCTTAATATCTTCAGAGTTGACCCACTTTTCTCTGCTGCCATCAGTCTGAGTAGTGGTCAGTCTGAGTGGCTGAGTTTTGTGGGGAAGCTTTCTATACTTTTTTGTATTTTTATGAAAATGCACAAGTACACATTGGCTTTTCATGTTATTCTTATTCCCAATTGCTTTGTTTGACATTTCTGCCCCCTTTCTTCCCCCCTCCTTAAAATTATATTCCCAGGCTTTAAGTTCCAAAGAACCTCACATGTGTTTAGTAAGAGACATTTCAAACTGCTGGGCCCCCAAAGTAGAGACGGCTATAACAAAGGTGAGTGCATTTCGTATTAGAAGTTGAGAAAAAAGAGATTTGGGCGAATTGAATTGTTATATAATATTATGTTTAGACTCTTTAATACCCTCCTTATGATCTTAACAAATTGGTGAGATTAAGTTTTAGGTAACAAGATTATACAACTTCTTTCCTGTGCTTTTGATTTGTTGAATGAATGAGTGAATAGACAACTAAAAGTTAAAGACTTGGGAGTTAGTCCTTTACCCCGTGTGTGATCATTAAATAAATACAACATTTGTCAATAACTTATTTTGCTGATTTCAGCATTTAAAGGAGGAATCCTGTATTTAAGGATTTAAAGCCCTAAATGATGGGTTTGGAATTAAATACCATATTTAAGCTTATCATCATGATTTTTTATTTTGAATATAACATGGCATCTACATGTAGATACATGTTTGGCAGTTTAATGAGGAAAAAAAAAAAAGCCAAGACCTGCTGTGATGACATCCATATATGGTTTCGCTTCTGGCTGAGTTTCAGAGATGACACCTTTCTCTTGGCTGTCTGAGCATTTCTGGCAAAGCTGGATTACTGGAGGTGGTAGTAAAATGTACAACTTCACTCTCTAATGTTTTTAAGTAATCCTTAAATGTTGTTTTTCCTGGTTTTTACTCATGTGCTATTGAAAACCTTAAAACTGTAAACTTTCAAATTATAATTTGGAAACTTATTTACTAACATTCAATTAAAATTTGTCTGTAGTTCTTATCATATTAAGTTAATTATGTTAAGATTTTCCAGTAGAAAAATCAATTAAAAGCTGTTAGTTTTCTTTGGGGCTAAATCTTACAAGGACTAAGGCATAATTCCCTTTGTCACATGCCGGCTATTCCTTTTTAACAGGTGAGAACACCAGTGATGAATTCTGAAGCAAAAGTTTTGGTGCCTGGGGTACCTGGTCATCATGCAGCTATCAAACCTCCTCCTTCACAAACTGAGGAGATAGAGAGCAAGAGGAAATTAGGGGAAAATGAGGTAATAAAATCACTGACCATTTTTGAGTTTGAAATGTAATATTACTCATGAGACTAACATTATTGGGTAGAGCCAAACTTGAAACTTTAGGAACTTAGCTAAGATTGCTGCTGGTTCCCTCTCTCATCCCGAGCAGCACAGGTTCAGAAATTCCAAATTGTAACCCGAGGCTTCTACTTGGCCACTGTTAATGGAGAAGACAGACTCTTACTAACTAAAGAGGGTGCTGTTTTGACCATTGTTAGCAGTCAGCTGGGTCACATAATTGAATACAGTACCTTAAGCCAGGACTTGCTGTGATGATTTCCATTGGGTTTCGCATGTTGCTGAGTTCCAGTGATGCCTTTTCTCTTGGCTGTCTGAGCAGTTCTGGCTAGTTTAGTGAGTGTTGGCCTTTAAAAGTGGTCATCACTATAACCTCTTCAAGTGCTTACAACCTTCATTTTTTCTCAGCTCCCTAGACCTTCCTGTGGTTACTGTACTTGTCTCTGTAGACCTTTTTCTTATGTGTCACCCTAAATGATGTGAAATTTTAATTGTTTTATCATTAGAGAAAGATTATGTTTCTTTACCTGATTTTAAATGTCTTCCTTTGTAGGGTGTGTGGGGGGATGGGGCTGAGTAGTTGTTCATTAAAATTATTCCTTAGTAACATGGTATATGTATTTAAAAATAACATGCCAACTTTCTTTAACTTGGCGTAGATCCAATTATTTAATTTCCTCCTGCCTTTTTTGATTTTTATGTTAACCTAAATAGGAGGCTTTGCCAAAGCCTATTTGCCATAGTAGTCACAGAGTATTTGTATTTTGATTTAGTTACTAAGAGGCAGGCAGAACATGGTTGTTAGACTTGTTTTAATAAGAGATAAGTTCTCTACAATTGAGTTTTTGTGTAGCAAATTGCATCCTGTTTATTTACACTTAAATTTTAGATTCTTTTATCAAGGGAACTTGATTTAGTAGAGCATAGCATCTTCTAGAAAATCATCATTTGGAACTACTAAAACGAAAAATAGGAAAAGACATTTTAAAAATTGTTTTGGGAACATAGTTGTCTTTATTTTTCATTTTCTTTTGATAATTTTCCTTTTTTACAGATGTGAGGCTGATAACCAGGGGTAGTTCTAGAAGGGAAAGTTCTTTTGATAATAGGTCTTTTCTTGTGCTTTAGTAATAAGATACCAGATCTGTGTATTTTTTGAATCTTCTTTAGAGAGATGTTTTTATGAATTACATTTTCAAATCATGACTTCTCATGCACTTCCAGATCACTAGGATCTGGAACCTTGGATTGCAGATAATACATTGGTCTCCATCATTGGCTTTATGGTAGTAAGATCTTGTTGGAATGAGAAAGAGCTTGTTTGTGTTTTTCATTGTGAACCAGTCAGTGCTTTTGTTTTTTGAGACATAGGAACAAAGTAATTCGACCAAACTACTTTAGGCCTTGTCTAGATTAACATTAATAGATCATTTCTGTTCTGCAGATTAGCATTGAAGAGCGCCTGGGAGCACTGGATATAGATACAAAGAAAGAGAAGGATGACCTTCCACAGACAAATAGCTTTCCAGTTCTTCTCACACAAGGATTAGAAAGTAATGATTTCGAAATGTTAAATGTAAGTATTATAGCAGTTTTTAAAATGAATTAGGACACTTAATTTTTCTTAGAAAGTGATTGACATAGCACACTCAGACTGAAGAGTCATGTGATAAAGCTGTTTTGAATTTAATATTTTGTGAGTTTAGTCAAATACATATCACTTGGTGGCACTATACAGACAGTCACCAACCTACAAAGACATTGTATTAAATTATTTTGAACCTGGAATGCATTTTCTCATAGAAATATTGTTCTGAATTGTTATTAGGTCTTAGGCTTTAGTTCACAAAAGCCTTTATAAACATAGTGTAGCTGAATTATAATACTCAGCATTCTAGATCACAATTTATATTTTTTTCTGTAGGAAAATGCGTTCCTGAGTTTTTACTCTGGATTCCAGAAACTTATTTCCCCCTGGCCGTGAGAGGGGGCGGTGAGGTGGAACCTTGGCAATGGGTAGGAGGTTTGGGGGAAAAATTGAAGAGGGTTGGGGGTTATCTTGTGAAGTATTTAGAGGTAAAATACTAGAAATTTATATAAGGGAAGCATTTATTATTTGTGTGTTTGTAAGTTGGTGACTGCTTGTATGAAGTGACTTAATTAGGTCCCCTTAAATTCCAGAATGTAACAGTGATCTGTACAGAAAATTGAAGTGTAAAAATTGGATTTAAGCACTGCCTAATTAGATTAAAGCAGTTTACATTTTCTTAAGTGCATTTATTCTTAGTGACTCAGCAATATTATGGTGCCACTAGTATTGATATGCCTTTTAATATGTAACCTGTGAATAGCATCTTTCTGATTTATATTTTGATCTAAATGGGAATATCTTATATTTGTGTTTAAGGTGACTTTTGCATAAAGGGGACATTACATCCTAAAACTTAAAATTGCTTGTAAAATAGTTTGTAAGTGTATGTAATTTGGAAGGTGGATTTTAGTTTAATATGGATAGAAATCTAGGTGAAAAATAAGCTGTAGAAAATAGCTGACAGTTTTTAAAATACACTGTTAACTTACCTGTCGTTATTGCCTCCTTAATTGTGCTTTGAAACCTTCCTCAGTAGTATAACTAAATCAGTTCCCATTTTTTTTTTTAATTTTTTTTCAACGTTTATTTATTTATTTTTGGGACAGAGAGAGACAGAGCATGAACGGGGGAGGGGCAGAGAGAGAGGGAGACACAGAATCGGAAACAGGCTCCAGGCTCCAAGCCATCAGCCCAGAGCCTGACGCAGGGCTCGAACTCACGGACCGCGAGATCGTGACCTGGCTGAAGTCGGATGCTTAACCGACTGCGCCACCCAGGCGCCCCCCCATTTTTTTTTTTAAAGAAACATTTCAAAACATTTAAAAAATTATTACAGTGGACCACCATGGACTCATCACTCAGTTTCAGAAATGATCAAATCTAGCCAGTCTGTCTGTGATGGTTTCATTTATCTGCCCACATATCTTCCCACATTATAGTGAAGATATCTTTTAGAGACATCATTTTATCCATAAATAAATCCCTGTTCCACTGACAATAGCAAGTCCTTTTAAAAACAACCACAATCCAGGGGCGCCTGGGTAGCGCAGTCGGTTAAGCGTCCGACTTCAGCCAGGTCACGATCTCGCGGTCCGTGAGTTCGAGCCCCGCGTCAGGCTCTGGGGTGATGGCTCGGAGCCTGGAGCCTGTTTCCTATTCTGTGTCTCCCTCTCTCTCTGCCCCTCCCCCATTCATGCTCTGTCTCTCTCTGTCCCAAAAATAAATTAAAAAAAAAAAGAAGGAAAAAAAAAAAAAAAAACAACCACAATCCAGTGTGCCTGGGTGGCTCAGTTGGTTAAGCGTCTGACTTCGGCTCAGGTCATTATCTCGTGGTTTGTGAGTTCAAGTCCCGTGTCGGGCTCTGTGCTGGCGGCTTTCTCAGAGCCTGGAGCCTGCTCTGGATTCTGTCTCCCTTTCTCTCTGCCCCTCCTCTGCTCATACTGTCTCTGTCTCTCTCAAAAATAAATAAACGCTAAAAAAAAAAAAAAACAAAAACCCACGATCTATTATCACACCTAGTAAACAGTAATTACTTAAAACCATCAAATATCCATCAGAGACCATCAAATATCCCTGATTGTCTCATAAACTTCTTTAGTTTTTATTTTTGCTTCCTTTAAAACAGGATCCCTGTGAAGTCCACACAGTATTGGGTAGATATATGCCTCTTCTGTCTCTTGCAGTTAATTTTTTTTTTAGAGGAGCTGAGTTATTAGCTGCATAGAGACCTCATAGTCTGTATTTTGTCTCCTGCAAAACTCCATTTTATTGGGTCATTTAATCAAATAAATGTTGTCATTAAAAAAAATTTGTTTTTAACGTTTGTTTTTGAGAGAATGGGACAGAGCACGAGTGGGGGAGTGGGGGCAGAGAGCGGGATGGGGGTCGGGGTGGGTGCACACAGAATCTAAAGCAGGCTCCAGGCTCTGAGATGTCAGCATAGAGCCCAACCCGGGGCTCGAACTCATGGACCCCCAGATCATGACCTGAGCTGAAGTCGGATGCTTAACCGACTGAGCCACCCAGGCGCCCCAATAAATGGTATCATTTAACATGTTCCTCTGTCATATTTTCTATACACTGGTAGTTGTATCTCAAAGCTTGTAGAGATTCAGGTTAGAATCTTTTGGTACTTCAAAGTTGACAGTGTGTCCTTTTATTAGGTGTCACAGTTTTTGGGACAAATGAAATGATGTTTATAGAAGCACTTCTTAAATTATAAAGCATTGTACACATAAGACTTTCTCATTATTGTATTACTTAAGTAGAAGTAATTGGAAACTAGAATCCTGAAAAACTGGGTGCTGGAAAAGACCTGTAAATGTTATAGTGAGGGCTTAAAATAACCCTTAAAAAAAAGTATAGAGATTTTCCCATACTGTATTGCCTGGGAGATGCATTCACATATTCTGTACTTGACTCTAAAATAAAAAGCGAGACAAGTTAAAAAAAACAAAACTTTTTTCTCCTAAAAATTGTCTTCCCCATTCCTCAAAGTGACCTTATGAGGACACATGAAATATAGTAGGAGGACTTAAAGAATGAAAGAAGGGAGGTAGCAATGGCAGGGATACATCATGTGACTATAACTGAGGTTAAGAATCCCCACCTTAGAGGGGTATCTGAGTAGCTCAGTCGGTTAAACACCAGCTTCGGCTCAGGTCATGATCTCACAGTTCGTGAGTACAAGCCCTGTGTCAGGGCTCTGTGCTGACAGCTCAGAGCCTGGAGCCTGCTTTGAATCCTGTGTCTCCATGCCATAGAAAATTTGACGTTAAACTTGTGGCTTTAGGAAGGTGGAAATTTGACTCAAAAGAAAAGGCTATAGCTTATGAAAAGAGAAGAGAAGCCAAGTTATTGGCACCCAGAAAAGATAGAGATTTTAAGATTTTTAAAAATTTACTTAATTTTTGAAAGTGCCATTTATAGTAGTACCAAGAAGTTAAATGTATAAAAGATGACTCTCTCTCTACATTGAAAACTACAAAAATTGAGAGAAATTAACAAAGATTAAAATATATAGATATCTAAACCACGTTTGTAGGTTGAAAGATTTAATATTGTTAAAATGAGGAATTTCCCCCACATTTGTGTTTTTAGTGCATTCCCAATTAAATTTCAACATCTCCAAGTAAAATTGGAGGACTTACCCTACTTGATTTCAAGATAAAGTTACAGTAATTAAGATAGTTTGGTATTGGTGAAAAATAAGTATAAATTAAGAAACCACAATAGTCCAGAAAAAGACTACACACAATTGATTTTCAATAAATGTACTAACTTGAGTTAATTGAGAAAGTAAACTCTTCCCAACAATTGGTCCTGAATCAACCAGATACCCATATGGGAAAAAACTGGTCCTGAATCAACCAAATATCCATATGGGAAAAAACACATCTCAACTCTTACTTCATGAAAGTCGTCACAAAATACATAAATGTAAAACCAAAACCTGCAAAACTTCTAGAAAAAAACAGGATAAAATCTACACAAAGTTTGTGGATGAAGTCTTAGATGGCTTCCCAGCAAGCCATCTACAGGAAAAAATGGTCATTTGGACTTCATGAAAGTTGAAATCTTTTGCTCTTGAAATGACACTGTTAAGAGAGTGTGGGAAGGCAAGCTGCAGGCTGGGAAAAAATGTTTGCAACTCCTTCATCAGACAAAGGATTCATATCCAGAATACACAAACATCTGGATAATGAGACTCAGGTCAAAGAACCATTGGTAAAGGTGTGAACAGATCCTTCACAAAAGAATTCAAATGGCCAATCAGTGCATGTATACGTGTTCTGTGTCATTAGTCATCACAGATGAGCAAACTGAAGTGACAGTGATGTGATGCTGCACACCCATTATTGACCCATAAAAGACAGTTCCTCTGTTGGGGAGGATGTGGTGCAGCTGGAATGTCCTGTCATGGTGGTGGGGATATAAAATGGTACAGCTACTTTGGAAAACAATTTGGCGACTTCTTAAAAGTTAAGGATTTATTTACCTTAAGACCCAGTCATTCTACTGCTAGGTATTTACCTGGAGAATCAAAAATACGTTCATATAAAGACTTGGACATGAATGGTCATGGCAACTCTATATTTTAATAGCCAGAAACTAGAAAGAACCTATCTTTTGATTGGCTTAAAATCTTATCAGAAAGTTGATAATTGTAAAAGTTTTGTTGCTAAGTGTGATTTTAGTGTGTTTTGCTCAATCTTATGTGGTTATAACTCTAATTTTATGTAATGATGGTTTGGCAGCTTCTCTAAAGTGGCATATATCTGTATTTAAATGTATAGAGGTGTTCTGTATTATATCAGAATTTGTTCATAAAGTTTAAAATTTGTAGAGAAGAAATCTGTTTATCATATGCCCTGATTCCTGAAGATTATACTTGCCTGATAGCCATGGTCATTAACATAACATTTTTCAGTCAGTCCCTCCAGCAGCCGTCATTCACTAAAATTCAGTTTGTAGTTTGTTTGGTTTTTAAAATCATTTTTACTGATAGTTTCTCCTGTAGTGACCTTAGCTTCTGAATATGCTTATCTTTATATTTCTTTTATTTTCTCACAGAAAGTACTTCAGACTAGGAATTTAAACCTAATTAAGAGGACTGTATTAAGGATGCCCCTGCATGCTGTTATTCCATTGTTGCAAGAGGTAACTGAATATTCTTTTCATTTTAAGGTCCTTACACTGTGAATTAAAGAGAATCTGTATAGAGAAATGGATTTGCAGTATATAAGCAAGCAGAGTGTTTAGAGTAGATGATAGATCTACTTAAATAAGATGGACCTAATCCATATTTTTTCTGTGTATTTTTTTTATTGAGATATAATTCACATATCATAAGATTCACCCCTTTGACGTGTACAATTCAGTGTTTTTTAATATATTCACAGATTGTGTAGTTCTTACCAAAAAAAAAAAAAAAAAATCCTGTACCATTTAGCCACTCCTCATTCTCCCTTACCCTCAGTTTCTGGCAACCACAAATTATTTTCTCGCCCTGGATTTGCCACCTCTGAACATTCATTCATATAAATCCTAGCCAGATTTTTTTATCAGGTAATTACTCTTATTGTGGGAAGTATTCCTAGATTATGTTTGTTGAACATTGAAGAATTAGGAAATTTAGGAATTGTTTAGGAATAGTGATTTCCTAATAGTCTTTTCTATATTTTCTTTGTTCTTCTGGATGTTATGTATTGTGGGAATTGGTGCAGATTTGCTGCCTCTGACGTACTGTTGCTAATACTGTTTTTCTCCCCCTCAGCTTACAAAAAGATTGCAGGGACATCCTAATAGGTAAGATACTTAGGTGACTTAAATTGCTTTGATTTTATAAACATTTTAAAGGTGACTGTTAAAAACAGCAATTTCTGACAGCATGAAGTTACATAGTGGGTAGCCCCAAATTCTAAGTAGGAAGACTCATTAAGGGTCAGACATTGCTCTTCCTACTTACTTGAAGGATTCTTATTCCTAAGATTTTAGTATAGTTTTCTCCTTTCTTTTAGGAAACTCGTGTTTGGTGTTTTGTTTTATTATCAGGTCATTTAATGAATTAGTCTTAAGATTTCATCCTAATCATATATAAAATTGCCATTTGTAGAATTCTCCCAACCTAAGATAAGGAAGTATTTTATATGACTGAATTTTGTGGGTCTTTCTTGTTAATAATCTGATGATTAAGTATATAAATAGGAAGTTGGTATGTCAAAGATCCTAAGCTTTAAGTGTAGTATTTTCGGTGCTATAGTATATAATAAAGTTTTTCTTTTAGTTTTCTTCCCCCTCATAGACTCCAGTAGTGTTTGGAGCTCACAAAGAAAAGCCAGATAATTCATCGATTAGGCCGAGCTTATACATTTTTTTTGGTCTGTATTTGTCTGTTAATGTGGCATGGAAATCTTTTGCTATTTGTACCTGATAGTGAGTAGATGTTCGGGGTAAAATGCAAAGTCAGTTAAGCCCAGTTTACTGAGCCCATAATTACTGTCTGTTAATTATGAAGTAAAGTATGGGCTTTATTCTTGAATTGTTTTAGAGGGAAGGGAGTTTTGTCCTCTTCCAGTCCATGTAACTCCCCCCTCACAATCCCTCCAGAGATGGGTATATTTCAGATCTCTGATAGAGTCTGAAGGGATGAGAAGTCAGTGGTTTATTTCGTAGTGTTGTTTTCACAGGACACAATTTATGGATCTTCACTTGGCCTGAATTCTTCTAATATTACAACTCAGTTGTATTTAATTTTGAATTTGTGAATATTTGTTTACTTGGGTTTTTTTTTCTTTTTTTCAGTGCTGTTTTAATGGTTCAGTGGCTAAAATGTGTGTTAACGGTCCATGCATCCTATCTATCCACAGTAAGTCGTCAGCTGTAGTTGGCTTTGATAAAGATTATAAACTGAGGGGTTAATAGAACCATCCTCTCTCCAACTGCTCTTCAGCCATCAGCTGCTGCTTTTAAAGATTTTATTTTTCCCCAGGTGTGTGGTGTAGTAATGTCCATTGTTGCCTTTTGTAAATTGGCCTCTTTTTTTGCCCTGGGTTAAAAAAAATTTTTTTTTTTTTTCAACGTTTATTTATTTTTGGGACAGAGAGAGACAGAGCATGAACGGGGGAGGGGCAGGGAGAGAGGGAGACACAGAATCGGAAACAGGCTCCAGGCTCTGAGCCATCAGCCCAGAGCCTGACGCGGGGCTCGAACTCATGGACCGTGAGATCGTGACCTGGCTGAAGTCGGACGCTTAACCGACTGCGCCACCCAGGCGCCCCTGCCCTGGGTTTTAAAAGTAATATTCTGTAGAGAACTTTGAAAAAATACAGAAAGGAGAAAAGTAACATACTGACTTATTAGCCTTTAGATGTAGTTTTCTATGTATGTAACCTGTTTCACAAAATTATTTTTACTTTGTATGTATCTCTCCCCTGTCCTACCTTGTCCCAGGACAATAACAAATAGCTTGTGGTAAAAATGAAATTAAATATTTAATACATGTCATTTTGTAGGACTGCTGTAAGCTCTTGATTATCTATGCAAATGGGAAGCATGGAACATAAAATCTTAACACCAGAAAAAAACAATTTTATGTCATAATATGAATTGTGTTCTTTGCCACATCATCAAATCAGTTATATTTTAAGCTAGAAATAAAATTATCCAATTTACTTTTTTCTTTAATTTATTATTTAGTGCCATTTAATAGGTTTTCTTAAGAAAATTCTTAATTTTACTCTTCCTTTAAACAATTTTTTTCAATGTTTGTTAATTTTTGTGTGTGAGAGAGCATGAATGAGTAGGGGAGGGGCAGAGAGAGTGAGAGAGAATCTGAAGCAGTCTCTAGGCTCCTAGCTGTCAGTGCAGAGCCCAGTGCAAGGCTCAAACTCATGAACTGTGACATCATGACCTGAGCCAAAGTTGGACACTTAACTGAGCCACCCAGGCGCCCCTATTCTTACTTTCTTAACACAGTTTCATCCAACTTCGCCTGGTCCCTTGTCCCTTGTTCTGTCTCAGGCTCCTTTCCCCCTTCATTAGTTTGAAATTGGAGAAACAATTGGATAACCAGCAGTGTGTTCTTTGTGTCTGGGGAGAATTCGCCAGGATGTTAGAATGTGGGGAGGTACGCTGTTGGGTTTCCCAGGTTGCAGAATCTTGGGAGGGCAGTTGAGGGCAGTGGTGAGTGGAGTGGCTGATTGGCATCTCATGGGCAGGCGCAGAGTCCCACAAGCTTCAAGACTTGGGACTGTGGCTGGTAAACCGGGCAGCACTTATTTTGTGACCTCATTTACTTGTTTAGAAGTGAAAAGAGCCCTAGGAGGCCTTGTAGTGAAATTCATTCCCGAATCAACTCCTAAGGTTGAACTGCTGGAGTAGTAGTTGTGTCATGTTCACAGTCATGGCAAAACAGACCAAAGAAGCGTGGTATAGAGAGGACTCGACTGCCAAGAGTTCTCTCACCTCAGAAAACAGTGGTTTTCCTTCTACATTTCCTTCCTTTCCTCCTTCCTTATCAGGTATCTTTACCTTCTTTAAGCCGAGGGACTGTGCTAGGCATGGGGCTTAAGTAATGGACAAGACACTCAGATACCCATATTCCTGGAACTTACCTCCTGAATAGGGACAAATAAGAGATGATGGTAATTGGAATGTGATCATGTTAAACTTTGTTTTATTCTTTTTGTGTCTGTTTGCTATTTAACATGTAAATGAAATACTCTTATTTGTGCTAAATCGTCAGTGATAGGAGGACAAGTAAAGGCTAATTAAAGGGCAGAGTAGGGTCCATTTTTTTGTTCCTATGGAGGGACAATTTAATCCGTGCTTTAATTCCTTAAGCATGGTTCATAGGATTCATTAATAGGGAGTATGTTTGAAATACGATAAGGTCAGCTTCGTACTGTGTTGCTCTGTTGTGCTGGTCTCTGGTCTCTGGAAACTGGGAAGAGCTCCCTTCAACTTGCTCTGAGGACTTATGGTAGAAGTAGATAATGTGATACTGTCAGAGTAAGTTTCAGAGGAAAGTCCTCTTTATCCCGGAGATATATGGTGGGGATGTATATATTTTTTAATGTTTATTTATTTTTGAGAGAGACAGAGTGCAAGCAGGGGAGGGGCAGAGAGAGAGGGAGACACAGAATCTGAAGCGGTGTCTAGGCTCTGAGCTATCAGCACAGAGCCCGATGCGAGGCTCGAACTCCTGAACCATGAGATCATGACCTGAGCTGAAGTCTGATGCCCAATCTACTGAGCCACCCAGGCACCCCGGGGATATATCTATTTTTTATTCAGTGTCTCATTTGTATTGACCTTCTCTAAAACCTCATGATCAGCACAAAGAACAGCACCCTCCCCTGCTTTTTCTTGAACTACCTTGTGGTTTCTTCTGACGCTGTATCATTACTTAACAAAATCCATTGTTTTTTTTGCCATTAGGACATTGAAGGCCTACAAAAATCTGAGATGTTGTTAGGCTGTGTCCCAAGCAGACACTGCCACTGGATGTGCAAGCAGATACTTGGGGGGCAGTGGCTGAATACTTGGGTGTGTCTGAGCATGATTTGTATGTTTGTTATTTATACTTTGTCATGATGGTATGACATCATCTTTTTTCTCTCACTAGTTGCCTGATCTGGTACCCCAGCTGGGGACACTATACCAGTTAATGGAAAGCAGAGTAAAAACTTTTCAGAAACTCTCCCACCTTCATGGAAAGCTTATTCTTCTGATTACTCAAGTGAGTAAATCAAATTGTTTTGTGCTAAACTTTGGATGTGATAGGAATACAGGGAGGAATTGAAAGCCGTGTGTTTCAGCAAGAAATTGATAAATGTTAATAACTCGGAAATGTTATGTATTCGATCGTAAGTAAACCTAATTGTGCCTGTTTTCCGGAGGGGTTCTCACTATCCTATTTCAGTTGTTAATATGCTTAGGACAGTTGTGCTATGAACAAGTTCCAGGCACAGAAAGAAATTCTGATCACCTTACAGGGTTTTTCAACTTTTACAGAGTAATTCTTTATCGTATTTGGCAAATTTGCTCTTTGCTCTGTATTTGACCTGTATCGTATTAAGGCCATCCACCTTAGTGGTTGAGGGCAAGTTTACTGTGAGGAAGGTGGAGTGTGGTGGGGGTTGCGATACTTGAAATAACCGTGTACTCTGTTTCATGATAAAACCGTATTGTCTTTCAGGTCACAGCTTCAGAGAAATCAAAGGGAATGACTTGTCCTGAGCAAAAGGCAAAATTGGTATATGAGGAAGGTAAGGTTTGGGGCAGTGTAGAATTTAGAATTGGAACATTCATCTTTTTTTTTTTTTTTTTTTTCAACTTTTATTTATTTTTTTGGGGACAGAGAGAGACAGAGCATTAATGGGGGAGGGGCAGAGAGAGAGGGAGACACAGAATCGGAAACAGGCTCCAGGCTCTGAGCCATCAGCCCAGAGCCCGACGCGGGGCTTGAACTCGCGGACCGCGAGATGGTGACCTGGCTGAAGTCGGACGCTTAACCGACTGCGCCACCCAGGCGCCCCGGAACATTCATCTTTTAACTTTGAATTCTCTTATCTTATTTTAAAGAACATGAATGTGAATAAGATCATGCTTGGCACACCTTCTGTGGCAAAATACAATCAAATAAGAAAAGAGAAGGCACAAATAAAATAGAGTAACAAAAAGGCATTAGGTATGGAAGAGATGAACAGAAGTAGGAGAACACTGTGAACAAACTTTAGGCCAGCACATTATGACCCTAGATGACAATAGGTAATTTCTTAGGAAACATTAATGACCAAAGTTGACTAAATAAAAAGAACTAGAAACCTTGAATAAGCTGATGACCCTAAAATTGGTTTAATCAAAACATTTGCTCAAAGATGCCAGGCATAGAGTTTTTATAGGTGAATTTTGATCAGTCTTTCAAGGAATAAGTCATTTTTGTTACAAACAATTTTGGCATTTTATGAGTCAAAACCAGATAAGGATATTAAGAAAACAACATTTTAGACCATCTTCAAATATCCTGAGTAGCAGATTATAGAAGTGCTTAACTAAAATACCAAGTAGAATTTATTTGAAGATTGTAAGACAATTTAGCATCAAGGATTTATTAATGTAATTACTACATTAACTGATTAATAGAACACTATATACGAATAAATCTAGAAAAAGAATTCCATAAAATTCAGTCTTTATGTCATTATTGATAATCTAAGCAATCTACAGATTTAAAGGAATTCTCTTAATCTGTATCAAGGCAGAGTTTGGAAGCATTCCCATAAAGTCAGGAACTAGACAATAATGTACTTTTTATTGCTTCTGGATATCCTGCCTAGTACTGTATGAAAGAAGTGAATTCTAGAACATTGGACTTGGCAGTTGTTAACCATCACAACTTAGAAAATGCAGCAGAATCTACAGTTATACCATCATGAATGAGATAAGGAAGTAAGTTTACTGGATATCAAGATCAGCAAAAAGGAATCGGAATCAGTAGCATTATTATGTTCCAGTAACATATTGTGTGTCTACTAACATGTTTCCCAGTCAGGAAATTTATTAGGAAGAAGATCTCATTCATAGCAGCAATCAAAACTATGAAGTCCCTAGAAATATATCTAAAAATTAAACAAACCTTTATATAGAGAAAATTACAGAACATAATTGAAGGACATAAAAGCATACCTGAATTAATTAGACTTCATGTGCATTTTTCCAAATTTTATTGAGATACAATTTACCCATGACATTATATTTTTTTAGGCGTGCAACATAATGATTTGATACATGTATGTATTGCGAAATGGCCACCATAATATGTTTAATTAACATCCATCACCATACATAGTTGCATTTTTTCCCCCCTAACAATGAGAACTTTTTTTATTCTCTTAGCAGCTTTCAAATAAACTGTACAGTATCGTTAACTGTGGTCACCATGCTGTACATTATATCCGCAGGACTTCTTTATCTTATAACTGGAAGCTTGTATCTTTTAATTTTCACTCATTTCTCCCTACCCTGCATTCCCCATGTCTGGCAACCACCAGTCTCTTCTCTGTAAGTTTTGTGTTGTTTAGATTGCACACATAAGTGAGATCACACAGTATTTGTCTTTCTCTGTCATACTTATTGCACTTAGCCCAGTACCCTCAAGGTCTATCCATGTTGTCATAAATGGGATGATGTCCTTTTTTAAAAAGCTGAATGATATTTAATAGCTGAGTTCAGTGGCTGAATGTATACCACATTTTTTTTAAACATCCATCCATTCCATCAGTGGACTCTTAGGTTGTTTCCGTGTCTTGGCTGTTGTAAATAATGCTGCAGTGAACATGGGGGTGCAGGTATCTCTTTGAGATCCTGACTTTGTTTCCTTTGACATCTACCCAGCAGCATAATTGATGGGTCATCTGGTAGTTTTATTGTTAATTTCTTGGAGAGCCTCCATACTGTTTTCAGTAATGACAGTACCAATTTACATTTCTACCAATAGTGCATGAGGGTTTCCTTTTCTCCATATCCTTGGCTTAAGTTTTTAAGGATGGATTTTGTTAAGGTTTTGGTACTTTGTCCTCCTCAGTGAGATCTTGGTGGAATAAAACAGTAAATGTACTTTTATGCAAATAAGAGTATTAACTTAATGTTACTTCTTAGGTGGATGATAGCTGAATATATTTCTAAAAGTACATTCAGGAATCTGATTCTATTTAGTTTTTAGGGCTCTGCCCTCTGCTTGTTGATTACAAACTTAAGGCTGGGTTTTCTCCTTGTAGAGTCTTCTGAAGAGGAGTCAGATGATGAAATAGAGAAGGATTCTGATGTGAGTGATTTGTTTCCTGTTACATAAATCTGCTTTTATATCCTTGTGTTCTGTAAGGACGAGGACTTAATGAATGCTTTCCTTATTTAATATATTTCTACCAGGATAATTGGGATGAAGATGAGGAAGATAAAGAAAGTGAAAAAGATGAGGATGTTGATGAAGAGGAGGAAGAGGAAGAGGAAGATGCTGAAGAAAAAGACGAGGAAAATGGTGAGGACAGAGATGTGGCAAGTGAGAAGGAATTAAATGGAGATTCTGATTTAGATCCTGAAAATGAAAGTGAAGAAGAATGAAGATGGAAAAGAAGCCAGTGGAACTATGTAATCTCTGGCTCACCTTGCCCAGTGCTGCCGAGTTCTCCTGGGAGGGTTGTCTCTGGGACGGATGCCAAGGACCGTTACACATTTCCAAGTTCCTCATGGTGGTTCCCATGCCATCTTGCTGTCCTGAGCACCCCAGACTTAGCTGTGTAAATAAGAGTGTTTCATTCAAATGTTAATAAACTTTACACAGTAAATAGACACATTTTCTGCAATGTACTGACATGAGTGTCCAATATATGGTATATTTTTATAATATAATATCCTAGTATGGTTGGTTATACCAAGAATTGATAGGAGTGAAGATGAAGACCTTTCCCTTGTAGGGTTTCAAGAACTGGACTTTGTGAAGGAGTCAGCTCTTATCTCAGGTCGGTATCTCTCGTCAAATCCAGATATGAAGCAGCACTAGTGAAAACAATTTTTAATTTGGTACATTTTCATAAAATATGAAGGGATGACTAAAGATTCGTAGTAAAAACGGTTGCGATTTTAAAAATTAAATATCAATTTCCCTAGCTTGTCTGTGAATGGTGGTGATCTGATTTGAGTCAGTCTGAATATTTGGAGTGCTTCCCCTAAACAGCCATTTATTTTTTAATCTGTCATGTGGAATATTTTTTTAAAACACACAAAAAATGATGGTAATTAAAAAAACTAAAGAATTAGCCATATTAAGGATTTTTCTTGACTGCAAGTTGCCTGTAAAGAATCATCAGTGTATAGATTTAGAAGTATCCATTACTTGCAACTTTTTAAAAAATTCAGTTATAGCTGCTTTTGAAGAGGTTTTCACTTTTATTTAAATTACTAATGGATCAAAGAACAATTGTTTATTTTTTTCTCTTTGGTTTTAGATATTAATGATAACCTTGTTGGAATTTTTTTCCAAAGAAAATATTTTTATAATTCAGTAATTTAATGTTTTCCTTCCTTTTCATTACCCACTCTTGGCAGTGTTAGGGTATCTGTTTACCTTTAAAATTATAAATCTGACTCAAGATTTTTTAATGTATGTATAAATAAGTATTTTGGTGTGCAACAAAAGCCTTTTCAAATTATCAGTACCTTTTTTTTTTTTTTTTTTTTTTTTTTTTTTAATTTTAAAGAATGAGCCAGTATTTGTTCAGTGCTCTCTAGGGAACATGCAGATGGGAGCTCAACTCTAAGGGAGGGCTGGGGAGATGGGTTTATTTTTACCACCTGTGAATATGTAAAACACAAAACCATGATCTCTGAGGGACTTTTTAACACCAGTGGCAGGACAAGAGATTTCTGTGCTCAACTAATGGAGCCGGAGCCATATAGGCATCTTGGGAAACAAGTTTGAGCCAGCTACTGGTGTAATGTACAGTTATATTTGTCTATAAATGGAACTGTTTATGGCAATTTAATACCATTCTCTTTGTAAAGTGAATAAATATTCATCTTTACCCAGTCTTGTCTTGTGGTGTATGTAGAGGAACACAGCCACCTATTTGGGCTTGTGTGAAGGTTTCAAGAAAGTGATCCTACTCCGCTAGCGTTAATAGGTACACTCTCAGGGTTTGTTGGAAAACCTGGAATTTGTAACTTAGTGAAAGAACCAGGAACTTTGAATTGGGATGCAGCCCCGCTGGCTGAGTCGTGCTCCCACAGCCCGAGGCTGCAGTGGTGGTCATGGTTTCCTTGCACCTGACTCTCCCGGGAGAAGTAAAGGACCATGTGTGTAGTGATTGCTTACTAATTATTGTTGGGGTTAGACAAATCTGGGGCTTAATTATGCTTGTTTCAAAGACGTTTCTAGTTTCAGGGTGTTTTTCACCATTGTCGTTCCACTCCTAATCCAGGGCAACCGCGCTTTGTGTGTGTGGTGTTGTCTTTTCTGAGAATAATTTTTCCTCCCAACCTTTTATTTTGAAAAGTTAACCCTACATTCCTGATCAAGGATTAACACATTGTATTTGGTTGTGGTTACTGCTCTGTTAATCCAGAATATCCCCCTTTGTGTGTGTGTGTCATGATTTTGATATTTAAATGATTCCCATAAATAAGGCTGTGTTGGAGAAATGTTTTACCGTCTGGATTCGTCTGATTGTTTCCTTGTGGTTAGATTCTGGTTTAGGGGCGCCTGGGTGGCGCAGTCGGTTGAGCATCCGACTTCAGCCAGGTCACGATCTCGCGGTCCGTGGGTTCGAGCCCCGCGTCGGGCTCTGGGCTGATGGCTCAGAGCCTGGAGCCTGTTTCCGATTCTGTGTCCCTCTCTCTCTGCCCCTCCCCCTGTTCACGCTCTGTCTCTCTCTGTCCCAAAAATAAATAAACGTTGAAAAAAAAATTAAAAAAAAAAAAGATTCTGGTTTAAATGTTTTTGGCAAGAATACTAAATAGGTAGGGGTATCAGATTAATTTGTAAAGAAGTCTTTGGGTGTAGATGAATATACAGAGTATATGTTTTGATGTAAGTAGGTATCAAACTTAGGTTTGGGACTTTTGAAGTTTTAGTGCAGCGGGGCTCTTGGGGTGCAGAAGTGGAATCGTGGTAGTGAGAACACTGGGTATATTGATATAAGGCTGTTCCCTTTGGAAATTAACTCTCAGCATTGTACATTCATTCATTCAACAAATACTGATTGTACCTACTCTGTGCCAGGGATTATGTAGTTGCTTGGCATACATCACTGAATTCTGTCCTGAGAAGCTGTTCTACCAGAGAGATAGGCAAACACAATGTGTAAGAGCAAGTAAATTCTATGTAGTACGTTAGATGGTGACTTAATGGGGGGGAGTTGGGGGTGGGAGAGTGTAGGCTGCAGAATTAAATACATAATCAGGATAAGGTTTGTTGAGAAGGTGAGGTTTGAACATAGACTAGGAGGGGTGAGGGAGTTAGCAAGTGGGTATCTGGGGAAGAGTGTTGTAGGTGAGGAAACTGCCTGAGCAAAAGCCCTGTGGCCAGCACCTGCCTGTGATTGTGTTGCAGCAAGATGGTCAGTGAGACAAACGGGGAGAGTACATCAAGAGGTTAGCAGAGGTAACGAGCAGTCAGGTTTCATAGGGCCTTGCAGGCCATTGTTGGCACTGGTTGTGCTCTCACTGATAAAGTTGCAGTGTTTGGGCAGAGGAGTGCTATCTGGCTTATGTGTTGAGAATTTTGTATCATTCTGGTGCTATGTTGAGAAATCGAAAAATTGTATTCTAATAGGCAGAGACCAGGAGGATGCTTTGGCAGTAATCCAAGTGAGAGATGATGGTGACTTAGACCATTGTGGTAGTCTGGGTTTGGTTGGCTTCTGGGATTGTTTTAAAATCAGAGCTAATTGGATTTCTTGTGAGGTATGAGAGAGGATGAGTCACGGAAGACTACCCAGTGTTTTTTGCTGGAGCACCTGGATGATGCTATGGGCAGAGCAAGTTTAGAAAAGTAAATCAGGAATTGAGTTTTGGACATGTTGAGTTCTAGATGTGTAATTAGGAAGGCACATACCTACCCAGTTGACTTGGCGAAAGTGAGATGGAGGTGGAGGTTTGGTATTGACATGTATGTGACAGTTAAGCCACAAGACAGCGTGAGCTTCCCATAGAGCGCTTGTACATAGGAAGAGCACCCAGGCCTGGGGCTTCAGCATCCGAGTACAAGAAGAGAAACTTCAAGGAACGCATCCAAGAAAGCGTGACCATGGAGTAGGAGGGGCTGATGTTTATTTACTCTTCATTCTCTTGAAATCTGAATTCATGACAACCTTCAGCTGTGATTCTTTCAACTGTTGGTGATATTACTGGTGTGTCCTCCCAGGCCACAGTGTTCTTTATGATGCCCTTCATGACCATTTGTTGATCCCTTCTTTGAAGGCAACTCAGGTGTACAATTTTTTTTTAATGAAGGAAATACATTTTTTTTTTAAGTTTGTTGATTTATTTTGAGAGAGAGAGCATGATTGGGGCGGGGTGGAGAGAAAATCCCAAGCAGGCTCCACACTGCCAGGACAGAGCCCCACAATAGGCAGGGAGGGGCTCAAACTCACAAACTGTGAGATCATGATCTGAGCCAAAATTGAGTTGGACGCTTAACCAAATGAGCCACCCAGGTGCCCCTAAGATTTTATTTATCTTTATTTATTAAAAAAAATTTTTTTTTACATTTATTCATTTTTGAGAGACCGAGCACAAGCCGGGGAGGGGCAGAGACAGAGGGAGACACAGAATCCAAAGCAGTCTCCAGGCTCTGAACCGTTAACACAGAGCCCAACGCGGGGCTTGAACCCACGAACCGTGAGATCATGACCTGAGCTGAAGTCGAACGCTTAACTGACTGAGCCACCCAGGCGCCCCCTGGGCCCCCCCCTCCCCTGCAAACTTGTTTTTTAATATAATGTGTTCTTTACCTTTATGGCACCTCAGCATGGTCCTTTGTGCTAACCTATTTTGTGTCCACAATTTGTATACCGGATCAGAAAATGTAGAATGAGAGTCTGTAGCTGTGTAGACAGATTAGCAGGCACGGTCTGGCACAAGTGTGGGATAGATGGTATTCTGTCTCTTCTGTACAATGCTGGCTGACTGGCTGTGAGAAAACCAGATTGAGCGTACTTCGCAAGTACTTTGTGGATAGTTTTTGATAGGAAGGTAGTTCTGAGAAGAACAAGGCAATTATAAATGCACGTGAGGAATGTCAAATGAAAAACCCCGAAGTTGAAAATCACCACTTTAAAAGTTGCCTGGCATATTCTTTGTAGGTAATGATCACTCAAAGGGGGAGGAAATAACTATACTTAACTGGCCGCTGAAGTGAAGGGATTTTCTGATGGAAGTAAGTAGGTATGAAAGCATTTTGTTAGACCCTTGGCCCCACCGTAGCGTGTTTTGTTCCAGTTAGAAAGAGGCGAAGGGGCATGGTGGTGCCTGACCTTCTGCAATCCCTGAAGACTGAGGCCATGTGGCAGCTAGCTGCCTTAGCTGGCCCTGTGTGGTCACGATGTTGCAAAACTGGGCCAAAGCTTCTCAGGTTCAGAAACTAATTGCCTTTGTCTTTAGAAGTGATGCAATTTCGTGAAGTGAAAGAGTTAACAAGGCTTCTAGGAAAGATTGGTATTTAAATGGTGTATTTACAGTGAGAAGCATATCTCAAGTGGAGTAGCGTGTTCAAGTTTGGTGAAGACCTGTCTTTCTGCACAGGAAAGCCACAGAGTAAGCTGGCTTTATAATTGGAAGATTGTCTTTGAACCAGAGTGTGAAATTGGAATAAGCAATGAATTGGATGGTTTTACTAGCTGGTGTAACGGGCAGTGTGTAGTCTATATTGTGAAGGGGGTGGAATTCTAGGCTTTCCTCACCTTGCTCTGGGCCCTTCACTTCATACTGATCCTGCTTTTAATGGGACAGTTACTGTGGTTGGAACGCAGGTGTTCTGGGCCTCCTCAGTCACCCACCCACTTAGGACGGCTGGTTAGGGTACATTCTAATAATTTAGTGGACAGCTTCCTCCTGACCATGGGCACCATCACCGTGCAGTTACACCTAAGAAATAAACTTTGCCATTTTCAGCCAAACTTTGACCTTGTTAAGTATTTTCAACCTAGCAAAGTCTGCCTCCCCTTCTGTATTGTGGTAAAATATATGTGGACGATTTTAACCGATTTGTTTTTCCTTTTCCCTTTTGTTCGTTTTTTGAGAGAAAGAGAGAGCGAGCGCACGAGTAGGGGAGCGGGGCAGAGGGAGAGAGGATCCCAAGCAGGCTCTACACTGTCAGTGCACAGTGAGATCATGAGATCAGGAACCATGAAATCATGACCTGAGCAGAGATTAAGAGTCACTTAACAGACTGAGTCACCCAGGCACCCCTCCCACCCCCTTTTCTTTAATGTATTTTTAAACCCTATTGTTTTAAAAACAATGGCATCCATTGAGTAAATTTTGGAAAATACCAAAATGCATAAGGAAGGAAAATAAAATTATATTAACAGATAACCGTTTATACTGTTTGGAGTATCTCCTTTAAATCTTTTTCTCTTTAAAAAAAATAAAAACAAAAAAATATCTTTTTCTCTTTGCATGAGTGCGCACACATTTTTCTTAAGAAATTGGAATCCTAACATTTGTTCATTTTATTCTTTGTCACATTAATATTATTAATTACCCTTTGAAATAATGCTATCTGGTTTTTAGTATTCCATCATGTTCTACTTTAAATTTGTTGTAACGCTACAGTGAACATTTTGCCCACGTTTGGTATTTCTTTTTAAATGTATCCTTATGAGGTATTCTTAGGAATAGCGTTAGTTAATAAAATACATGAATATTCTCTTCAGACATGAAATTTGCTAAATCCTTTTCCAGAAAGGTTGTATTGATTTTTTTTTTTTTTTTTTTTTAAGACTCTTTCTTTAGACTTGCAGGATCAGGTCCTTGTCTTTGCTTAAAGGGATTGTCTTATTTATCTGTAAAGACTTTTTATTTATTAAAGATATTCATCCCTTGCCAAACATGCCACAGATATTTTCCCCCGACTTGCCTTTTCATTTTTTGTATGATACTATTTTCCTTTATGGTTTTCTTATTTTTAAGCTTAAAAAACCTTTCCCCTAGGAAGATACTCCTTGTATTTTGTTTTAGTCCTCTTCATCTCCCCTGCCCCCCCACATTTACCTTTCTAGTAACTGGTTGTGATTTATCAATCCATGTGAAATAAAGTTGGTTGCAACCACTATTTTTCCAAGTAGAAAAAATAATTGCTGTAAAACATCAATACGTTGCATGTAGATGAGAGTGATTGTTTTAGAGGGGCATATATATGTTAGGTTGCAATCTAAAACATGTTTCTGTGGGTAAGACACTTGAAAGCTGCTGCTGTAATCCATTTTGAATTCTTTTCCATGTATCTGTGAGACGGGGAAGGCTCTAATTTAGTTTTCCCTCCACACACACCAGTTTTCTCCACACTGTTGAATACTGTTAGCACTGGGCTGAATTTGTGTCCTCCCCAAATTCGTATGTCGATCCCCTAATCCCCGATGTGATGGTATTTGGAGATGCAACGTTTGGGAGGTGATCAAGTCAGGAGAGTGCAGTTCTCATGGTGGGGTTCTTGCCTTTATATAGAAAACCCGAGAGAGCTTACTTCCTGTCTCTGCTCTCTCCGTGTGCGCGTCCAACGAGAGGATGGCCATCCACCAACCAACCAGGAAGCAGGTTCTCACCAGGCACCAGATCTGCCGGCACCTTGATCTTGGGCTTCCCAGGCTTCAGAACTGTGAGAGAGAAGTGTTTGCTGTCTAAGGCTCCCAGTCTGTGGTATTTGTCCAGCGGCCTGAGCAGACTAAGACTCTTTCTGGCCTGTAGACGTATGCTCATATGGCAGGTCTGGTTCATTGCCAACCATTCTATTCACTGTTCTCTCCTTTGTATCACTGCTACATTGGTGTGAACCAGTGTTGCTTTGCAATTAATTCATTTTTGTTGTTGGTATCTCTATACCTATAAATATTCCCTAAATATTTTTTCATTCTTCCATACTGTTAAGTAAATATTCTTTGGTTGTAAGAAAAAAACTGGACTGGAGGCAGCTTAAGCAAAACAAACGTATTACAACTTCAGAGAATCTCAGTGCACAGGCAGAACCAGCTGGCCCTCAGGAAGGGATTACAGGTGGGAGGGGGAAGAACCAGCAACGGCTCCGAGCAGTCCCTTATCTTCTGCCCTCTGTCGCCTCTGTCCCCAAGTTTATGATGTTATAATCCAGCCACTGCTGACTCTCAGGAGAGCTGGATATTCTCTGCGTCTCCAGGTCCACTATCCCGCTTTCTCCATCTGCTCCATGGCTAGGAGCCTGGGTTTTATAAACTGCATCAGCCCAGCTCCTGGGCCGGCAGCTGGTTGGGATCAGCCAATGGGCGGGACTGGCAGGGGTGGGAGGACAGGAGGGTCTTGTTTATTGGCCTGGGCTAGCTCTCCGACTAGCCAGCTGGCCTTGGGGTGGCAGGGACTTAGCTCTGGCTAGAGTCCAGGAACAATCCCCCCTTTGCTCTTCTGTGGCTGCAGTTTGAAGTTCACTTTGCTTTCTTGCCTATCTTTCTCAATGCCTCACCCTCTCCGGCCAATTTCCCCTAACTCTGCCCACACCTTTGCAAGTAGCCCCTTTATGAAATTCTTCAAACACCATCAAAGTGTGTTACTGTTTTCCCCCTGGGAGCTTGAGCCAGTTCAAACTGCCGGTTCCTGGGAGAGCGTGGCTTCGTTTTGGTTCAGGTATCACCACATCAATCACCCAGGCCTGGGCATGTCACATCACGGTGGTGAAGGGGGCAGTCTCCTGCCCAAAGTCAGGTTCATTGTGAACTGAGCTGTTGTATACCTCACAGAGAGTTAAAGCATTAACAAATTAAAAAATGTTTAAGTTGTGGTAAAATATACATAATATAAAATTTACCATTTTAACCAGGTCAGTGGCATTAGTAAGTACATTCATGTTGTGCGCCCATCACCACCACCCATCTCCAGAACCTTTTCATCCTCTCAAATTGACACTCTTTACCCTCTGAACCCTAACTCCTCTCCCCTTCACCATAGGCCCTGGCAACCACTTTGTCCCTTTTGCCTCTGAATCTGATCACTCCAGGTACTTCATTGAAAAAATAAATCTTAGACAAGTAATACAGAAATACATTCTTGTCAGAAAGGATGAAAACATTATGTATAAGGCTGAACTAAATCTGCCCCCACCTCGGCTCCCCTTCCTCACCACTCACGATGGTCACACACAGAGGTGAGCATGGTTATTTTAGAGGCTGGGTTCTTCTGAAGCTTTTCCTATGCCTTTCTTTGCCTACATACATGTGCTCTTAGAAAATAAGTCATTTCTCCGTTTCTCACGTAAATGGTATACTGTATGTAGCATTCTGCAACTAGAACTCACTTTTTATTACCTGGCACATGCTGGAAGACTTTCCAAGTTTGAAGACAGAACTTCCTCATTCCTTAAAACTGCCTCAGGACCAGTTGGCCTGGCTTGGGGTAGAGCAATAGAGTAAAATAATTGATTCCATCATGGAATGTTATAACATTAAAATTTAGTTTTCCCGTTGGATAGGAACATCATATGATGATGATTTTTTTTTTTTAATTGGGAAATGGTGGCTCTTGCTACTACCTCTGCAGGTTGGGGTAATCGCATTGGAAGAAATGATCTAATTGTAGTTTAGGAGTGTGTGTGGCTGAACATTCCAGTTTGGGCAAAGTAAATAATTGGCCTGTTCTGGCACATCATATTCCTCAGGCTCTTACCTCATGACTGAATGATTTTGTGTGTTTGTTTAGGATTCCAGTAGGATAGGGGAGGCACTGGGGTTCTGCATAGGTGGGAATCTTTTCATCGAGAAGGGTTTTTTCTGCCTTTCTTGTTTCACAGCTGGGTGCTCAGTGCTTTGCACACAGTTGATTGCATTTGACACACAGCGTTGGAATGTCCCTGGGATTGTGACTTATGGCACTTACAATTTAGGGGTGGGGATGAGTGGGCAGATACAGTTGAACAAGTACTTAGAAAACAAGGTAGAATGAAGTAAATGTCATTTATTTTTACAAGACAGGTGCCGTGGAAGCCATGAGAAAGGGGAGACCAATCTACTCCCAACCAGAGATCAGAATGTCGAAGAACAAAAGTGAGGAGCAAAATAGATGCTTAAGAGGTGCGTTCTAGAAACATAACATGAACACCTTAGAACTGAGATCCTTGATCAGTGAAGTGTGGGAGACTGTCTAGTTTCAAGAAACCAAAATGAGTTTTGATGAATGGGGAGAGCCTATGGCAACATTTTCTTAGGTAGTCCCAGATGGTCCTCTCACCCTCACTGGACATTCAGTGTCTAGTTTAGAGTGCACACGTGTGTTGCTTTCTGCCCTTGCTTGAGTTTTCTCAGGGCGTTGAATTTTCTCCCATCCTCCCCAGGTTGCCCTGGTTACTTTCTCAGGCTGGAAGGACAGCATCCATATAAAACAACCACTAGGTGCCATCCTTGCTTTGTGCAAATTTCTGCTTTCGGGAGTCTTGAGGAAAAGCTGCTAGTTCTGACCTCTCTGTGGGGCTGTGCCTTCTGCACACCCTACTTTCTGGGGTTGCCCCAGAGAAACCATGAGGCGCTCCCAGTTCTGTTTTCTGGTGTCCAGGTCCTAAAACAGAGCCTGGGTGTCTCAAGCCGAGCAACACGCATTATGAGAAGGTTCACAGAAGTGAACCCCTATTTAGAGGAGGTTGAGTCTTCAGGTGGTTGGCCCATTTGGACAAAGTGGGCCGCTGGCCTGTCTGCACCCTTCCCGGACCCACTGCCAGCACCAGCCCCCTTCCCCACTGGAGGCCAAGCACCTACCTGACAAAATGCCCAGCCGACAGGAGAAGCAGCCGTCTGTGAGTCACCCAGCACAGGAAGCTTGATTGGATGTTCCCCTTCCTGCATTTCCTTCAAAAGTGAAGTAATAATAATAAAGCCAAAATCAGAGAAAGGTCACACATACCATACATCAATTGCATCAGTTTCCCCTGTAAAGCCTGGTCCGTGGAGACCATGATTCTATGCTATGGCAATAATGGGAGGGACGTAGAATTTTTTTCCACTTTTCCCAACTTATAAAAATTTCAAATATACAGAAAAGTTAGAAGAATAGTGTAATTATCTGTATGCATACCACTTACATTAATCCACTGCTAATATTTCATTGTGCTTCATCTATATTTGTGTGCATGTTTATTTTTGCTGATCTTTTAGAAAGTGCATTGGAGATGTCACCAAACTTTACTTCTAAATACTTCATTGTGAAGTTCCTGAAAATTGTGACCTCCAACATAATCACAGTGCCAATATTATGCTAAAAAGATCAAATAGTAATTCCCGTTTGTCCAGTTCATATTCGATTTTTTCCAACTGTCCCCCAAATGTATTTTATTTTTTATAGCTGTCATTTTTCAAGCCAAGATCTAGTCAAGGTTCACTCACTGGATCTGCTTAAGTCTTCTTTTGCTACTTTTGCTCTAAAACAGTATCTCCCATTTTCCTTCCTTAGTTTTTTTCTATGACATTAACACATTGAAGAGACCATGACAGTTGTCTTATAGAATGAGCCACATGCTGGATTTGGTTGTTTCCCTGTCGAGGATACAACTTATTCTATCCTCTGTGTTTTCTATAATCTGGATGTTACAACTCAGTACTATCCACTAGAATATTTTCTGTGATGATGGAAATGTTCTCTGAGACGTCCAATATGGTAGTCAACAGCTACGTGTGGTCACTGAGCACTTAGAATGTAGACAGCATGGCTGCATAACTGATTTTAAAATTTTATTTAATTTTCATTCATTAATATACATTGAAATAGCTGCATGTGGCTAGGGGCTATGGTACGGAGCAGCACGGATCTTAAGGCTTAATTAGATTTAGGTTTAATGGTTTCGATAAGACTTCAAAGATGACACTGTATACTTCATATTGTAACACCTCAGGAGGTGAGATAATGATACATTGTCCCACTATTAGTGATGCTGGTTTAAAAACAAGCTTTATTGAGGTATAATTTACAATCAGTAGCATACATTTTAAGTATATAGGTGAATGGGTTTCAACAAATCTTTTGTTTCTTAACGTTTATTTTGAGAGAGAGAGTGCAAGTGGGGGAGAAGCAGAGAGAGAGGGAGACACAGAATCTGAAGCAGGCTCCAGGTTCTGAGCTGTCAGCACAGAGCCCGACACAGTCTCGAACTGAATTTTATGAGATCAAAGTGTGAGATCATGATCTGAGCTGAAGTCAGATGCTCAACCGACTGAGCCACCCATGTGCCCCTCTGGTTTTAGCATTTAAAGCTAAGTTTTCCCTTTGCTACAACCCACAAATTTTGACAGGCTGTATTTTCATTTTCATTCAGCACAAAACATTCTCTAATTTCTCTTTTCTCTTGTGAGTTCTCCTGCGACTCATGGATTATTTAGAAGTGTGATTTTTCATTTCCAAATATTTGGGGATTTCCTGAGGATCTCTCTATTATTACTTTCTAATTTAATTCTGTTATGGTAAGAGAATATCCTCTGTATGACTTAATTCTTTACACTTACTGAGGCTTGTTTTATGGCCCAGTACATAATCTACCTCAGTGAATGTTTCTCTTGCACTCGAAAAGAATGGGTGTTTGCTATTGTTCAGTAGAATGTTCTATACATATCAATTAAGTCAAGTTGTTTGATGGTGTTGTTCAGGTTTTCTACTTTTTGTGTCTACTTATCCTATCCATTATTGAAAGAGGTCTACTGAAGTATTCAACTGTAAATATGAGTTTGTCTGTTTTTCCTTGCGTTCTGCCAGTTTTTGGTTCCGTATATTAAGCTTCATTATTGGGCATGTCCACATTTAGGATTGTTGTGTCTTCTTGATGAATTGGCCTCTTTGTCATTGTGGAATGTCCCTCTTTATACCTGGTGGAAGCTCTTGTTCTAATGTCTGCATTGTCTGATATTAACGCAGCATTGCCACTTCCCTTATGTGTATTGTTTGCACAATATATTAAATCTCTTTCCATCCTTTTACTTTTTGCCTGTGTTTAAGATTTTATTTAATTTATTTATTTTAATTTTTTTAATGTTTATTTATTTTTGAGAGAGAGACAGAGTGCGAGTGGGGGAGGGGCAGAGAGAGAGGGAGACACAGAATCCGAAGCAGGCTCCAGGCTCAGCATCAATGGATGCTTAACCGACTGAGCCACCCAGGTGCCCCTGTGTTTTAAATTTTAAAGTGATGTCTTGTAAGCAGCATATAGTTGGGTTTTGTTTTTTCCCAGTCTGACTCTTTCTTCCTTGAATGTTTAGACCATATTCATTTACTGTAGTTATCAGAATGATTGGGATTAAATGTACCATCTTGCTATTAGTTTTCTATTTGTCTCTTCTGGTCTTTGTTCCCTCTGTCTTCTTCTTTTGTTTAAATAAACACTTGGAGGCTTCTTTTTTTTTTTTAACGTTTATTTATTTTTGAGAGAGAGAGAGAGAGAGAGGGAGAGAACAAGCACACAAGCGGGGGAGGGGCAGAGAGAGAGAGGGAGACACAGAATCTAAGGTAGGTTCCAGGCTCAGAGCTGTCAGTGCTGAGCCTGATGTGGGGCTTGAACCCATGAACCACGAGATCATGACCTGAGCCAAAGTCCAATGCCTAACCGACTAAGCCACCCAGGGTACCCCTTCCCCTTCTTTTCGTGACTTTTGGATAAATAGTTTTAAAAATTCCACTTTAGTGGCACCTGGGTGGCTCAGTTGGTTCAACAAGTCTCTTGATTTAGGCTCAGGTCATGTCTCATGGTGGGTTGTGAGATCGAGACCCACTTTGGGCTCAGTGCTGGGCATGGAGGCTGCTTAAGGTTCTCTCTGTCCTCTTCTGTCTCTCCTTCTGCCACTCCCCTGCTCACACCCTCTCTCTCAAAATAATTCCACTTTATCTTCACCATGGTCTTATTCGCTCTACTTCTTTTTTTTATTACTTTACTGATGGCTCTAGGTTTCCACATGCATCACAATATGCATGACCCTATGGGTCCCTAGTGAATGCCCTGAGTTATCAACAAGGACTCTCCATTCTGGTTAGTCGGAATGCTGGTTAAATGCTGTGTGAGTTCTGGGAACTCCTCCGCTGTTTCTTGGTAGCTCTTTGTCGGACCTCCTGGAATTTCACTTTACACACGAGCATCTTGGTATTCAGTAAAGACTCAAGGGCACACCTAGGCAGAGTTGTTTGGAGCCATTTTTCCACCCACCTCCTTCTCCACCAGAACTCTGTCTTGTGACTTCCAGCTGCATCAGCTCCTCTGAACCCCCCTCTCTGTCTCCTCAACACAGCCGGATTGGGGGTCCCCTTCCCTGCTCTGTGGTCTGGAATGTGCCTCCAAGCAGATTCCTTCAGGCCTCACTACATCCGTTTCCTTTCCCTCAGGAATTGCTAGTGCTGCCTGTTGTCCAGGGTCTAAAAATAATAGTTTCATATATTTTGTCTGTTTTTCTAATTGTCTATCGTGGGAGGGTAAATCCGGTCTATGTTATTCCATCATGTCAGAAGGAGACGTCTCATTTAACTTTTGATTATTGATCTTTTTTATGTGGCTACATAGTCTTTATTACAGTAATTTAAAAATGCATATAAATAATCTACGTTCATAGTGGAAAACCTTGAAATACCAATTGAAGTAAAAATCATCCATAATCCCTCCATCATGAAGTAAGCAGAAATAATGTTTTAGCATATATCCTTCCAGACTTTTCTATGAGCATATGTATCTATAAATATAAAAATAAGACCATACTATCCCCACCAGGATGATGGTTTATAACAGCTGCCTACTCCCCAAGAACGCAGGAGAAATGGTGCCCATTTTTCCTCTGTGTTATGACAGCTCATGAGTTTCTCAGGAGAGCCTACCGCATTTCAGAGACACTTGCAAGACTCTGGACTTGAGAACTTTCATGTGTACAAGAAAATCATTTTTGTTTTTTGTTTCTTAAAGTCTGCAAGTTTGCAAATGTAAAACCTTTATAAGAGAAAGAGAAGCAGTGGGTTTGACATTGTATTCTTAGGCCCCCCCCAAGGAGCTTGTCCTCAAATGTATTGTTTGAGGGGGCAAAGACAGAGAATATTTTTTTATGGATTGTCAGAGTTCAAG